TGCACAGCTCAACAGAACTGTTTTTAACCTGGATTTGAACATCGTCAGAGTAGAAGCTTGTGTCACATTTCCAGTAGACCATATAGTGTAAGCAAATCTCTGTATTTTGGGCACTAAATGAGAGAACAACGCTGTTTCCACTGACAGGATGAGGACCTTAAACCAGTGCTTGAGAGCGATGCGTCCTCTCAGACCTGCTCCATCTTGTCTGCGTCTTGTCTGCATTCCTCACTCTTTTTAAGGAGAATGTGTGGAAAATTCCATCATTGGAATTCAGGAGGGAGTATAACATGAAATAAATAAAAGCCTTATAATAATAATAATAATAAATGTCAGCTTAAAAGTATTTTTCAAAAATGCAGTGTTCTTGAGTTTCAATGATGCAATTGGTTGCTCTCATTGGTGATGTCTCTAGCATCTTCTCATTTCAGAGTTATAAACATAATCTGGAATAGTCTTCCAGAAAATATGAAAACATTCTGACCATATTCAAGGATTCTATTGGGTAAACTTTGACTGAATCTGAAAAATGCAAACTTTAGTACAGCCTAAAAGGTTCCATTCCTTCAGTTTACTTTACTGTAGAGGAAATGAATCAGTGTCTTGTCAGCGATGTACATGATGTGTCATTTCTGGTGCTACAGCTGTCTCTAGAACAATATGGGCGGAAAGTACAGCTGTTCAATTTTTTTTTTCAACTGAAAATGACAAATAAAACTAAGATGGAGGGTTGGAGGAGGTGTATGCAGGAGAAAAACTGCACAAGAGCACACAATCCCCAGTACAATAGAATATTTTAGTTCTTAAAGTATGAATGGTATTAATGTTACACTATGCAGCTTTTCAACACATTTCTGGAGATCTCCAAGGAAATACAAGCTAAAAAATCTTGAAATCAAGCTTCCTGAGTTTGGTGTAAAGATGGAGTACGGCTTTCAGAAATGCACTGCAGCATTCCTTGGCAAGTTGAAACTCGACTTTTGATGGCACTCTGAGTGAAAACAGTAAAGGGAGTTGACTGAACAGAAGTCACACAACATTGTAATTTGGTGTCAATAATCTGCCATAATAAATGTATAATTATACTATTATTGATTGTGTAAAAGTGTGACAGTTTTTTGTCAAAGTTACCTCATCTCACCTGGGATAACTTCATGAATAACATATGCCTTGGGTAACATCCGATTACAGGAAAAGCAAATGTGACATCTGCAAACGAATCTTAATGATATATAATTTTAAAAGGAACCCAAAGTTACAAGTCTCAATGGAAATTGCATCAAAAGGCTGCATTTGGGAGAAGGGAATTTAGACAAGTCTTCATTAATAACCCTGAAGTCTCCACAGTATATATTACCATATTGTTGACGGAACATTTGTTTAATCATCATTCCAGGCCTTGCACGTAAACCTGTAATATGTGTTTCACCAAACGGCAACTCGTTGTCAAGGACAGGGGAGGCTCCCCAGAGATCCTCTGTGGAAAAAGTCCATATTAGGGTGTGGAGGTGCAAGTGTGGGTGGGGCTAAAGCTGACGGCTGTGTTTCTATTGGTGGAGCTGAAGAACATAATACAGGTATCTGGGCCAGGTAAACAGACTGACATGAGAGAGGAGAGCCGGCGAATTGTTACTCAGAGATGGACATCTGTTGACCACACTCTTTGTTTTACTCTTATTGTTTGTTTTTTTAAATATTTTTACATGTTTTATTCTGGTGAGTTACAACTGCTAATCAAACAGACATAAATTGTTGGCATTCTTTTGTAAACACCTGAATTTTAATGATCTATTCCAATTGTATTTGGAATAGATTATTACTCTGTTTTCATCAGTAATGTAGTAATAATAACTGTTCAGGGGAGGGTGTTTACAAATTATTTTGTTTTTGCTTTTTTAGGTTGTAAAAGTCTTTTGAGGCGTTGATTAGAGCTCAAAGGCTGAGGACCATTCCTTGTGCAGGTTTCGGCCTGCTGGCACGCCTCTCACTCAAAACAATAAAATAGAATAATTTTTTTTTTAAATCTGACCAGTTTTTTATCAATTAATCCCACTTTTATTTTTATTTTTTTTCTCAACCAAACAACTGCCATCGCTGCAAGGGAACCATCTTTGTCCACACTGTTTGAATGAAGACCTCAATCTATGTAATTTATCCTTCATTCCACCGGAGTCTGTGTCTGAACTTGTCAGATTTCTGTGCAGTGAAGGGTAAGTTGCAAAGAATCAGCAACTTTGGAACAATATGGTTTTGAAGTAACCATCTTCAACTGGACAATATTTGTGATACTAGTAATTCATCCAACACAAAACAACAACAACGCCTACTTTGTATCATTGTTCAAACACTACGTAATCTTGGAATTGTTTATCTAAGTTGAAAAGCAATAGACTGAAGGCATTAAATAAAGAATGTTATTATGCTGTCGCTAGTCTTGCACAAGCACCGACAAGTCACCTTTACCTGCAACGGCATCACTCAGGCAACACTTAGGACTTATTGTGGCGTCAGGACGATGGCAGCCGTGTGGTTATGTCTTTGGGACTGCCACTCACCCAGGTTGTTATGTCCTCAGCCTGTCTCCGTGCCCTTGGTTTCTAAAGACACCGCAATTACACAATGAGTCTGAAAAAGCGGGCTTCAAAGCTCTCACTACTTTCAGCTGTAAAGCCGCAGTCTAGATTGTGTGTCGCAGGAAACGTATATTGTGCGATAATAAAGCCACAAAAAGATTGTTTTTCAATATAGAAGTAAGATTAAGAGATCCTTTATTCATACCACAGTGGGGAAATTTGAGTAAGGACTAAGGGCCCCAATTTTGCACTCAGTTTGCCTTGAATTGGCTGCATATATATTTAAAAGTCATTCATAATAGTTAGTTAATTACTCATTATAATCGTATCATATTAACACTAGGACTCCCACAATTGCCAATGTCACTGTTTCTTTACTTGCCACTTTTTTATTGTACATAATATATCCTGGAAAGGCTATTTTTATTGCCTTTAGCATGTTTGCACACTTCTTTTCTTTTGCACAAATCTCGAGTGATACTATCCATGTCAAATGTGACATGTAATTTTATCCTGTGTGAGATCATTAAAGTCTATCTTATCTTGTCTTAATGTGAAACTACTAGAACTTCCTGGGCTATGATTTTGACTGCTCCCATTCGAACCAAAAGGATTCTGAGAAATTGCCCCAAAACATGTTAGTTTGTCTACAGTGGTATTAAAAGCAAGGTTTTTACTTTTTCCTCACATTTAATAAGTGCTAAAATGGTAAAAATAACTTGAAATACAGCCTAAACAGTTCATTGCAACAAGGCTAATGCTAAGACCAAATGCTAACAGTAAACCATGTGTAGCTCAAGTAGCTAACACATGCTCTTCTCCGGTGGAACAACAAACTTAACCAAAACTATGCCGTCCAGGACCAGGGCCAGTTCAGGACCAGTCCAGGACCAAGACCAGTCCAGGACCAGTCCAGACCTAGCACCTTATTACTGCCATAGAAAGAAAGCAACTGAAAAATGCGCCTATTTGAATCTTAAAATAGACCAATAAAAGCTTATTTCATCAAAATAATGATCAAAAAATAAACTGCATACAGATCAGAAAAAGTCACAAAGTTATGAAGACCAAACAGGTACATGAAATTGTATATAATGTAAATTAAAACTAAAAGCCGTCAAATTGACTGCTCTGGGAGTTCTAGTGTTGATTACTGGACCACCAACAAAAAAACAGTTGTTTTTTATAATTTTCTTTTGACATGGATATTGAAGTATTGGACGTGGTGAGCCTGCAGCCAAGTTACACAACAAAACAGAAATTATTCACCTTTCATTACAATACAAGAAAAAAATGCCACATCAGCAGAGAACCCGTCTAGACTTGTGCTACTGAAGTTGTTGGTCACATAAACTATTTTTGAAAATGTATGATTTTTTAAAACCAAAGCTGCAAGAAACTCTAATATATTATTACTTGAACATTACAGAAACTAAAGAATGAGAATTCAGCTGTTAAGTTTGTGTGAAAAGGTTGATTTTATATTAACAATAATAATACATCCTACTTCTCTGTAAGTAGTCTCTCTGTTTTGGACACTCAAAATCAAAATCTCTGTTTTGGACACTCGAAGACACAAAGGAAAGTAAACTTTTGTACATGGAATAGTCTAAATGTAATAGCCACATTTCAAAAACCCATCATGTCCCTTCTTGAGTGCTTGTTTGTGTGCGTGCATGTGTGCGTGTGTATGTGTGTGTATGTTGTTTTGTAAATGATAATGGTGAGGAACAGGGTAGATGGAAGTTACAGTGCAATACATCCAGAGACACAGATTATGGCACAACCGGGATGCTTTTACCTCTTTTTCGTAACCGTCTTTAGTTGAGGTTTTCCAGTTCATGCTCACATTGGGAACACATATAATACAGTCTTCATTGAAGCATTTTTAACAAGAACATGTTGTCTTGGTACAGCCTCTAATCTTGATGATATTACTATTTTATGTGAAAGAAAAACACAAATGGACAAAAAAGATTGCTGTTATTTTCATAGTAGAATGTTATCTTTTGCACCCCAGTACAGTAGTTATCTTGGAGGACTTTACACAACCGTTGAATTCACCAACACAGATTAGAGAATCAAGCAGTTCAAACACAAGAAACAGAACAGAAAACACATGGGTATTGGTCTGTAAGGGGCAGATGACCAATGTCCAAAAGTGTTGATAGATATCCATAAATGTTGTAACCAAAGTTGATGACGAATGACCAACCTAAACCTGTTGATGATCCAGGACATTCAACATTTATTGAGATATATTAACCCTTATATATATTGATATTGGTCTGAGTTCGAACTGTTTGATTCTCTGGTCTGTGTTGGCGAATCAAAAGCTTTGTGAAGACCTCCCAAATAACTACCGCTGTGATTTAGGGCTATACAAAATCAAATGGAATGAAATTGAACCTTTTACATAGTGCACATTCACATAGTAGAGAGAGTTGTCGCCCCCTCCTCAATAGGTTTATCATTCCTTAGACACCGGAGCTGACCGTGCACCTTTCTGTTGGAGACGATAATGACCAACGGGCTGAGGGCCGCGTAGAGCGAGGAGAAAAAAATCCTCAAGTCAGACATGAGAGAAATCTTCATTGTCGTTTTCACAGTCAAAGTATACACCCAAATCCCGTTATCAACCCCATACAAGACCACATAGAGAGTAACCAACGCTACCACAGCTTTGGCCGCTCGTTGCTCTGCCCCAGTTCCACTTCGGCTGCCCCCACGAAGGCCCTTCACCTGCTGACTATGCTTGTACAAGAACACAAGGATAATCAGACTGCAAAGTGTCATAAGTGCCATGGGGACCACATCTCGCCCCACCTGAGCCGCCCCGTTGGCTTCCTTAGATAGTTTGGAGGGGAAGTAGACATAGCAGAACTGGACGTTGATGCCGTGTTGCGCTGAGACGTTCCGACTGCCGAAGGAAAACAAAATGCCCGCGGAGCTCATGCAAGTATTGATAAGCCATAAGCAAAAGAAAACCAGGCCGAGGTACTTTGCAAAGACGGCACGTAGTGAAGCCCATTGGGAGCCAGGAGGTCCGATGCTCAAGCACTGGAACAAACTCAGGGAGAATGTCAACCAAATGGACAGCGATCGCGACGTCCGGTAGACAAAAATCACAGCCTTGCAACCTACATCAGAAAAAAGCTCGGTGAGATAGAAGGACTCAAGGGTTTCCAGGAGACACCTCACACCCACAACTAGAAGATTAGCACATGCCAAGTGTAGGACAATGCTGTCGGCAGGAAGAAGACGGTTTTCTTTGTACAGGAGTAATAAGAAAGCTGTAATTACCGCGAAATTCCCAGGAACACCAAGCACACTGAGGAAGACATACAACATGCCACGGACAAACAATTCAGAAGGCATCTCTGTGCTGCAGGAACAAAACCCAGATTACAATCTTGACATCTCTAGTGTTATTTTACATGCAAGCTACGGGGTGATCTTATGGGAGGAGAGCACTAACATGTGTTTTATACCTCCAAACAGGTTGCATGTTTGCCATGGTTCATTGATTCTCTTCCCTCGGCTTCCAATTACTTCGGATAAATCCAGTTGACTGAAACAATCTGTCACTTCCTGAGCGCCCCAAACAGACAACCTACGCACCCAGAGGGAACTGACCAACGGGTTATTGAGCACTGTAAAAACAATTGTGAAACAGTAGCTGAAATTGTAAGTGTAATGTTGAAATGCCACAAATGTATCAGCAAATAGGTCATTTTAAACGCTAAAACTCCCGGAGCAGTCATTTTGATGGCTTTTCGTTTTGGGACCGTAACTACTCCGCTCTGTATCGAAATTTACTTTATTTCTATGCGATTAAGTTTATGAAATTATCTCTATCCTAGACCGGCCCATAGCAAGTGATAGTTACCATAGCAACACACTATTTACTTGCAGCAGATAGCATTTACTTCTATTATGTTTCATTTATATTAATCGGTTTTAGCATGTATTGAAGATTAAACTTAATACTTGTGAAAATCTAAAACTGTCCTGCAGAATTACGTTAATTTGAACAGGAGCCGATAAAATGACTGTTGGTGTATGGTACTCTGTGAATACTGGGAGTCCTAGTGTTATACTAAAGCAAGAGATTTATACTTGCTTCTTTATTATACAATACAATACAATTTATTCTTGTATAGCCCTAGGTCACAACAGAAGTCATCTCAGAGGACTTAACAAAACCATTGAAATCACCAACATCACCAAAAATCATATCTTTATGATTTTTTTAAATCTTTGTATAGAGTTATTATTCACTTCTGTCCTACTGTTCTGTAGCTAGTGATGCAACACTGACATTTCCCCACTTAATTTGTGAACAGTTTACACAGGCACACAAGTTGAGTTTCCCACCCACATTGTCTTCCATCCAAAATACATAACTAGAGGAAGACAAGCCTTGGTGGAGGGTGGATTGTACTGTGATAGAGCTGTCAATGTTGTCCTTTTCAAACATATTTTATTCCCATTTTGTGTGACCTTTTCTATGTTTCTATATCTGAAATGATTGTCACATATATGTACCATAAAGCTAACATTTCACCAAAACCTGCGGGAGCAAGTTAACATAACCACAGGCAAACAAAATGTGTAAACACTAAAATAATAACAGCTTTCATTTGAATGTGTTACAAGTTTAAAAAGGACTATCTCAGTGCTGGGTGGAAAGAAGTGGGACTGGATTGATTCCTCCGACTCTAACCCTCACAAAAACACCACATGTCAGAGCCACAACAAGAGCATGCACTGGTCAAAACTGCATCCTCACAAAAATGAATAAGCAATAAGAGGTGACAATAATAAAAGCTAAGTTCATCAAGAATGCAAGGAGAATCGCTGTATCTGCAGATGATCTCATTATCAATAAGTTATCAAAGTTTATTGGTATTACTTTAATCTCTATAATGATTTTTAAGAGTCAGAATATGTGTGTACGTATATATTTCTTGCACTAGAATATACAGCATATTCTCCCGGCTTCTTTAATATGCTACAGACTTCATATCTATTAAAGTCTGTGATTTTGTACTTTATTCTTGCTTCTTCATTATGCTAAAGCTAGAGTCATAATATCTAGTCTGAAGTCATTTGTAAACCAAAGCTTATTTGCATAACATTTTCACTTTTTTCCCTTGATCTTTCACCTAAGTGAGCTCATCAGATGCTGCAATGAACTACCTTGAACTTGTTAATAGATAAAAACATATTTACATCATCAACCCTGAGCATAACACACGTCTAAGTCACAGGGGGAAATGGCTTGGATTTTTCTGCACATAAAATTCCCTCCCTTGAGAACAACATGCTTGAACATGCCATTTTAATTAGCTCTGCGAACGGGTAAACATGTTAGAAAATAGAATAATAACAAATAATTATTTTTCTCATACAGCAGTAATCCCATGAGCAACCTAAGTTTTCTCTCACTGTCAAAGTTCACTTTAAAATGGGATGGGTTGGCAGGGCACTGGGAAGTCTTTTTAGACCGAGACAAAAACATGTTACCACTTAGGGAATGTCAGACGTATAATGCATATCAGATATGAACATTGAAGACATGAATGAATAATGTGTGTCCCTGCGCCCCCAATTAGCACGCGCTTTCATTGTTATGGCCTAATTGCCTCACTCCTCTGCGTCTTTAACGTACTCCCAGGATGTGAAGCCAAGGCCAGAGCACCAGCTGAGCATCTAAAAGCCTCCTGATGGCTTATTCAGGAATCATTGGGCTGGTTTGGCATCAACAAAAACTGTACATGGCGGTCTCTGCAGGGGTTATCTCAGCCAAGACCAGCACAGTTTGATATGTCTGAAAAGTGACATTCTGAAGACAATTTATGAACAAGAACATATCAGTCAAGATGTGGAGTTACACTATAGCCTGTCAGTGTGACAGCACTTCTGTCATATAATAGACCCGAAGGAGACTTATGATGTACACTAAAAAGAGTGCGGAATAAAGCTGTAAGTAGTATGCACAGCTAACATAACTTTTTTAATGTGGATTATATCATTGTCAGAGTAGATGCTGACATTTTCTGGAAGACAGAACTCCCTGTGCTTAGTTCTGACTCTGGGCAAAAGAAGAAGGGAGAGAGACTGGAGGTGACTGAATATACTGTGGCACAAGGCACTCCACAGGTAAGGACTATAAAATCTAAAAGTTTACAAACTTCTAGATATGTGCAGACAAATCCAAGCTTCTAGATATAAATTAGTGATACTAAACAGTATCAGAAACACCCACCCAGTCCTTTAGTCTCTTTATGAGGATCTCATGGTTGACAGTATCAAAAGCAGTGCTTAGATTGAGATTTTGTCTCGATGTCACTGGAGAACTTGAAATACCAAGGTCCTGTTCATGGTGATCATATTGAACCTATCAACCTAATGTGATACATATTAACACTTAACCCATTTTAACACTTAACCCTGAAACTGTTTTAGTCAAATCTTTTTTCTCAGTGACAATTGTTTACTGTTTTATTTATTTCTGTACTTTTAATGTTGTGTTATATCTGTATTTGTCTGTGCACACTGGTGACTTTTGCAAAGGTATTCTAGTGTGTTTTTTTTTTACTGCAAATGGCAAATAAACTTAATCTGAATCTGAATCTTAACCTTTGTTCTACCCTCAGGTCAAAATGACCTGCCACAGATGATTAAAAGTAAATAAATACTTCAAATTAAGGTCCAAATGACCCGGGGCTGGTCAAGTTAGGAAAAATGCTCAAGTTAACAATAATAATATTTCTGAGAAAATATACACATTACAAATCAGATTCTTTGGGTTAGTCCTCCAGTCTATCTCTGTGTTTACATTTGAGCTCAACACTGTTTTGTGTGCATTGAAGAGTCTAAGGGTCTATTAACATAGCATTCATATAGTAATACATAATATGATGTATTGTTGATGTGCCTGTGTACATCTAGACCCTGAGTCCATATCAAAGGCTTCATTCATTAATTATATAATGTACAATATTGTATAATATATAATGATTATTAGTCTCACCAGACCTGGTCCAGGTCTGGTGAGAGCAGTTTGGTGTAATTCTTCTGTGGGCTGAACAATATCTTGTTTCCTAACGCTCTCATGAGAGAGGTAAGCCTATAAATGGAATTACATGGCTCATTAATTTCTTTGCTTCACACTTCATTGACCACTTCAGGTGAGTTTATTAATATCATTATCTTTAACTTCAATTAAGAATGGGTACAAAATAATGCTATTTATTTGAAGAAAAAATATTTTGCAGTACACATTGATTTTAGTAAGTACAGCTGTATGTGTACTTACTAAAGTACATAGTAAAAGTCACATTCTATGTAATTTATTTGTCTGTTTGTTTTTCACCGCAGATATTGTGGCATGGATCTTTGTGTGACCATCAAAGGTGTGTCATTTCTCTTACAAACAGGAATGGGCATTTTTGGAAATGCTGCTGTCCTTTTGGCCTACATGCACATCATCTACTCCGAGCCCAAGCTACTCCCAGTGGACATGATACTCTGCCACCTGGCCTTTGCAAACCTTCTACTGCTCCTGACTCGCTGTGTCCCTCAGACTATGACTGTGTTTGGCCTTAGAGACCTCCTAAACGATGCAGGCTGCAAGGTGGTGATTTATGCCTATCGAATCGGCCGTGCCTTATCAGTCTGCATCACCTGTATGTTGAGTGTATTCCAAGCTGTAACCATTGCTCCAGCTGGCCCCCGTATTTCCACATTAAAACCAGTTCTACCATCTCTTGTCTTGCCCACATTTGCAGGTTTGTGGTTCCTAAACATGGCCATTTGCATCGCTGCCCCGTTTTTCTCCATGGCTCCACGCAATGGTACTGTCCCAGCCTTCACCCTCAATCTGGGCTTCTGCCATGTTGATTTCAGAGACAACCTGTCCTATGTTATAAATGGCGTAGCTGTCTCTCTGAGGGATTTTGCGTTTGTCGCACTCATGTTAGGGTCAAGCGGTTTCATCCTATTTCTCTTACACCGTCACAGTCGCCAGGTCAGGGGCATCCGGCGCTCTCAAGGTGCAGAAACTAGAGCGGCAAAAACTGTGGTGACTTTGGTTGTGCTCTATGCTGTTTTCTTTGGAATAGATAATGCCATATGGATTTACATGCTGACCGTGCCAAAAGTGTCACCAGTGGTTGCTGATATGAGGGTGTTCTTTTCCTCCTGCTATGCCTCTCTAAGTCCATACTTTATTATTTCATCAAATAAGAAGGTTAAGGCCAAAATTGTATGTTCAGTGGAGCAGGAGCAAACATTGGACAACACAAAGGAGTCAAGTGATGTAAAAATTAGCAGTAAGTAGTCACTAGGCTGAGTTACAGGTCAGATGAATGGGGTTACATAGTCAACATTATCAACATTAAAGCTTATATTGAAATAAAATAGATTTATGCTTGTATTGCTATTCAAGGAAAAGCAATCAAAAGCAGCCCCCACTAAAGATGAATGACAAATAACAGATTCATAATTTTGTTTCAAATTATTCAAATTGAAGCATATTATCAATGCATTAACCCTTGAAATAGAGGGTTCTGTCTCTCAAAATATAGTTGATTATTTTGACAGTTACATTAGCCTTGGAAACAGCAGGCCCCAGTCTGTTTTGTATTATTTATGTTCTTGTGCCTGGAATACTTAATACACATAAGTCATGTTAAAGTGTTGCTGTTGTTCAATATATTTAGTGCAGAACACATGCTGTAGCTGTTTTACATACTTTTTATTGATTGTTGTGTTTTTTTATTGTGTAGTATTGTGTAACTCTAACCCACCTGATTTGTTATGACTACTTAATCATTAAAATTAATATACATGTACTTGTAAGTGATTCTAATGGGTTGTGATGTTTGTATACTTTTGTATTGTATGGATTTTTACCCTAAACAAAACTCATTGTGCTGTAAAAAAATATATAAAAAATAAATCTTTTAAATAATAACGTAATTACATGCAGTCATAAGTTCTAAACAACAAATTATTGATACACATGTATACAAATATGTTGAAATGTGTCTTTGGCAAAGTAGAGTGAGCGTGCGATGGGTTTACGCCTGAAGTACAAGAATCAGGGAAAATGTCTACTGTAAAGCTTGCCAAACAAACCCCGGAAATGGGAAGCCGAAGATTGAGAAAAGTTTAAAATATGTGTAAGATACTCACGGGGTATATGTTTATGCAGAATAGATAATAATAGATAAGTAATATTTAAATTCCAAATGTCGATGTGTTAGAAATGACACGGGAATGCTCAGCGATGAATACTTTAAACCGATTTCAAGTTTTGACATGTAGCAAAAGCCCATTCCTGTTCAGGTAAGTTACACCTATTTTCTTTTGCTTTGCCAGTCTTTTTACCCTTGTATTTATGTTGCGTAGACGCTTGTAGCTATGTTCGATCTTCATTAATGTCTCTATTTCACCTTTGCTTACCTTTTATATGTTTTGTGTGGAAATGGTCAGTCGCTTCAATAGCTGTGCAATGAGCTCACCGTGACAGATTACAATGGCCCGAATAGCCTGGTATCAGGAAAAGGTAAGAATACAATTAAATGATCTTAATAATAGCAATAATAACGACATACTAACATGTTAATATTCTTCTCTGCACACAACTCATTGCAACATTTAGATGAACTTTTCTGCATGTATAATTCCTGTACATTTAATTTACAGTACTGTTTTACAGATTGGGGCTTATGACCAGCAAATCTGGGAAAAATCTTTGGCGCAACAGCCTGATTTTAATGTAAAATCTAAGCTTAATCTAATTGTTCTTCAATAATGTACTATTTATACTAAAACAAATAATACTAAAACATTGTAATACTTGGCCTAATTGTGTTGGTAGGGATTGGACACCAAACCAAAGAAGGCCTGCCACATCAAACCAGACCTCATAGATGTTGATTTAGTGCGAGGTGATTATGTCTATTTTGTGAAATGGGATGACATGTACTTAATTGCTTGTAATAGTTAAAACATGTAGATTTTTCTTCTAGGGTCAACATTTAGTAAGGCTAAACCCGAGAGTCCTTGGACCGCATTAACAAGGAAGGGCCTGGTGCGAGTGCTGTTCTTTCCTTTCTTCTTCCAGTGGTGGATCCAAGTGACATCCAAATCTGTTTCCATATGTATCCTCGCACTCTACTTAATGCAAGGTTTGTTTTCAACTATTCTTTTTTTTTTTTTTTTATAAATTTTTATTCTACTTAAACAATACAAAATTCAAAAACAGACAGGTAAGTGACAAGCATACACGGTACAAGACATACAAGAATACATAGAATACAGACAGGGACAGTGAACAAAGTTTTGTGTAGATGTGTGTGCATGTGCATGGTGTGTGAATGTGTGTGTGTGTGTGCGCATGTGCATTGCTTACAAATATAAAAAGAGAAAAAATTAAAGAATAAATAGTAATAATATGTATAATACTAATACCACTACCACCATCAATATTAACAATAATATTAATAATTATAATGAAAACCATAACACTAGCAACAGGAGGGTGGCCGCCACTGCCTTCCCCTCCGACGATGTCTGATTCCTGATGGGTGTAGTGCATGGATCTTCTGCTCCCTGATCCCCCATCCCCTCCATATAGGTTTTTGTTCCTGCTTTGTGTTATCCTTATGTACAGGTGTCTAATGTGCATTAAAAGAGGACATATTTTGAGGGTGCCAACCTAGGATGGCGGCGCCTCCTAAGGGCACTTCTCAACTGTCCTGATTCCTACAGGTCTATTCAAGTGTTTGTTTATATATATATATATATATAACAATTTATTTATTATTATTATTTTTTTATTATGTGGGGGGGTGAGGTGCATTAAAAACAACATGGGTGGGGGTGAACCAGGGAGAGTATGTATGGATTCAATGATTGTCTTGTGGTGCTGAAGGCAAAGACAGCGGCAACCAACCTCCCGCAGCAGCGTCGTAGTATCAGTAGTAGTAGTAGTAGTAGTAGTAGTAGTAGTAGTAGTAGTAGTAGTGGCAGTAGTAGTAGTAGTAGCAGTCAGTAGCAGTAGCTGTCACAGTATGAAGTAGTGGCAGCATTATCAGATAACAGTAATAATCATATATAGAAATTACGGCAGTGGAATATTATACGAGCTATTTAGTGTTTTATTGGAGGGAGGTAGAGTGAAAAAAGATGTTATAAGTAAATGAGTGAATGAGTGAGCGAGTGAAATAATTTTGTTGCTGTTAGTTGGTGATTTAAAGAAGGGAAAGGTCCGGCAGTGTTGGGAGTGAGGGGTTGGACTCTGAAGGATAATTGCAGGGGGGTGATGATGAACATTCCAATGAGATGAAGTCTGTGAAAAGGTTTTTCCCGTGGTTTATATTTATGTTATTGCGGGATTTCCAGTTTACAAAGATGGTTTTCTTGGCGATGGTTAGAGCTATCAAAAGTGTTTTAAAATTTATGGCTTTATCAGTGATCATTGATAGATCCCCTAGCAGGCAGAGGGGGGGGGGGGATAATGGGATGCGGCAGCCCAGCAGGGATGACAGTGACCGTGTGACCTCTTCCCAAAAGTGTTTGATGGGGGTGCAGTTCCAGGTAGCATGAATGTATGTATCGGGACAGTTCTGAGTGCAGTGTGGACATATGTCTGATGTGAAACCCATTTTAGCAAGCCTACTACCGGTGTAGTGTGTTCTGTGCAGTGTCTTGTATTGTATTAATTGAATGTTGGCATTTTTGGACATGTAGGAGATATTTTTACAAATCTGGGACCAGGAGTTAGCATCGGGAGCAATTGACAGGTCATTTTCCCATTTTGTTTTCAACTATTATAAAAGACTCCAGACTGTTTGTTTGCTAGCCTGGTTAGGAGATTAAAAATGGGTATTAAGTAAGTTTCCTGCATATTTGTGTTTGATTATTGCCACAATACATCAACAGTAGGGTAAAAATACATGTTTTGTTTAGTTTCATCCCCAACAAAGATACTTACAATGCATTTATAATATCAGGACAATCCTAAAATGGAATAGGAATAGGATATACATTTTTGTTTGTTTGTGTTTTTAACCATAAAGGACTTGTTTTAGCCCTAATGAGTTATTTTGTTTGCTGAACTTCAGTTGCTACAGTGGTGCTGTACTTTGACGTCCCTGGGGCAAATGCCAGTGAGGTGTTTGGGCCAATGTGTCTCATGCTGCTGCTGGGGACTCTGCACTGCCAAATTGTGTCAACGGAGTCCAGCCGGTGGCCTTCAGGCAGTCCAGCTGCCAGCAACATACCCAGCCCAGCTCGCAGAAGGAGGTAGGGCGCTGGACAAGCATTTGTACTTGGCCGAGATACAAATCCACCAACTACACAACGCATTCTCTTCCAAAAGCCTCAAACCCCATGGCCTTCACAATACACTGCTTTTGTTGTGACTTTTCATGGTGTTTTTCACAACTTTAATGTTCTTTTATCACGCAGGCCAAGAAAGGTTAAAAGTCCCAAAAAGTCTGAAGAAAAGAATGTCAGTGAGGGAGCCCTAATACAAGAGGGGTCGAATGGGACAGATGAGAGAAAAAAGGTAGTGCTTTTATTTGTATTTTTTAATGATATGTTCATTACAGTCATATCATATCTTCTTGTAGACCAACGATAAGTGTGGCTCTGGAGCGTCTGATGAACTGTCAAGTGATGAAGAATATGGAGTACAAACTATGGAGGTCCCTCGTTCACCACGTCATAGTGACGACGATAAATCGACACATGCATCGTTTTCCCTCAGAAGAAGGAAGAAGGCTGTGAAACCTCAGCTGTCTCGCACTGAAAAACCTAAAGATGAAAACACTGTTAAAATGAAACCCAAAGAAGTGGATCGTCTCAAGCCAAACTTAGGCCTTCGTCCGGCGTCAGATACTGATGACATGATGTGGGAGGAGCTTCTGCAGGGGCCGGACACTGCGTCCACAGGGAGCAGTGACAGTGAAGCCAATGTGAGGTACAGCGGAGGGGCCATGGCCCTTCAGGAGAGCTCTCAGAGCAGCAACGATGAGAGCCTGCATCAGAGCATCACAGGTGTAAGAATGACTCACATTTTGTAGTTTTGGGTATTCTCGAATTGCAATCTGATTTTGGAAATATATTTAGGACTTAAATATAGTTGTAGTGCGGCTATGGTTATTTATTTGTTTGAATAAACAAATACATTACGTATTACTATATAATTTCCAATGTTTTTGTGTATTTTGTAGTTGCACAATGGTGCCCCCAGCTGTTTGTTTGAGTAAATGACATATTTGCTAAAGACAAATGTATGAAAAGTTTTGTTTTATTTTTTATTCTTCGCAGAATCAGCTGTCATGGCTCCAAGCTTGTCATCCATCAAAAGACAAAGTTAGTGCCATTATTTGGGAACAAGGCGAGTGTAAGAAAGCTGACATGTCTGTGTTGGAGATCAGTGGAATCATTCTAAAACGGGTAAAAAAAAGAACATTTGTTTCTGTGACTGTATTAGATATTTTGTTAAACATGTTTTAAACATCAGGTGAAGACGGTGGAGCAAGGAACAGGATACTTGATGTTTGGAGGAGTGATTACAGCCATTCTGTCGTTGCTTCCTTTTGCCTTCCGCCTGGCTCAGGACCTGGACATGTCCAGCCTCAGCTCTCTGTCCATCGGGGACGTGTTGGAGATGGCCCTGGGGCCACCCGACGCCAAAGCATATGTATTCTACTTTATCACTACGGTTCAGAGAATCTTCCTCACTGGACTTTTCTTCTTCATGATGTGTGTGGCAGAGCGGACGTATAAACAGGTGAGTGTCATGTCTCCACAGGATAGTTAATCATTTTTCCTAATTAGATCCTTTTATCGTTCACAGTGGGGAAATGTCAGTGTTGCATCAGTAGTAATAGATCAGTGGGAATGAGGAGCACACAGCACAAGATAAAGGAACAATTACTCTATACTAAATAACACAACATCTCTAGCATTAGCATAATAAAGAAGCAAGTACAAAATCTTTAGCTCATTATTATGGAAGCCCGTTTCCGCCATGTAAAAAAAAAAAAAAAAGCAAACAGAAAGTCAAAATTTTGAGTTTAAAACTCAAAATTACGACTTTTAAAAGTCAAAATTTTGACTTTAAAAGTCAAAATTACGAGTTTTCAACTGCGCATGTGCAGTTGAAAACTCATATGTGTTGTTGTCTGGAACGGTCTCTGGACATCCTTCACCTGCAGATTATGTGAAGATATTGCTGACAGCGACCACTGCATCCTTGAAGTAGCCAGAAATAATGTTGTTTGATTGATTCTGTAAAACTTTCCTGTTTAAGCCCCAGACCGCGGTCGTAGGACGCAGGGAGGAGCTGTCTTTTTATTTATTTATGTTAAATTCAATTTACATATATACAACATTTAAATCAAACGACTACTTATTTCGACATAGTAACAAATAATGTGAGCAATACGTTTTTATAATAAATCAAAGGAAAATGAGCCATCGAGACATTCCAATCCAATCTGCATGATTCCAATCCAATCATCGTCTGACCAGACGATGACGCTGAGAGGGGTCCACACGGAGAGAGTATTTCCACGGCTGAAATGATGTGCTTTCTACGTGTTGAGCAGGGCTGGACTGGCCATCGGGCGTACCGGGCAATGCCCGAAGGGCCGATGCCCATATTTGGGCCGGTCTGTGCCACATACAAAAAACATGTTTGTGAAAAGTGTAAATCCGTTGAGAAATGTTCGAGGGGAGCGCGCGTCCGCGGGGCACCTGCTGTATGTACTCGAACGGGATTCCACCACCTCAGCGGTCGCAGTGTTCCCGCATCCAGCGGCTCTGAGCTGGACGCAGGAACCGCTCACCGGGAACCGCTCACAACACAACACGGTGAGCGCGTAGCCGCAACGTGACCATATACCCAAGAAAAGACCATAAACGCGCACAGGACCATGCATGTCTTTTCGTAATTTGTGCACCCAATAAATACACCGCTGCAGAAAACAGTCCGCGTCTCCCCTCTCCTCTAAATTAAAGCTCGGGTACCTACATTTTCCATTGCATTAAAAGTTCATGTTTGAGCCCAAAAGTAAAATGTTGTGAACAGATTAAACAGATTTAGAGCCAGCAAATGGCTGACATTATGCATTTCAGAATTTTTTTACCAATTCTCATCCCTCTAACAAACAATATTGTCTGTGCCCACCTCCCTCACTCTGAGACATGTTTATTACTCTGTTTAATGTAGACTATTGTACTGTATTTTATTGTTGAAACTGGAGAGATCCTGATCCTCTACAGTATATTCTTCCACATACTGTACTTCCATATAAACCAGGGGTCGGCAACCTTTAGTGCCCCTAAAGTGCCAGGCGGCGTGTGCATTATAGACTGTGTGTGCGCATGGATCCCAAAGATAAAGAGAGAGAGAGTCGATAAGACTGGACTAAGAATGAGAATGAACATTTGCTTTCAGTCAATGAGGAAGGACTGCTTCATGTTTGCGATGTAATGAAAAGTTTTGTTGCAACAGGAGGAACAATGAAGCTTTAAACACCGTTCACTGAAAGATTAATTCATCATAAAGTCAGAGCACCTATTTTCAGACTTCAAATACCTTCGCAAAGACGGTGAAAGAAAAGGCCATTAAGGACATTCAGCTCCAGCAAACTTCAGCCTGTGATCGATATGAACAGACAGTGATGCAGGTGAACTCGGAGCCAAAAAGCAGATTTATTTACTGTATTTGTACAATTGCATGAAGGCAAAAAAATGGAAGTTAAACTTAAAGCAGAGTTGTCACGTGGTGCGTCATTCTCTCCAGGACACGCTGCAATGAAAATACACATTTGATAATCATGAATGGTTTTTATGTGTTTAGCCTTTACTTTGTCATTTAGATATTAGTCTAATATAGCTAATATAGCTAATGTAGCTAATACAGCTTCAGCCCCTGTTACCTTCATATAAGCCTTATACAACGCTGTTTTTTTTTTTTTTTTTGTCAAATAGGGCTCCTTGAACCTTTTGAGTTGTCTGGGCCACTAAAAAGGAAAAAATGCCCGGGCCGTTTTTTTGTCCCAGTCCAGCCCTGGTGTTGAGTACGGGGTTTTATTCATGCATCTATAATGGGTTTAACGCCCTTTTCAAAGACCCTCACTGTTATCTGCGGAGTTATTTCTCCGGATTGTTGCTTAAAGAGTTGTGGGCTTTATTTTGTCACAATAAAAAAATCAGACAAGGCACTTATTCCCTGTATGTCTCTGTGTTCTTGCTCATACGCCAACAACTTTACCCGCACACTCGCTCCATCAGCTCACCCCCGCATGCACGCAAACACGTCACATACTCTTCAATGCACTGATCCAAAAGGTTTAATATTGTCAGTGCCCGTGACTGTGGTTCTCCTGCCTCTGTCTGCGGACCTCCCTCACTGTCCTGTCATCGCGAACGGTCTCTCTGTCAGTCACAATATTATTCAGTGCATTTCTGGTGCATCCATCGATAGCCGTGATACTGACCAGATGTCACCAGTTGATGCTCAATGACTTTGAACAGCCGCATGTGTTTTATTAATCTTCCACAGTCCGTTTAGGATAAACTAAATAGAGGCTTCTGAAGCGGATTCTAATCATAAACGGAGAGACCGTTTGCATTTTAACGCGATTACTACCACAACATTATTGCTGCTACTTCATGGATGTAGTCACTGTCTGTAGGAAAAATCTTCACATAATCTGCAGGTAGAGGATGACCCATGGTCATGGATCTATAACAGGGATGACCAGAGACCGTTCCAGACAACAACACATACGAGTTTTCAACTGCACATGCGCAGTTGAAAACTCGTAATTTTGACTTTTAAAGTCGAAATTTTGAGTTTTAAAGTCAAAATTTTGAGTTTTAAAGTCAAAATTTTGAGTTTTAAAGTCAAAATTTTGAGTTTTAAAGTCAAAATTTTGACTTTCTGTAGGCTTTTTTTTTTTTTTTTACATGGCGGAAACGGGCTTCCATACATTATAAACATTAACAACCAAAAAAACAAAAAAAGGGACACTTCTCCATTGTGAGATCAATTAAGTTTTTTCATGGCAAGCACATGACTTCAGAATTTAATTTTATGGTAAAGCTATGTTTTATTACAGAGACTTCTATTCGCCAAGTGTTTCAGCCATTTGACCTCAGCTCGAAAAGCCAAGAAGTCTGAAGTGCCTCATTTCCGTCTGAAGAAAGTGCAGAACATAAAGATGTGGTTATCACTGCGCTCTTTTCTCAGAGTATGGAACAACCTCTTGATCATAATTTCTTCCAGTCTATTGCAGGGAAAAATTACCTATTTTTTATTAAATAACCTATGTTTTTGCAGAGAAGAGGTCCCCAGCGCTCTGTTGACGTCATCGTTTCCACAATATTCCTTTTAGCACTTTCAATTTCATTCATTGTTTGCGCCCAGGTGAGTTATTCAGTATATCTCTAACCTTCTGTGATCGGGAACAAAGAGTACTCGGACATGTTTTCTTGTTTCAGCTTTTGCACAATCACAAGATGTTCCTAGAATCTCTAACCAATTGGGAGCTTGTTGTGTGGGGACCCTCTTTGCTCCTCGTTCTGTTGAGACTCGCCACTTTAGGTTCGGAGATGAACAGCAAATACAGTAACTCCTCAGTGCTTCTGACAGAGCAGGTAAACAACACACACACCACAGCATCGGGAAGGGAACGGGAGGATTCTATGTTGACCAAACAAAAATGTCAGTTTCTTGGTAAACAGTTTTCTATCGATGTGAACTCCCCCTCGTGGTGCTGGTTCTGGACTTAATTATATCAGAATCAGAAGAATCAATTTATTGGCATTTGCAGATAAAAACCTACATTAGTATACAAACAGGAGACACCGGTGGCACCAACACCACAAAGCACACACATGACAAAAAAAAATATTAGCGAGGCACAAATATTTTTTTATTGACAGGCACATCGCACAGTAAATTATTGTTCAGACCGGACATGGCTACAATATCATTTTCATCCATAGTCCTTGGGCAGAGGCACAGTGACAGCAAGTTTACAGTGAGCAAAGAATTAATAATTACAATGACAAATATAAACAATATATACAACACACAAATATTTACATCTATAAATTAAATGTTTTTTTCATGACTGCAGACTTGATTATCTTTGAGCCAGTTCTTTAGGCTGAGTTAAAGGAGTGGTTCTGGTTTAAGGACTGGTTTTGGACTGGTCTTGTACTGGTTCGCAACAGAGTGAGTCTTACCAGAGAACTGACCATGGTTACCATAGCAACGCAGTTAGCATTTGGTCACCTTTCAGCATTTTTTTTTTTTCCTTTTTTCACCAGTTTTACTTTACTACCATTTAGCACAAGACTAAAGGGTAGTAAAACATTATTGGGGGGAATTTCTTTGAAATCCATTGGTTTGAGTGGCAGCAGTCATAATGCTGATTTTTATTATGCCTTACTCTATTCTCAATTCTTTACCTCTCTTTTCTGACTGATGCACCGAGCCAAAGCAATTTCCAAGTCTGTGGCTTCCTGTTACTTACTATACGTGGCAATAAAAATTATTCTGATTCTGATAATGATGGTTCTAGTATTTTCCGAATTCTGTGAGTGCTAGTGTTGGGGCACAATCACATAAGTTTTCACAAAGTTAAATATTTCTATCTGTTGAATTTCAGATTAACTTGTATCTCAAGATGGAAAAAAAACCCAACAAAAAAGAAGAACTAAATATTGTGAACAATGTTTTGAAGCTGGCAACAAAACTCATGAAGGTACAAATACATGATAGTTTTATACTGGTACTGCTACATACCATTGAAAAATACTTTGTCCTGTAGGAGCTGGATACTCCATTCAGGCTTTTGGGTCTGACTGTGAACCCTTTAATTTATAACATCAGCAAAGTGGTGATTCTGTCTGCGGTGTCCGCTGTGGTCAGCGATCTGCTGGGCTTCAACATCAGGGTAAAAACAACATTTCTGTGTCGTGTGTTACTCAAGAATAGACACAAGCCCCACTCACAGCTGTTTCATGTGTGCTCTTATAATAATATAAATAGTACATGCGTGTGTATTGTGAGCATGTGACTGAAACAATGTATGTAGTGTATACACTATTTTATTTTTTTTAACACGTACCATAGGTTCAAAAGTTACATTTTCAGTTAAAGTTTTGAATCTGGCACTGTTGTGTCAAGGAAAATAAGTGTTACAATATTGCCATCTGGCGTTAGTAAATGGAATTGCTTTGAACAATATTTACAATCTATAGTAATTCAGTGTGTAGAACATAAAGTTATTAATATTATGAATGATGTTTTCCTTTATAATGATTTAAACAGTGCCTAACAGACTCAATATTGTGTTCATTTGATATTTGCTCCTCAGCTTTGGAAGATCAAGTCTTGAAACAAACCACTACAAGTCAACAACTGCAGATGAGTCTCTTCTCATCGAATCCAAACTTGTGCCAAACTACTGATCGTAAAGGAAGTGTCTGTGCTTTCCACCCTCTGACCATCGCTCACATGACTCTCTCAGCGGGTGCACTTTCCATTACCTCTGCTTCTCTGATGCAAACTACTACCTTGAATGTCCCGTGTAACTTTATATGTTTGCTGTCTGTCGCACTGGCACAGATATTATTGCTTGGTGTTGTACACTGGGTTTAGTATGTACTGGTGGTTCTGGTTTAGAAATAAAATGTGTTTTTATAATGTCAAGGAATAAATGTACAGAAAATTATTGAGCAATGTTGTGTTACATGTTATGTTGCTTTAATGAATGTAAACAAAAAATACAATCTATTTATTTAAGGAAGGTACTTCAAATTGAAATTACATCCTTTCAAACTGGTGAAATAAAATATTTGACAAAGTCTTGTGTTTTAATGACGGTGCAGAACAACCATAGCAGTACATCATACGTTCTACGTCATTTGAAACGACTTTCTGATGTGGACTATATTGAGTCGTTATTCCTATTTATAGGTTCAGAATTTTGGATGGAATATCAGAGTAAGCGTTGACAAAATAAAACTCACTGGGCCTTAGTGAATGGCGGGGTGCCGCTTTGAGTAACATTACGGTAACTATCCTCAGATGCAGTTGCACATTCACACTGACACTGGTCGGTCTGCAGCAGTCACAGCAGCAGCAGGAGCAGCAGTCACAGGAGCAGCAGCAGGAGACAGGCCGGTATTTCGTGGACCGTGCAGTGCGTCCTGTGCACCTGCTCCTCTGCCCACAACCAGGCATCAGGTAAAGTGCTACATCCATGTAAACACAGGTAAGACGCCTGCGGCTGCGTGTGACTGGGATAGTGCATCGTATTGGTGTTTACAAAGTGTGGAGATTGTGATGGGAGTTTTTAGGAGCTTATTTTTTCTGAACCTTGAAGGTGTCGCTAAGGGATACTAAATTTGGCCTCTTTGATCTTGTGTGCAATAAACTACCATGCAGTAATCCATTGACACTATCACTGATTCTTATACCTGTTCCTGTTTCATACATGTATGTGGACCTACATTTTCTGGCAAAGTATTCATACTCCTTGAACCTTTTCACTTACAGCCATAAACTTGAATATGTATTTTAGTACAAGACAATACAGACTATAATGTAGTGAATATAAATGAAATGTGATTTCATTTTTCAATAAAATTATATTGGTGCAGCTTACCATAGTATCCAAGCCCCTTCTCTCTGAGTGCTACCAGTCGTCTTTAGAAGTTGCCTAATGAATGACGAATGTTGACTTAAATATTAAGTAGACATGCATCCATACTCCTAAACATGCATTATTGTCATTGTTGTTTTATTCTACTTTTTCAGGTTTGTCCAAACATGTCCAACAATCACATGGACTCTGACAACACAGTGGAGAGAGAGAAGAGAGTAGACACAAGAGTGAATGAGAAAAAATGCTGTAAGTAATTGATCCCTTCATTAGATTTCACAGCTGGATAGAACACAAGTGCAAACATCGATAAATGCTTTTAAAGTTAGTGTGTGAATGTCACCTGCACTTTGGAGACTTGTTTAGACATATGTTAGTTCAATATGCTAAAGCAAGAGATTTTATTCTTGCTTCTTCATTAAGCCGGATATGATTGATTTTATTTTAGTACAGAGTTATTAGGGCGACAGTAGCTCAGTTGGTAGAGCATTGGCCTTTGAGCCAGAGGGTTGTGGGTTCGAACCTGACCTTCACCATCGAATCTCCCACTGTCTGCCGTTGTTGTGTCCTTAGGCAAGACACTTCACCCCCATTGCCTAGAATGAGTCTGGTGTGTGAATGGTTGGTGGTGGTCAGAGGGGCCGATGGCGCATACTGGTTGCCTCGCTTCTGTCAGTGTGCCCCAGGGCAGCTGTGGCTACAGTAGTAGTTTATCACCACCGTGTATGGAGTGAATGAATAATGACATGTAAAGCGTCTTTGAGTGTCTAAAAAAGCGTTATATAAAACCGATGCATTAGTTATTGTTCATTTATCTTGGGTTGAGTTCTCCTCAGGAGATCAGAATCAGAATATTTTTATTGCCATGCAAGTAACAGGAAGTCATAGACTTGGATATTGCTTTGGCTCTCGGTGCAATCAAGTCAAAAAGAGAAATATAAGGCATAACAAAAATCTACATTCTTGAATATAAAAATAAATTATTTCAATTATTACTATACCCAAGTGTACACAACAAACACATGATAGATAACTACTGTTGTAATTTAGAGCTATACATGATTACATTGAATTGAATTCAAAATATGCTCAATAGGTAAAATCCTCCAGCTCTGGTCCTGACCAAGCCGAGTATCATCATCTGGGGATGGGTTCCCGGGCGCTGCACAACAGCGACTACTGCTCCTGACGTAAGCCTTAGCGGTATCAGGATGGGTCAAATGCAGAAAAAAGTTTCCCGACGAGGACAATAAAGTGTACATTTACAATTATATTAACTGGTGATGCAATATTGAAATGTCCCCACTGTGGGACGAATGAAGAATCTCTTTATATTAACGCGCATATAAAACTAGCCATGGAGAATCCGGTCTGTTTCATATATTAACGGTCAGTTTGACAAATAATATATATATGTATATATTTATTTTGTCTTAGCCTGGGCGTCCTACATGACCAACTCACCCACAGTCATCGTGATGATCGGGCTTCCAGCCAGAGGCAAAACCTACATGTCCAAAAAACTCACACGTTACCTCAATTGGATTGGAGTCCCCACGAAAGGTATTTCCTGTTATGTGATATATTTATATTTATTTAATCACTTTAAAGTATCACTGAGACATTTTACCGCGGAAGTTCATGAAATATAAATTAAAAATGGCTGACAATAGAATTAGCCTTTTATTGTTGTTTTATTGTTGTTTATTATTAGTTAAATGATATTGTTAAGGGAAAATATATATGTGTTAAAAAAATATCAAAACTACATTCTCATTTGGACAAGTAACTGGAATAAATAATGTAGGTCAGAGCCATCAAAATGATTTAAACAATTGATTTATAATATTTTTCCCGACAAATCTGTAATTTATTCCATTAATCAATTGTCTAAATCCATCAAATATACTTTTTTTATTTTTAAATATACAGAATATAAAGAATGCTAAAGAAATCCCACTTGAGAACATCATAGATACTAAATTGGAGGTTGTTTGATTAAAAATAAGAACATGTCATCCTGTAGTAATAAAAGCTCCCAAAACTTATTTTCAGCATATTTAATCGCTGTTTAATAATTAATGATTAAAAAAGCTGGACTCATTACTGTTTCAATAATGGATCATCTCGTCACAGCCCAAATATTCAGTGAATCCATTGACCAGTCATTAACTAGTCAATAACTAGTTACGTAACATGAAGCTACACTGCAAAAAATGATTAAATATGAGGTAAAAATAGCTTCAATCAAATGGTTTTTATCTTAATTTGAGAACATTCTGACATTTAGCCCTATTTTAGGATCTGTTGCTTTTTTCCACTCATTCTGACATTTCTTGTATATTTTTTTAAAACAAAAAAATTGTGCTTGTCCCATTGGCAAATCTTGTTTTTAAGGCAGTCAGAATGTGCTCAAATTAAGATAAGTTTTGCCAAATTTGAGAAATCTTTGACATATTTTTATCATGTTGTAATGTGTATCCCTGCCTACTATTTGCACCATCAATATTTTGTAGCTACACTATGCGGGTTTGTTAATATCATCTATAATTCATGTTTAAAATGAATTGCTAGACATTGCTTTTATTGCTGGCTCTGTTCCGTTCTGACCAAACCTCTTTCCATCCGGCAGTGTTTAACTTGGGTGTGTACCGCAGAGAGGCCGTGCGAGCTTATAAATCCTACGACTTCTTTCGCCATGACAACGAGGAAGCCATGAAGATACGAAAGTGAGTCGGCACTGCGGTGTCGGAGCTTTCCCCTGTGGAGATGATGCTGCGGTTTTTGTGCTGCAGTGACTAAGCTCTTTTCTTTTCTTTTTTTTTTGGACAAGAATCAATCAACCTATTTAAATGTGACTTTTATAGTTCCGCTCTGTAGCAGCATGACCCAGATTCTTGCAGCTGTCACTCTTAAGCCGGAGCTCTGTGAATCCTCCTCAAACAGAGCAGTGGAAAAACTTAACATTCTTAACCCTTTAATGTTTACGCCTTGAAGAAAGCAATGCAAATTTATCTTCTTTGATTTTCTAGGATGTAGGCTCTCCAATAACACAAATTGAAGCCCTATTTTTATTTCATTATGAGCCTTTACCAAATGGTTGAAGTGGTAAAAGAGCCTCAAAGGTACACTGTGTAGTTTTTACTCCCATCTAGCGTTAAGTAAGTAAACTTTATTTATATATTTACTTTCACTAACCAGAGTCACAAAGCGCTTTACAATTGTTGTGGGTATTTGTCTCTCTCTCCACACTGGGATGGGAGGAAGCTCGACATGACAGACTAGTGGTAGTGGAAACTAGAGCAGACACGGGGAGAACATGCAAACTCCATCCACGTTCTAATCGGGATTTAAACTTTTTTCACTGTTGGTGTGAAAAAGGTTACATATTTTTCCCGCGTGCACATGCTGTTGTGTACAAACTACAGCAATGTGCCTCTTATTGTTTTAGTTCTGCCTTTCGGGTGCACGTGGTTAGCGAGGTTGACAATTTGAAGTTATGACGCCGGTTTCTAGATTTTTGCATACTTTTTTTCTAAGGTTCCTACTTAAAACTTGTGAGGGCACGGTGAAAGTAACAATAATTGTTGCTCCTGTAAAAACCTTTTTGTCCCTTATCAACCAATGTATTTCAAGATGGCACATTGACTTGGAGAGTCCTCAGCGCTCATGGGCATTTATTAGTCAAATTCTATGTTTATGACAACAAATCAAAAACATGGTAGAGTGAATATTCTTAAGAAAGGTCACATGTTTTTTGTTTTTTTTTTCATTTGGAGCAACTGTAAAAATTACACAGAGTACCTTTAAACCAAGTGATAGAGATGCCCCAATGGAGGTAGATTTCTGTCCCAAGCTTCAAGTCGATAAAGTGACTCAAAATGTGATCCACCAATTGATTGAGGAAACTATTAAAGGGTTAAGATATTAATTCATTCAAGAATAACCATAAATGTGGGAATGTGTCACTCTTCTAGTTATTATACAGATTCCTGACAACACTAGAAACCATTTTTGTTTTGACGACAACAAAACAGACACCCAAACATTGAACAGGAACACAAAAACAAACAAAAACAAAAAAGTACAATCCCAAACAGAACAAACAAAAAGACAATGAAAAAGGCTTGCAAACTGATATTTCCTGAGAATTTATATTTATCACACATGACTTACCTGGAAATCCTTGTTGTTGTTGCAGACAGTGCGCGCTGATAGCTTTACAGGACGTGAAGGCGTACCTAACACAAGAGGGGGGTCAGATTGCAGTGAGCAAAAAAACCCAAAACAAATTCAATTTCAACTTCCAAATGTGTTTTTTGTGATTTAACATTATTATCTATCGGATTGTCCAAGGTTTTTGATGCCACAAACACGACCAGAGAGCGCAGAGACTTGATCCATGCATTTGTTAAAGAAAACGCGTTCAAGGTAAGAGGAGAAAATAGGGCGTTTGTCTATAATTAGTCCTATGGGCGCCTGAACCGTGTGGCCTCTGTGACAGGTGTTCTTTGTGGAGTCGGTGTGTGACGATCCAGAGGTTATTGCTGCTAATATCTTGGTACGTCTCATGTCATGTGCAGAACTTTTGACTGTGACTATTTGGCGAGGTCAAATTTGTGGCTTATTTTTAGAACGAGTCTTGTGTCAACACGTTCACTACCAGTGTCTAAGTATTTGAATTATATTTTCCCAGGAAGTGAAAGTGTCCAGTCCAGACTACCCCGAACGACACCGGGAACGAGTCATGGACGACTTTCTCAAGAGAATTGAGTGTTATGAGGTCACGTACCAGCCGCTAGATCCAGATGACTATGACAAGTGAGACACAAAAGCATTCATCCATTCATCTTTAGCCTAGAAGTGTGCAGAACAAATAAACATGAAACCAATAGTGAGTCCTCAATTTATTGTGACCTTCTATCTTATTGCACTTGCACTTCTTACTGTTTTTGTTTTTTATCCATCCATTTTCTTCCCCTTAATCCATTTCTGGAACGGGGGGGTGGCAGTCAGAGCTGCACCCAGTTCACAGAGCACCAGCCTCTCACTGATCCTCCTGCATGTGGTGAGTCCACAGGAGCTTTGATTATTCAGCAGGGGCTTCAGGCAAAGTGGGGTTGAGTGTCTTGCCCAGGGACACAACTATAGCAGTCATCAGTGGGAGTCATGAAGTAGGTCTTACAATGGGCTTGAACCCACGACCTTCAGGCTCTAAGGCTAATGCTCTACCAACTGAGCCACTGTCGCCCACTGTTTGTTTTTTATTTGTTTATTTATTTAAAGTGACAAAGACAGTGTACAAGACCTAACCCTAATTCCAGCCGTATTCACTGGCAGTTTGATGTTATGCTTTTGACTTTGAGGGGTGACATAAGCTCAGTTACTCCAACAATTCCCACTGATGTCTGCTGTCATTATGTCCTTGGGCAAGACACCTACTGTAACCCCACTTTGCCTTAAGCTCCCACTACAAAACCAAGACTGTGTTATCACGGACGGAGCATCATCCTCCTGTGGACTCACCACCTGCAGAGGATCAGTGAGGGGCTAGTACGATGAGCCAGACCCAGAAATTGACAAAGGAGATGAAGATTAATCAAATAATGTTTTTTAAATGTGTTTTAGATGTGCTTTTTAACTGTCTCATTCTAACTTGTAACGAGCCTCGTGAGTAAATCTCTGTGGGGGGCATCTATAATTAAACATACTTGCTAACTCCCTTTGGCGCAGTATAGGTAAACTGATCACTACTTATGAATAAATTATAATTGCATAATGCGGGTTGTGTCTTCTGCAGAGACCTGTCATTCATCAAAGTGATAAACGTGGGTCAGCGGTTCATGGTGAACCGGGTGCAGGACTACATTCAGAGTAAGATCGTGTATTACCTCATGAACATCCGAGTGCACTCCCACTGCATCTACCTGTGTAGGCACGGAGAAAGCTGCCACAACCTGGAGGGGAGGATCGGAGGAGATTCAGAACTATCGCCACGAGGAAAACAGGTCCAACAAACTCATTACGAACTCAATGATAGTGAAAGAAGTGTAGTATAATTGACCTGGTAACAGCCGGTGATGCTTGGACTTCTCTTCAGTTGTATTTGCAATTTGGCTTGACTTGTCTTTTGCATGTGTGGATGTGTTTTACCAAAATACTCTTCTCTGTCCAGTTTGCCCCTGCTTTACATGACTTCATTGAAGAGCAGAAGTTGTCTGATATGAAAGTCTGGACGAGTCAGCTGAGGCGAACCATACAAACAGCAGAGGAGCTGGGGGTGCCCTATGAACAGTGGAAGATACTTAATGAAATTGATGCTGTTAGTATTTCAACTCCAGTATAAGTTTTGTTTTACATAATTGTATGTATAATTAAATATTAGTATTCTGATAAGTGTTTGTGGGTGCTTCTAGGGGGTATGTGAGGAGATGACTTATGAGATGATCCAGCAAACTTTCCCAGAGGAGTTTGCTTTGAGGGACCAGGACAAGTACCATTATCGCTACCCAGGCGGAGAGGTGTCTGCTGCCTCAAATTATGTCACCTCAAGGACTTTATTATAGCTTACCTTGTCTTTGGTCTTTTAGTCCTACCAAGATCTGGTGCAGCGTCTGGAGCCTGTCATCATGGAGCTGGAGAGACAAGGCAATGTGCTGGTCATCTGCCACCAGGCGGTGATGCGCTGTCTGCTCGCTTACTTCCTGGATAAAAGTGCAGGTCAAAAACACAAACACGCAAAATCTGTCTATGGATGTTTAGTTCTCACTGAGTCACCTTTCATTCTGCAGAAGATCTACCATACATGAAATGTCCACTGCACACAGTTCTAAAACTAACTCCTGTGGCCTATGGTATGATACAAAGCTGCCGGTACATCATTATCAGACTACAATCATTTTCTTTTCTAGCATTTGTTTCAATGGTATTTTTCAGGTTGCAAAGTGGAAATGTTTTACTTAAATGTGGAGGCGGTCAACACACACCGTGACCGACCACTTGTAAGTGCAGAGTTGTACTTCTGGGTGAAGTACACACACTATATATGTACACAATTACCTAAAGACATAATTTATTTTTTTTAAATGGACAACCTTAACAAAATGCATAGGCTCAATGCCTAGTCCTGAGCATGGCTTCATCCCTCCTGGCTTGTCTTATATTATTTCCAGTCCTATTTAAATCTTTGGTAAGTTTAAGGATCCCATGCTCAGCTCTTTTTATGCATGTATTATTGGTTTCATATCTTTTTTTAATCCCCTTGGTATTTCACTTCCAACCAGGGCACCATGCCAAAGGATCCTTCTCACATTCACCGAAGGAATAGTTACACTCCCTTGTCCAGTTACAACCAGGTCTATCGTCCCAGACTCTACAGCGCAGGGAACCAGCCCTGGCTGCCCCTCGCCCCCACTCCTGCTGCCCTGATGCCAGAGGGACGGCCAAGCCAAGTTAGTGACAGTTAGTGTCATTGGTCATGTAATCAGTGTCACAGCTCCCTCTGCTGACCATGTTGTTGCATTCCCCTTACAGAGGTGTGGTGTGATTTTTTTGCATGATAGGACTGTTTCTACCCAGAGCATGCAACCCACCTTGCTGAAATTGAATGAAAGACACACACATTTGTTCTTTGTTCATAAAACAAGTCAAATGTTAAATCCTTTCGGATTTTCATGATATATCTTTATGTTGCCTTTGGTGACCCATGCCTCTCTTGTCCACATGTCTATCTATTGTCTTTCCCACATCTGTGTTAAAGGCTAAGGGAAGTTCTTGTGTGTGAGTATTTCTTCTAATCATTTGAGTGTGCCCTTTCAGCTTCCAGTCACTTGTCTTTGCCATTCAGGATGTGCCGATAAGATACAGTTTGATGGATTGGGTGTTGGTTTGATGATATCTGTTCCACCAATATGCTAAGTACTTTTATTTTTATGTAATAAGAGGAATGGAATAGAATTAGACTTTTATTGTTTTGTTGTGTTGTCTTTAAAATGTTATGGGAAATGGGAAATTTTGGTAATGCTGAGTCCATCATAGTTATACAAGACAAGCAAATGAGAAAACAAATCAACATAGTCACCAAACTTTGCGATGACCACCCAATCTGATACCTGTTAGCTGCAGTTGGTAGCTGCAGGATAAACAACAGTTAAAATTTTATTTTATGATATGTTGGTGGTGATTTTGGGTGTAACAAATACTACTTTCATACCCTACAAAGCTTTCAGTTCATATGGTATCTGCAGAGAAAGCCAAAGTATCAGGATCAGTATCTCTACTCTGAAATACCATCTTTTTTTTGATAATAAAGAGTATGTATGTGTTTTGTAGGAATGCCTGTCTGAAGGAACAGACACTGACAGCCCAGAAGAATCTTGTGACGGTGTCTGCTTCTGAGTGAAGAGGCATATGTCCATGCCATGGATATAAACTATATTTCATGTATTTATGCACTGAATAAGTATTTTAACACTTACAGTATTTTTCATTGGCTCTACATGTTTTTGCTGTTTGGCTCCTGTACTGTTTTTCTTCTTTGCTCTTAGCTATTCTATTCTATTCTATTCTACTGAGCGATATGGATGGCCAAATGTGCAGCTTGATTCATGTTGTTTTGATTTGAATATTGCCTATTATATTGTCATACAAATAAACTTATCAGAGACGATGTGGTGTTGAATAAAGTAACCAAATGTCTGAAATAATAATAATACAACATGAGATACAACAATATCGTAAATAAATATATAAAAACTGTAAATATAAACGTGCCCTCTGCAGCAGGATTTACGGTTGGGCGTGGTTATGAGATGACGTAAGCACGCACAGGCTTGTAAGTGACGTACTCCAGTTACTGTTTATTGTTTGGAGCAGTTGTATTGGCAGGTAAGACAGCTAAATAACTATGAATGAATCGATCCCTTTCTATAATGCACACTTGTTCACGACATGCTAATGTACGCCACGACATACTTTTGATTTGTAGCTTGTTTAATTGAATTCCATTGTAGTAATATGGTTAGCTTGTGCTAATGTTAGCATCGTGACAGGCGGTGAAGAAAGAGCGTTGTTATTTCTACTATAAAGTTGTTTTTTGTATTAAATGTAGCTAACCCGTCCTAATGAACAGCCTGTTGTTTGCATTTGAAAATTGTGTGTAATGTCATATTCGTGACCGGTTAGAACATCTCCCATTGGTTACTATAGAACAATGGAAAAGTACAAAGAGATACACCAGCACCAGGACCAGGACTCTGCCATTCATCAGCATTTTAATTGTTTTGTCTCCATAATAAACCACTGTCCCGGACACAGACTGACCTGTCCGAGGAAAGCCTGCACAGGTCTGTTTTGTACAGTGGAGATAAAAAAACAAAACAATAATGGCAAGAGGTTGAGGTACATTTAGCCTAGACCATGATGTCTTAAATAAAGTATCCAATATTTGATTCTTTCTTATCCACGGGGACTGAATGATGAGGATATTTGCATTTACAATTTAGAACGTATTATCTGAGGGTTTGTTTTGAAACATCCTCAACATGGTATACACAGGAGCCTAGCCTCAGTGAGCAGATGGGGTAAATGACCACATATATCACTACTCATAGATAATCTCCACTCTAGTGTGTGTTGCTCAAGAATATGAGACTTAACTTATGATTCCGGAATTTGACCCAAACCTGTGCGTGTCACTGCTTGTGTGGCGTTGAGTATGGTGATGGTGTTTAATTGCTGAGTCATTTATATTTAATTAAAGTAATCTAAAGTAGACTTTAATTATATTTTTGTTTTCCAGTATTTTTACAGGATGTTAAAGCTTCGCTGTCAGACCAAAAATGGGAGCCAAATAATGCAAGGCTTGACTCACCAGTCATGTGTACAAGAGTTGAAGCGCAAAGTGGAGGAGCTCACTGGAATACCATGTGATGTGCAGAAAATAATGGTTGGTTACCCTCCCTCCAGCCTGGATCTTCGAAATGGAGACGCTCACCTCCAAGACTACCCCATCAAATCAGGTGTGACCCATCGTACTAATGACTCTCAATGTTGTTCTGGCACTGGAGACATTTTATTTTTCTCAACCTGACAATGGCATTGGCCCAAGATATTGTACCTACAGTATCCAATAATTATGGGCAATAACAAATAGTTGATATCCAATACTCACATTTGCTGGAAAATCTGAATCAAAATGGCCGGAGGTTTTATAGAATATGTGTTTGACTGATCATAACCACATCCTTCTTTTGTTTCAATTTGGATGTTCTATGATAATTTCTGGGAATATCTCTGATTGTCTAAAAGTTCCAAAACTTGATCCAAACCTGATCCATTTTTCCAATACATCGTCACCACAGACAGTGATTTAGTAACCTAATGGATCAAATATGGCATTGCTACAAAAACTGACCCACAATTTTGACAGACAGGGACTTGCCTTTTCAAATTGGTGAAAAACAGCCTTATGTTGATGACTGCTTAAGATGACTTATTTGTTTTATGCACAAAGAATATCAAATGATTAAGAAATGAATTAATGAACCATCTATGTCAAAGATCATAAACGACAAAAAACAAACACTCGAGCTCTCAGAATTCTGAAACTTTTGACTGCTCCCATTTAAACCAATATGGTTTTTCACCTTTACTCTCCTTCCAACAGTTTGTTGAAAGACTACCAAACGCTACAGTGTGTTGCTATGGTAACAATAAGATAATTTTATGAGAATAATTACATCAAAAATACTACAAATAGATTCAGAAAAGGTCACCAAGTTAGGAAGACCACAGAGGTATATACGCTGAGTTATTATACTTCCTACGGTAAAAGCCGTCAAATTGACTGCTCTGATAGTTCTACTGTTTTTAAAGCTGATCCATTTTCCATTCATGTTTTCATCATGTGAAAGCAAGATCCCATCCGTCCTTTGAAGCTAAGCCGGGCAGGGTCTGGTTAGTACTTTGATGGTAGACCTCTGGGAACACCAGGAGCCACAGTGGGGCGGCTGTCGCTGTAAAATGCCAGACTGTCATTGTGTCCTTATGCAAGACGCTTCACCCACCTTTTGCCTTTCGCCAGTCGCCTTTCTTTTGTCATTGTGGCCCAGGGCAACTGTGGCTATAGTAGTTTATCACCACTGCGTCTGGAGTAAATAAATAATGACATGTGAAGTGTATTTGAGCGCTATATAAAACTGAACCATTAACCTGATTTTCCTTCCAGGAGACACGTTGATTGTTGAAGAAGATAAGAACAAACCAAAGCCTCAGGACCTTTCCACTGTGACCAAACCCCCTCGTCTGGATGCGTCGCCGGTGCTTGCGCGCCGCGTTGTGCCCGCCGACAACTCATGCCTCTTCACCAGTGTGTCGTACGTGGTGGAGGGCGGCGTGTACGACCCCGCCTGCGCCCCTGAGATGCGGCGTCTCATTGCTCACATAGTGTCCAGCGACCCCAACATGTACTCTGAAGCGGTTCTGGGCAAAACCAACGAGGAGTACTGCACCTGGATCCAACGCGACGACACTTGGGGCGGCGCCATCGAGGTCTCCATCATGTCCAAGTTTTACCAGTGCGAAATCTGCGTGGTGGATACTCAGACCGTGCGCGTGGACCGGTTCGGAGAGGACGCCGGTTACAACAAGCGGGTGCTGCTGATCTACGACGGCATTCACTACGACCCCCTGCAGAAGGAAACGCCGGGCTCCGATGCGCCGCCCCAGACTATCTTCTCCGACACGGACGACATCATCCTGGCTCAAGCCCTGGAGCTGGCGGACGAGGCCAGACGCAAGCGCCAATTCACGGACGTTAACCGCTTCGCACTGCGCTGCATGGTGTGTCAGACTGGGCTGGTGGGGCAGAAGGAGGCGCGGGAGCATGCCAAGGAGACGGGCCACACCAACTTCGGGGAGGTGTGAAGCTACTGTTAACATTCCAATACTGCTGCCACTAACTGTGTGTCCGAGTGTTTTTACGGTCCGTGCGCGATCCTCTACCTCACATTGTTCGGTGACCTCTGGCCCGTTCAGTGTCAAAGGAACTGCATCTGGAGTAGATCACTTATTTTTAGGGATGTAACAAACTATTAATTTGATAATCGATTAATCAGAGAAATTCTTGCTAGTTTAACCGATTTGTTGTCAATTTAAACTAGCAACATTTCTCTACATCAGGGGTCTCCAACCTTTTTCAATTGGGGAGCTACTTTAATATAAAAGAAAAGGGAGCAAGCTACTCCTTTTTGCAGTCGTAGTAAATCTCTTTCTAATAATTACAACAAAACATGGAGAATATACCATAATACATTACAATTATATTTAATGTATTCATTCAATATTTGTTAAATTCTAAATCCTTTGGCGAGCTACCTGAATGGAGCTGGCGAGCTACTGGTAACTCCCTAGCCACAGGTTGGAGACCCCTGCTCTACATCTTATTCCAAAAAAGCTTCACTTCAATAGATTCTATTTTTTTTTTTTAGACCAAACTTATCATGAAATCAAGATTTTTACGCATTTCTCCTTTTTTAAAATATTGTTTTAATATTTTGCTCTCATGTTTAAGCACATACTGTACGTGTGAGCCTGTATATAGAGCAGTTCATGATTAATCGATTATCAAAAACAGTTGTTGATTACTGAGAGAAAGAAAGGAAAGTGATCTGCCTTTTCACACCTGACTCTCTGCCAGTTGTCGTTCCTAACTCTCAAGGCTCGTAGAAATGTCCTAAAAATATATGCGTCTCTACCTGGCAAAAATAATTAAGAAACTTGGATTATAATTTGACTGAATATATCCTTTTAGCAAACTTTACATTACAATTGTATTACAACTGTATTACTCACACTTTACACCAGTATTTATTTTTGAATTCAGGTGTTTTTGTTTTGTGTGGTCTTGTTTAAATCAGTGGTTCCCAAAATCATTTTACCAATTACAAAGATGTGAAATTAGGTGACTCGCAGATTTCAATAGTTTTTCAATAGTATTCAGAGGCAGGTGTCTCGAGCTGATTTCACACATAATTGGGGGACTGACTGAAACATGAGAACCCTTAAAAGTGCGTTTCAGGCTTGGGCAGGTAAAAGCTAATGTAAATTATGGTGCTTGATACATTTATTTTTAGTGTTTCTTTTGTTAAATTTAAGCCTTATGTAACTTTGAGACTCTTAATCATGAAACCTCAGTTTGATTTAGTGCAACTGGCCATACGTTATATCAGGAGTTGTTTTAAGATCCATCCATGCTATCTGAATTCAATCCAATTCAATTTATTTTTGTATAGTCTTAAATCACAACAGCATTTATCTCAGAGGACTTAACAAATCTGTCCTTTTGTCAACACATATCAGAGAATTAAACAGTTCAAAAACAGGAAATGCAATGATTAAAAAAAAGAGGAGCAGATGATCAATGTCCTGGATCATCACCGCTGTCCTTAGATATATTATCCAGAGATTCTAGCACAAACTTGTGAAATTACATTTTTTTTATTTTCTCTAATTTGGGGAAAAAAAACCCTCAGACTTCTCCCTCTGGTGGTAGTTTACAGACCCTGATCCATGGTACAGACATAATCCATCAATCAATACTTTATTATCTCACAATGGAGAAATTGTCAGATGAATAAACATCAAGGCTGGCTGCGTACTCTATTTTCATATTTTCGCGCTCCTTATGACCGTTATTCAACTGCAGAGAGCAAAACAAAACATTTCAACAGACGTTATTGGAGAGAAACATTACATGCGGAAAAGGTGCGGATCTTACAAGCAGAAAGCATTATTTTTAAGTTTCATACTTCTTTCATATTTTCTGCTGAAGATATTATGTCACATTCTGAAACGAGTCAATGGTCTCATCATTTTAATTGACAAAAATAATGCATGATTTTGGTCTTTACAACCCCGTAAAATTATAGCGGTCCAAGCCATTGATCTATAACAAAGCTAACGTTGGCTGTTTCATACAAAGCTATTTAGAGCTGTGCCACCAATACACTTGATATTTATTAAATTTCATGCAGAATCTCAATGGTTTTAGCTGATAATTACGCTCCAATTTATTAAGGAGGTTCTGAGGAGAGTAAATTGGTCAGAAAGGTAAATCATGGAGAACTCAATGACCACAGTTGCAACACGACAGCTCAGTAAACTCATAACTGTTTAAAGTGAGTATTATGTGGATCATCCGGGATTTTTAAGCATGTATCGTTCAGGTCACTGGCCTTTAACACTGCAACGTGCACTTAATCACAAACACAATGTAAATGTTTGAGTGTCTTTGTGTACAGTACACTATTGCCTCACAGTGTGTGCGTGTGTGTTGTGTGTGTTGCCATAAGGAAATGGTTTTGGGTGGATACGATTGAACAAAGTGATATTAATACGGTTTCTTTGAATGTGGAATATAGTTTTTTTTCTGTTACTTAAGTTGCTTTCTTAAAACAGTTTTATTGCAGGTTATGGGTGTGGACGAGACGGATGTGTTTTGTATTAACCAAGTTCTCACGCTGCAAAAAATGATAAAATATGAAGTAATAATCATGTGGTTGTTTTCCCAAACTGAGCTCATTCTGACTGTTTTAAAACTAGATTTGCCAATGGGACAAAACCATTTAGTCTTATTTAAAGAACTGTTGATTTATTTTCTCATTCCAAAACAGACATCTCTTGTATTTTTAAAGATATTTTTTCTTGTCTCATTGGTATCTTGTTTTAAGGCCGTCAAAATGTTGCTGAAATTAGGCACTATTTTTACTTATTTTTCATCACTTTTTGCAGTGTATTATCCTCATACAGACGATAACTATGAATGTTCTGCACAGCACTACAAAACCACTGGAATTACCTTTTCTGTGTCATTAAAAGCTACAGCAGGAGGTTTTGTATCTGTGACCTTTCTGTGTTTTATATGTAACTAAATTCCCATTGGTTTTTGTGTTTGTGTGTCGGTAAGTTTACAACATAATTAAAACTTATGACCGGATTTTTACGAGATGCTTAGAAAATCGACTAACGGTACATATTGTAAATGATCCAGTGGACTTTTATATGTGAAATGGAACTGAGCCTCTTGGCAGCGGTCTGTGCTCTACAAGTGCTTTCCTAGTTACACACATTTTTCCAGTGTCAACAGTTAGACATTTTGAAGGAAAGAGTCTGAACATAAAAATACTGCCAAAACATTTAAATAAAAGAACTGCATGTCAACAACTAAATCATTAGCTACAAACATATTTATTTTCGCTTTTAATGTCTCTTTACTAAGTATATTCATTGTAACAACCCAACAATATTGTGACAAGTGAAATGGTTAGCAAATATAACAGTGTATAATCAATCTTTATCAAATTAACCGTTTCTATTTATGAATAACACATTTTTAGTAATTGATGGTGATTTTCTGCAGAAATATGAGAAATTCCAAAGCTTTAGTTACTTAGTGGGGCAACTGTACGTACATACGCTTCAAAGTGACAATATTGTTAATCCGTAAAAATAAAAACAAAAATAAAACATTCTTAGCTATTTTACAAAACAAAACATTTTTTTAATCAATGCATTAATCTAAGTGAAATATAGTGTGCGTACAGAAAACATACGGTAAATGTTTTCGCTTTGACTTCAAAACATGTTTCACTTTTCACAATATTCTGACATTTGGAGCGACTCTGTCTTTAACCAGTGGCTGTGGTAATAGATGGTGCGTGCCTCCAAAAGGGCGCGCTCTGATTGGCTGAGGGCTTAGTGCTGCAGGTGCGCTGCGTGTAGTGGAGCTGAAGTCTGCAGTCACAGGGAGTCACACTTCTGTCACAGGTGCGTGGACTTTTCTTACGTAAATGCTTTTCCTTTTGTTTGTTGTTAGCTCTGAGTAAACTTTTTTTATTCATGTTATACCAATGTCACTCTAGGACAAACTTGTTCCGTGTTTTAATGCAAACTGCAAAAAGTCTTAGATTGAGCGGACGAGTAAGCTGTTATTAGGGATCCAAACTGTTGCATGTTTTTAGTTGTTTATAAAAAGTGATTATTATGATATAATTGTAGATACAAGATACAAACTCATTCATTTCATGGAGGCACACAACATCTGCTCATGCTTTTTGTGAAATTATTGACAATCAGAAATTACTTTTACAACCAATACAACAGATTTTTGTTATTAAACGACCACATTTGGCAAGCTAATCTGAAATTATTTATTTTTATGGACCAATTTACCATGAGTCTGAAATGATAAATAATGATATATTTTGAGTTTCTTTTGCATTGATTGAGAAGATGCTTTCAAGACACATGTTTAGACGTACGGTTTTATCAATTCAACTTTATAACAGACTCTTGGTCCAGTTTAAAACCTGCAATCTTATATACTTGATTTCACAACCACAAATTAACAATTACGGATTTAAATGTTGCTGAATAATTATGAGGTTTAGTGACAGCATGTGCATATTTGTAGATTTATTTGTATTTATTAATTTCAGTCAAACACAGTTATTATCCTTATAAACATACCTATAACAACATTTAAAAGAAAAAATGCCTGAAGGGGTGTGGGAAGACTTTATATAATCCAACCACATTTTGCAATCTTATAGCTAATTCTACACATGTGTTTTACTTCTGTGCCAATCCTGACCATTAAAAAGTCCTTCACGTAGTTGGCTGTAGTAGTAGAACCACCTCCAGACGAGCCGCTATCGTGTATCCTTCCATATATTTGAGCAGATTATTCATCGCACCCTCCACTACCTCTGAAACTGATCCCATTCGAGAAGATTAGGAGTGGCATGTGTGCTGTAATCCGAGTCACATGCAGAAGGAGGACCAGTAAGAAAGAGAAAGATATCTGTCAGAACCATGCACTTTTCACAATGACACATTCAGGGCTCAGGTGCAGAGCAAGACGTTTGAGTTTTAACACCACACTAGTACTTTTATTCACGGTATTCAGTGGCGGCTGGTCATGTATACATTCACGGTGGGCTATTATTGAGCAATTGTTTCATCATGTACTATTCCACAATCATAACTGCTTAACTATGGACAAACTATCCTTTACACAGGAGAAAAAAATATATAAAATATGAGGTAATATTGCTTGAATTGAGTGGTTTTCATCTAAATTTTGACCCATTCTGGCTGTCCTAAAACGTGATATGCCAATTTAGTCTTATTTCAAGAACTGTGGCTTTATTCTATCATTCCAAGGAAGACATTTTTTTACATTTTTAAAACAAAATCATTTTGCTTCACATTTGAGGAATTTTTGACTTCCATCATTTTTTGCAGTGTAGACCCATCAGTACTAAACACAATAGAATGCAAATGAAAAAATAAATCCCAAAGTGAACACATACAACTACAAAAGATATACAATAATCATATAACTACTGGTATACTGATTTAACAAATAGCCTATATGTTCCTATTTTTTGCCAGTCATGATGATATTTTTGTGTAAAATTGTGTTCATGTTTGACAGATAAAGAGGTGTCACTTGTGTGTCTGTCTGCTTTGTGGAGGAGAGGGGTAGAAAAACATGCCCAAAAGTGACACGTGGCCGGGTGGCACTGGGCTGGAGGTGGTGCCCGGCATGGACAGCTCCGGCAGCTGCGACAGTGTCCTCAGCACCAACTCAGGATGTGTAAGTTTAACACTCTTTTAGCTTTTAATTTTGGAAGTCTAATTACTCAGCGTTTGTACATGTTCGGTTTTCATTACTTTGTTTTTCTACATCATTATTTTATTTTATGTAATTATCTTTTATTTTCTTTTATCTATCTTTATCTTTTATCTCATAGCTGGTGCTATGAGACTTGGGTGGCATCTCTGATTGCCACCCCCCTGACCCAGAAATGGATTAAAGGGTAGAAAATGGATGGATGGATCTTTTATTTTTTAAACGTGAGCAGTTTGTTACTATAAACAAACCTTTTTTTGCTCTATTTCAAGGTGATCAAAAGTCAAGGTACAAAAAAAACAAAAAAACTAGATTGGTTTGAACGTGAGCAGTCAAAATGACGGCTCTGGGAGTTCCAGTGGTTTCATAATTCTGGGAGTCCTTGTGTTAAAGAAAAGTTTTATTTTTTAGTACAGGGATTATTCATAAATAATACTTGTTTGTGTTGTCTTCGTATTATTAAAAAATGTTATCTTTCGCAAACCCTGTGAGTCACTACTTGACACAGTTTGGGTTAATAGCTATTTGACCGAGTGAGGGTGGTGCTGACTTTTTAAATATTCTCCCCGAAAAAGAGAAAATAGTTATAGATATTGAGTCAAACTGGTATGGATTTTGTTACATTACGTTATATGATCAATGGCTTGAAAGTTAGGTGCCCCAGCTTTACTAACCAACAAATATAATAACAGCCTATATCAGTATGTAAAGAATAGACTCCCTTAACAAAAATCACTAAAGAAATCCTAGGAACACAGATGAATGTTATAAATAATATTTTGTATTAAAAAGTACTAGTACTTTAAATTGGACGAGATTTGACCGTTGGGAAATATAAATTTGCCTTCATGTATCTTCTGCATCAACAACAAGTTAGAAAACCAGAAAAACTAAAATTGTCAAGCTCTGGAATATTGTTATGCTTAGCCATAACTTAGACTGGATGATAATTGGATACAACAGTTCTGTTTTAGGGTGACAGTAGCTCAGTTGGTAGAGCATTGTGTGAGCATTGTGTGACTGATTCCATCCTGTTTTGTTAAGCACTTTGAGTTACCTTGTTTATGAACTGTGCTATACAAATAAACTTGCATCGGACAGTCACTTTCTGCACTTTCAGACTGGATGTTTAGTAACCCGTTTGATTTGATTCTTTTGCCCTTGTTTCAGAGTGATGACAGCCTGGAGTACCTGTCTGCGGAGGAAAAGGCCTGCCTCATGTTTTTGGAGGAGACCATCGACTCTCTGGACACCGAGGACGACAGCGGACTTTCTAATGACGAGGCGGAGCAGACACCCAGTCCTGGAACTGTGGCCAGCAAACAGGCCGAGCTGACCGCCTCCTTCAACCGGAGCACCTCCAACAGTGAGCACATGGGCACACTTCTTAATCTGGGAGCTACCAACTTCACTGGGCAGAGCTTAGTCACATTCTCAACTCAAAAACCATATCAAGAGTTTACTTCTAGCACTACTGAGACTGCTATTACTACTACTACTACTACTACTACTACTACTACGATTGCTGCTAATGCTAATTGCTACAACCACTACTACTGTTGCTACAGCTGCTGCTACTACCACTTTTACTACTACTACATACAGTTCCTCCAGTGTGTTTAACATCTTGTTTCTTGTCTTTAGGTGACCACAAAGAAATCCAAAAGCAGTCAATCAAAACAAACTGTGAAAAACTACCGAGCTACCTTGTGCCTACACCCTTTGTCATCGCGAACACAAGTCAATCGTCTTCAGTTCCCAGCGCTCCCTCCAAAAGGAACTTTGCGACCAAACCCAACCGCAGTATTTCTGATAAAGAACGTAGTCAGACTATCTCCCCGATCGCAGAGGTGCCTCCAGTCCCTTTAGAAGTAAACGTGATAATTCCTCCTAAAACGCAAGAGTCTTCTGTCAAAGCAGCTGACGTAGCATTACAAAGGGGACCCCTGTCTTACGATGCGCTTGTTTACTTGAGGAAAAACGCATCAGAGAAGAAAACGCCACTATGTCCGTTGGTCGATCACACTATAGACGCTGCAAAAGAGGCTGTATCTGCTCCCAGCGATAATCGATCTGTTCAAAGTAGTAACATATCAAGATTTGACAGATTTCACCCTGAGTTTTCCCAGTCTAGGACCATCCCGCCTGCAGTGCCCCCTAAACCAAAGAAGAAACCTGAAAACTCGACAAAAATGGCTTTGAGTTCCAGCCGTTCATTCTGTGTCAAACGCACGCCCAATCCCGAAATGGTGCGTCAAGAAGCGTTGCATAAACTGGGCCTCATCAAAGAGACAGACGAGAACGCACATTCTTCAACGACGGCGGGAGTCCACAGGGGTCTGAACTCGGCTCACGGGAGATTTGTGAAGACTCCGACAAATAGCCAAGCCGCGAGGAGCCCGTCTTTCTGCGTCACGCGTTTGCTGCCGGAGACTAAGAGTAAGGGGCTACAGTGCAGTGCTAGCTTCCATCACTCATCCAGACATGACCATTCTGCTGCAACCCATCATCATCATCATCATCATCATCATCATACCACTAGTTCTCAACACAACCACGCCAATGGACCAAATTACCCGGTCCAGTCTGAAAAAGGACCACCAGACACAGCTTTATCCAAGACCCCAAAGCCGTCTAGCGCAGTGGGCTACACAGCGATGGTGGTTCCTGGGATGGGTGCGGACAGGAGGGAGGCCCTGAGGAAACTGGGACTGCTCAAAGACTAAAGAGACTAAAGGACGTCGGCCTGGAGTGGAATCTGGAGGAGGCCAGCGGATTAAAGGATTTAGCACTTGGCACTTTGGAATTTGGCATAGTAAAATTGAGCGGATTTTAAAAAGACAAAACAAATCAATGGGAACACTTTATTTTAGCACTCAGTAATTAACAGCTATTTCAGTGCTAAATAGTGTATTCATTTATAGTTAATTAAACCTTTTGGTATCCTTTAAGCACTTATTATTAGTCGTTATTCTTCATGGCATCGATCATTACAGCAAAAAAACAGGTTGCCTCCTATTCCAAGGCACAACCACAGTTTCTATTAACTTTACATAACATGTTTTGAAATATGTAAAAGTATAGGTGAGAGACATTATGAAAATTGGATAACAAAAAAAACTGTTTGAGATTTTTGGACTCAATAGTGTTCATGGACAAAACCCTCCACAAAGCATGTAATATGACTGCCCTTTTGTGGTTAGTTTTACAGTTTATCCATGGCTTGAACATGGCGGGTGTGAAGCATGCAAGAAAGTATCGAGTGCCTTTTGCAGGAACATACAATGCCCCAATTTGGCTTCTGGACCAATTATTTTACTGAATCTTAAAGTTTAGTTTATTGATTTAAAAAGGTGTGTTCTGACAATCCTGGTGGTGGGTCTGCTTTTTGCTGAGGATCATCTTTTTTCTAGTCTGTCCTTTTACATTGGAAACATGCATGTGACTCCACTCATATCTGTGGAGCCAAGTCTTATTTTTATTGTTTTGAACAGATTCAGGTTAAGAGATCCTTTATTCATCCCTCAGTCCGGAAATGTCAGTGTTGCATCAGAACAGAAGGAATGAAGAGCACACAAGAATGAAGATAAACTACAAAAAAAAAAATACATTTTCTAACTTTAGCCTAATAAAGAAGCAAGTATAACATCTCTAGCTAAACAAGTAAATCATACATAATTGAGGAATGTAGATGTTTTAAAGTAACAATATGTAAGATTTTCATGTCAAGTCATCATTAAATGGTCCTAATACATCAAAAGGCATTAATAAAACATGCTCTTCTCCTGCACGTCTTTAACTGATAAGAGCAGTTCAGCCAAGTTATTCCAATTTCAAAATTAATTTTCCAGCCCCCAAATCTTGTTATTGTTTTCATTTTAATGTCCCGCCCTCCACCGTTTCACCAATCAGAAAGTCTGTGATCCGGTTTGCCAGTACTGACCGCATCGAGCTAATCTTACTGGTAAAGTAACATGTGGCTCCAGAGCTAAAAAAAGATTCTCAAATCATAAATAAATAATCTTTTTATATAACGCCTTTCACAGACCAGAGTCACAAAACGGTTTACAATTGTTTTTTAATGACAAAACAAGGAATAAAGAAGAGAAGATGAACCTTCCACAACAAAAAAAGCATCCATCCATCCATCCATTTTCTACCCTTTAATCCATTTCTGGGTCAGGGAAGTCTCATAGCACCAGCCCCTCACTGACCCTCTGCAGGTGGTGAGTCCACAGGAGGACGGCTGCTCAAGGCTATGCTCTCAGTGTGAGCATAGCCTTGATCTTTCAGTTGGGGCTTTGGGCAAAGTGGGGTTAAGTGTCTTGCCCAAGGACACAACGACAGCAGTCATCAGTGGGAGTCGGTGGAGAAGGTGCAGAGGTGGGAATTGAACCCACGACCTTCTGGGCTTAAGGCCAATGCTCTACCAACTGAGCTACTGTCGCCCCCGCTACAAAAAAAGCAATGGCTTAAATATTGTTTTTTATTAAGAAGTTCAAGACTCAAGAATGTATGTATTTTCCCTTTCGTCTATTTCTTATTTTATTGTAATGTAAACTATTGTTCTGGCACAAAGAGCCTTGTGATGATGCATTGCCCTTCCTGTAAACCTTGTGAGTATCAGTCATGCCGCTGCTCATCTTACACACCGCATTCTACTCGTTTTACAGTCAAGCGCGCTGTCATTACGTGATTATCTCTGACCCCTTTGCCCCCATTCATGAACTTAGCACACCGCTGCATATTCCTATATCCTCCACTCTGTCTGTTCCTGTGCAAGACTTGATGAAACGGTATAAATGGCATTAAAACAAAAAAACGTGTTGGTGATTTAGCTTCAGCACAGATCTTTTGTGGTGGGCTCGTGTGACAGGCAGCGTCTGTGTCTGCTGAGTCCAACCCAATAACAGTGTCACGTTTTGAAACTGAGACAGCTCCAGTTGGGCCATATTCAACAATGGACAATGAAATCAGGCCACACAGGATACCTGACCTATGCTCTTATTTGGAATGGACTGATCAAGGACTTCTCTGTGCAAGAGGGTTTCTTTATTATATTTATTATGCTTTCTTTTTGGATTTTCCTCTATATGATTGGCACATAAATAATATCAAGTGGAAGTCGCCATCATCAATTTTAAAATGTTAGAGGCTCAGTTCTACCTGCAGGTGAACATCAAAAATGAGCTCTAACATTAAGTAAGTAAGTAAGTAAGTAAGCTTTATTTATACAGCGCCTTTCACAGACCAAGGCCACAAAGCGCTTCACAGTTTAAACAGGTAAAAACAGACAAAATACAATTTAAAATGTGCGTATACAAAAAATAATACTAAATATACAGTCAATATAATGGCCAAGACACCTCAGTGACAGGTTTAAAAAAAACACAAGGATTCCCACAATTATGACACTTCTAAAACTCCCAGAGCTGTCATTTTCACTGCTCTCACTCAAACCAGTAGAATTCTGGGAAATTCCCCCAAAAATGTTTAGATTTGATAGTACATATTCAAAGTAAGTACAATCGACATATATTCTGAACATTGTAAAGTGCTTTGGATGACCTTGGTCTGTCAAATGCACTATATAAACATTACTGACTAAAAGTTCTGTCTTTGTGTCCCTGGGCAAGACACATGACCCCACTTTGCCTGAAGCCCTTACTGTAAGGCCAAGACCCACCCCCTGCAGGAGGATCAGCAAGGGGCTTCGCGATTGGGTGGCACCTCCCCAACCCAGAACTGGATTAAAGGGGATGGAAAAAATGACATTCAAGGTGTTTTACTTAGTGCTAAAACTGGATGTTGCTATGGTAACTAGTATTGACGCCACTCTAAAGGCAAGAAGATACTCTTGATCGTTGTAGGAAAAACTAAAATAAAATTGATCATTCTAAAAAGCTAACAATAGTTTTAAAAAAACTACTAATTTCAAAATGTGGCTCCCCGAAGAAAATGATTCCCGACTCTGATATTGACCTTAGCATTAGCAGTTTGTGTTCAAATGCTTTATGACGCTTGTGGTAATGTGCACCTGTAACCTAACCGACACCTCACTGGTCGTGTGTCGAGCTCTGATCTCTGAGGCCTTGTTATAGCAACAGCTGTCACCCTTAAATGCTGGGGTACGTAACTTTTAAGTAACATGTGAAACAAAACGGACCACAACAGTCTGTCTTCAACATGTCATCTTTTGCATTCAGAGCCCTGCGAGTCACTCTTTGATGCGCTGGGCTGAGAGCTGATTGGCTGAGTGAGGGTGGTCCACTCTTCACTTTTCTGCCTGATCTAAAGATAAATACAGGTGAAAACTTAAGAACCAAACTTGAAAGTGAGACACGAGTTGGAGATAGATGTGGTTTGAAAATTAAACCGCAGCTTTAAAAAAAAAAAAAAAAAAGTCACATTTGCCACAGAATTTATTTCAATGAAGTAATGCATACAAAAGTCATGTCAATAAATATATTTGGTTGTAGGTTTTTTTCATCGTTGCAGCCACTGATAAAGTGCAAATTCAGCATTTTAAAACATCTATTCAAAAATTAAAACAGAGCACCGAGACAAAATACTATACATTTCTAACTTTTAAATATTTAAAGAAATTATTGTGTGACATAATTCAAGTTCATTCACAGAAAGATACATATTCGATACGATAGATTATATAAAGATAGATAAGATGAAGATTAAATATGTGGCTTCCCCTTTTTCCGTCGGACTTTCCCGTTGGAAACTGAAACATCTAGAGACTCGAGGCGAAAGGGGCGGGGCATCACAGACTCTGGGCTGATTGAGGGGTTCACGGGGGAACTGCTGAGACTCAGGTGGGACGTCCCATTGTAGAGGCCAGGAGAGAGGGTGACTAAAAGATCCAAGATTTCAGTTATTAGTATTTCTTAAATTTTTTTTTTTTCATCCTGTAAGGACAATGAAAACAATCACACAGAAGTATAACAACAACACAAAGCAAGGAAAAACAAAAGACACAAAAGAGAAAAATGAGACAAAACAAAGGATTTTTCACATTCACACAAAAACTCCACATTTTCAATATCAGAATTTCTTTCCAATGTCAAGACATTTGTCGTTAAAAACCACTTTGGAATATTTGAAAGAAGAATCAAGTTGTAGCGCACTGTAATCAACAATAGCTGATAGAAAGGTTTGTTTGAAATTTGAATGAGAGAAAGTAGGTAGTAAGGAGTAAGGAGTAAGTAAGGAGAGAAAGTAGTAGTAACAATAAACTATAAAAAATATAAAAAATAAAACAATAAAACAAGACACAGAATAAGAAAAAAAACGCAATGAATATAAAACATTTAAAAATTGGATTCACTTTATACAAAAAAATAATCTATTAATTGCATTACCATGAAAAAATGTAGCAAGAAATAAATATATAAAAAAATATATATATAAATAAATAGTCTTTCCAATACCAAGCCATTTGCAGTTTAAAACCACATTGGTATACTTGAAAGAAAAAAAATAATCTGGAATAAACTAATCAACCATTTACATGTATGAAAGCAAAACATATTAAACATTTAAAAATATATATATTTAACTTTATTGAACCAAGTCAACAAACTCTTACAGATCTCACCAGTTGCCTTGCTTTGTTCCGCTCCCAGCAGCTGAGTCGCTCTTTTGGATTTAAAATAAGTGTTAGCGATGTTGTCCGAGTCGCTACGGTTTAGCATCTCTTTGAACCGGTCCTCTTCCACTGGCTACAAACACACACCACAGGTCACGCATGCAGCTGGCAAGGTGAGGCAAGTTTATCTGTATGGCGCAATTCATACTCAAAGGAGGAGGCTGGATTTCTCTTTGCATTGAGAGTAAACTTACTTCCTCCGAATCTGCAGATGGCCGTCGACCGGTTGGTAGTTTTTGAGTGACAGCTACAAAGAGAAGATTACATCAAGATTATGACATCCTTTACTTGCCCCACAGTGGAGAAATTGAGGAGCACACGACGCAAGATAAATGAACAATAACTATACCATTCCATAAAATCTCTAACTCTAGCCTAGTAAAGAATCAAGTGTAAAATCTCTAACTGAAGCATAATAAAGAAGCAAGTCTGGAACATTAGTGTGCCTTGAGCTGTTGTATGGTGTGCCTTTGGAAATGGTCCAATGTCACCCATTTGATCAAAAACAAGTGAAAAGAAAATAATGTGAAAAGATTAGAAAAACGTTTTTGTGCTTGTTTGAATTCAATGTAACCACTTTCCCTGGGATGACTTTTAGAGTTGACAAAGGCTGCAGGATTTCATGTTTGTATAAGTTTTAGCTGGTGGTGTGTGATTGTTTTCAATGGAAAAGGTGTGCCACCGCTCAAAAAGGTTGGGAAACACTGCTATATTGCACACTCTGACACTAGTTCAAAGCATTTAGTTATATTTCCTCTTGAGAGTCATTTTGAAGAAGAATACTGGCTTTCCTTTAAATACAGTTTCCAAAGTGCTGCTCAATAAAAGACGAATTAAAACAAATCCATAGTAAAACAGTAAAATCATTAAAAATCAAACGAGACGCTTTTTGCCATAACCAAATATATATCACACAAAATAAAACCCTAGTTCACTTCTTTGATTAACCTTTTAATGTTCACTTCTTGAAGAAAGCAATGTTTTTTTTTTCTTGTTTGGATTTTCCAAGATACAAGAGCACTAAAAACAAAAACGTTTTTTATCATTATTATCATTTTTTTAACCCCAATTCATTATAGGCCTTTACCACATGGTTTGATAGTAAAATTAACCAATTGAAGTGACTAAAAATATGGTTTAACAAATGGTTGAGGAAACCACTATAATGCCTAGCGTACATCGTACTGGCAACTGATTATATCCGTTGCATATGAGTTGCTGCCCCGCACACATCGACAATCTGGCGACAACGGGCAACTCCCAGTAGCAGGCCAGTCCCGGGAAAAACAGCGCGTACATCGACAGCAACTGGCCTCAACTACAGTGTGTTTTCTGACACACACACATCGGGTGATATCTCCGGATATGAGGACAACTAGTTGCTGAAAAGTAAAACACAGGTAACTGACTGAATCCGGAGATCGACTGTTTATCTCCAGTTGTAAGAGCGCTCACATCGACCGATCATCTACTCTCAGATGCCAAAGCCGCCTTGCAACTAGTTGCCTCCAGTTACTCTGTCGATGTACGCTAGGCTTAAGGGTTAAGAAACTTCTCCGATCAACCAGACCAAAAGTAAAACTGTAGAAGAAAATCCAAACCTGAAGGCAGTGTTGTTTTCTGCACCAGTACATCCGGCAGTCTCCAGGTGGCGCTCTCCTCGTCCCAAACCGCCTCAGCCTTCAGTCGGTCCAGGTTGCTATAGTTACAGTCCCTGCGCACCAGCGAGACCATGCGCTCCAGCAGACTCTGCACCAGCTGCCCGTCCCGCTCCAGCCGCCGGATTGTGGCCAAATAATCGTCTCTCTCCACCTCGAACTCCCCATGCAGGTCGCGGATCTCTAGTTTGGCCGCTTTGAGCTTAGGACCATTTTAAATCAGAGGTATTTGTTATTAACAATAATGTGAATACATTACTCCAGTTGCAATACATGTTGGTATAAATTATGACACTTCAGCAATCTTGAGCCTATAGGGTTGCAAATTTGAACAGGCCAGTGGTCAAAATAGATGATTTCATAGGAAAGGCCAGGCAGGTTTATTTGTATAACACGGTTCATACACGAGGCAACAAAATAGAGCTGGACCAAAGGTAAAAGGGTTTTGATTTACAGATGTTTTAATTTTTACATTATTATTATTACATTGTGTTTAGATTTTATTGTCAATAGAGAATTAGCTTTAAAATGTTGGGCCAATATTTTCATCAATTCCCAATTAAGAAATAACCAACAGCAGTGACCACAAATTAAGCAATTGATATGAAGTCCTTTACAATTGGACTTCCAGAATTCTGAAACTACTCGAGCTCCCAGAGCAGTCGTTTTGACGGCTGTCATTAAAATCAATGGAATTCATAAAAGTCTTCAGTTTTTAAGTGATTCATACGCTTTTATTTTCTTTATTACAGCAGTCGTTTTGACAGCTTTCATTAAAATCAATGGAATTCTGAAAAACCTTTAGTTTTGCACGGCTTTTAAGTGATTCATATTTTGTATTTTCTTTATTGCTAAAAATTGTGTTGCTATGGTAACTAGCACTTGCTCCAAGCTGACATTGCACTAAACCGGGGATGTCAAACTCATTTTGGTCCCAGGCCAAGTTTAAAAATATAAGAGCTGGTTGGGGCCAAAATTATAAAGGTGGTAAGAGGTTATCATATTTTTTTTTTATTTATATTATTGTATTTTTACAAATTCATTTTAGTTGACATAATTTGATATATTATTTTCCAGAAGGTTTGGATTCAATCACACCTGGGCTAAATATAATAAGATATAGATTGAAGATTCATTCACCCATTTAACTTAACTTCTAATCACATGCTAGTTTAATATTTTAGAACAGATTCAATGATATATGGTTGTTTTCCTGATAACATGCCATAGTGTCTCATAACCATCAATGCTGCACATTTCTGTAATAATGATAATTGAAAAGCATTTCAGGGGCCACTAAAAATGGTCTTGCGGGGAAGATTTGGCCCAGATTTTGACAAGCCTGCTCTAAACCAAGTCCAGGACCAGTCTAGGATCGAGATAATGCCATAAACCGAATGATAAAGATATAAATGACATAAAGAAAACAGAAAAAGTGATGATGACCAAAAACGTACAAAAGGGGAGTAAATAAACTTGTAAAAGTATTGTGTGTTAAAAGTATTTCTGGGGAAACTAAGCAGCTTACTGACCTTTCCTTGAACCTTGAGCAGCATTTGGCTCTTGGCGTGCACCTCCTCCTGGATGGAGTTGTACACGTGATAAAGCACATTCTCGCTCTCCTCTGTGTTCTCGGAGAGCGCCTGGACCAGCTGCACTTGTCTCTGGTCTGCCAGTCTCTTCCGCTGCTGGTGCCTCCTCCTCAGCTCCTGGTTCCGGACCTGTTCTCCTCCAACCACAGCCTGCTCCAACTGCTGCAGCCTAAGAATCACAGAGAGAAGAAGAAGAAGAAATCATAATTTGTTACACTCACAAATGTTGATAGATCAGAGAGGAATGTGAATTTACACTAATCTAATAATGTAAGTCTGAATCCAAGTACTAGTACCCCTACTGGAAGAAAGATTTTGGTTTTATGAGGGTCAGGGTTAGAGTTAGAGTTAGCGAGTTCGGGTCTTTGGAATCATGCAGACCCAAAGGCATGCAACACCTGCAGCAAAAGGTTTATTTCTGTTTATTTTGTGTCTTGTTTTTATTTTATATTTTGTTTATTGTTTTTATTCCCATTGGCATAATGTTTGAATTATTACTACTACTACTAAATTACACTGTTTTAATGCTCAGAAAATATCGTCTGTCAAGCTTAGTGATGACATACGTTACACGCACATTCCAAATCAAAGCCTACAATATTTATTAGCTTTTAAATTAATATATCATTAACAAAACGAAGGTCAAAATTCAGTGCAAAGATAGAGTTCAGTTCAGTTCAGAGCCGGCACAATTATAGAAATATGGTACAGGTAAGTTCTTGGATCCCTCGTTGGCACTTAGAGTAACAATATTTTGAAGTACAAGTCAATAAATAAACATGATAATATCTAATGGCCATTTTAAAGTTGGGTAAACCTTACTTTTGGCTCTTGGTGTGCACCATTTTAATATAAGATGATCATATAAAAGCTGCAGCAGTATCGCCACTTATTTTTAAAGCACATACAGTACATTAGCAGACAAATTGAAAATGGGGTACCTAGCTCTAAAACAAACAAAAATGATGTTGGATTTTACTACAAAGTCTTTAAAATGTAGACGTATTGAACCCTCTACAGCTCTATAAGACATATTGCAAAGAAATGTAACAGACGATAAATATTGAGGCTCAAAATAAATAGTTTTATCCATCAGTTCATAATCTAAAATGCTAAAGTTAGAGATTTTATTTCATTTAAGTACAGAGTTATTGTTCACCTAGCTTGTGCTCCTCATTCCTGTAACTGGTGATGCAACACTGAAATTCCCCCACTGTGGTACAAATAAAGGCTCTCTTAATCTTAATTATTGTAAAAGGCCTGAAACGTTTTATTTTTATTCTGCAAACAAATAACGCAATAATGAGTGACCTTTCTATGATGTCTTTCTGGTCGGGAGATTGTGTCGACACCGTGAGGTTCTCTGCTTCTGGAAGTGTTTCATCCACAACAGACTGTTCCACTGCAGTACATTGACTATTTTCACCTTTCTATCAGTATAAAACAAATAAACAAAGCAGCAGTATTTTAGTAATGTAGAGCTGATATTTCTCTAAAATGCTGGATGTGATTATCTCAGAGGTACCATGCCACTGCTGGCCTCGGTGTTGTCTGAAATCTCTTCTGAAGAAATGGAAACGCTCCTGTTGAGATGAACTATGGAAAAAGCACAGACAGGAGAATTTAATAATTGTGAGGTTTATGTACATATGTTGTTATGTAATACATTTAATACTAGATCTCCCACACCAGTCAACTTGACGGCTTTTAGTTTTTGGAAGTGTAATTACTCTGTTTATGGTTGTTTTTGGTCTTCATAGCTTTGTGATTTTTTCGATATCAATATGTAGTTTTTTTCTGTCCAACTCATAGTAATATATGTTAAAAAAATAATAACATGGTTGCTAAGAGACATGGAACATAAATTGTTTACTATTGGGTTTATTTCTTGTTCATATCACCAAGATGATAGTAAAAGTCAGGAATGTCATGGAAAATCTTTTTTCGGAGGTACAATGGAAGCCGTCAACATGAGAATGAGAGAAATCAGAATTCTTAGAGTCTAGTATTAAAAGTCCACATGCAATGACTGAGACTTAAAGATTGGAACGACCTAAATAATGTCAGCCTTAGCCACATGACCCTCGTGTGAAAAGTCAGACTAAAAGTGTAAAAATTAACACGCTGATCTTCCTGCAAGTGGTGGGTCCAAGATGGCTGCTCCTTCGACACATTGGGGTTAAGTGTCTTGCCCAGGGACACAACGACAGCAGACATCAGTGGGAGCAGTTGACATGGGTCGCGGTGGGATCGAACCCACGACCATTAGGTCCAAAGACCAGTACTCTACCAACTGAGCTACTGTTGCCCCACTATCCAAACAGTCATTGGTTAAAATGTTCTTGTGAGACTACTTTATGATCACAAATGTGTTGAATAAGCACCCTTATCCACTCACCTTACAGCAGCAGTCTTACCATTATTTGGTTGAGAGCTCCCCCTGGTGGCCCCAGTCTGCTCCACATCAGACAGCTTTGATTCATAGGACAATCTTAAGGCAGCTATGTCTTCCTGCAGCTTTGCCTTGGACTCCTGCTCTGCATTGTACTCCGCCTGTAACTTGGCGAGTTTCCCCTCGTAGGCCTGTGAGGGGAAAGAAGCACAGCCATCCATAAATCTTCTGCTCAGGTCATGGTGCGAAGAAAATGAACAGGGAAAGTTCAAGTGCCTCCTTAATCTTCTCTTTCTCAGCCTCAGCTTTGTAGGACAGGGGCGGGGTGGAGACTGGAGAAACGGGAGGCTGGGCAGTCAACAGAGCTGGAAGATAAGCAAGACATTAGAGAACTCATTAACTTGAACTAATGTCAGAATGTGCAATATAGAACCAACATGCGTCACTGTGTTCTATACCCTCATGCTGCTAACATGTAGATGTATACATACAACTATATTACTTGCACTAGAATATAGAGGACTTTACACTTGCTTCTTACTATGCCAAAGGAAGAGATTTTGGAATTATTTAATCTGCTAAAGTTAGAGTTTTTATACTACTTGTGCTTAATATAGAGATTTACTTGTTTCTTCTTTATGCTAGAGATTTGATTATTAATTTATTTAGTACTGTGTCCCACTCATTCCTACTGTTCTGTTAGCTTCGTGTGGTTTCGTTTGGATGAAGAAGTAGAATTCTTCTGCGTGTAGCGCTCAAAGCAAAAGTAGCATTAGTTGATTACCACATTGCTGTTTATGTTTGTTCTTGGCCATTGCGCATGTCCAAATCTACATGCAGGGAAGTGGTGAGGTCTGAGCAGGCCGAAAATTCACAACTTTTTTTGTCATGCGGGTGTGAATCAGCCCCGCCAGAGTATATGTTCAGTTTCACTCTGGAGGCTGTTTCTAGACTCTTCCTTTCACCCACCTGAAACACCATCTCCATGTAAACAGGAGGCCAAACCGATTCCCAACTAACGTTTTACTGTCACTCATGTCCTCATGTAAAACGGCAGCTGTGTTACTAGTGATTCAACCCTGAAATGTCTGCACTGTGGGACGAATAAAAGGATCTTATTTAACAAAGGATAAATACAAGTGTCCAGAAGCAAAGATGCATCCATCAGTTACAGTTACAAGTAAGAAACTATATAATATTATTTTCAAAGCATTTAATCATTCAATCATTTAATCATGTTTCCAAAATAAAAACATTTGTAAATTTTAAGTTTTCAGATACATACTTTTGTGATTTACCTTAAGTGCAGTAGCATTTTATTACTATTGTTAGCTATTTTAGAATTATGTATTTATATGCTTTCTTTGTTTGGATGGCTGTGTTTCTGCTGCTACTGGACACCTGAATTTCTCCTACAGGGCTCAATAAAGTATCCATCTACAAAAAAAAATGGAATTGAATTGAATATAACATTGCTACTTACTGGACAAGTGTGTGGTTCCCAGCTGACCCGACACAATGGCCTTTAACTTCTTGATCTCCTCTTGGTACTGTCTCAGCAGGGCGTCTTTGGGGTCCTCGTTGATCCGGGGTTTGTTCCGGATGCTCTTGGCCCGGTTGGCGTATCGCAGCGTGCTCAGCGTCTCTTCGTAGTTGCAGTCGGCCGGAGAGAGACAGGCGATCATCAGGGTCCGAGTGTTTCCCCCCAGAGAGTCCTGCAGCAGCCTGGTGAGCTTGGAATCTCTGTAGGGGATGTACTTGGAGCGGCCGTCCACCAGGGCAGAGATGACGTTCCCCAGAGCCGACAGCGACAGGTTGATCTTGGTGGCCTCCCGCAGACGCTCGCCCGTGGCTCCGGTCTTGGACTGGCGCTCGCTCCCCGCCAGGTCCACCAGGTTCAGTTTTCCGGCTCGGAGATGGTCATGCCCGCTGTCGTCTGAGAGGAGGGTACAACGAACAATTAGGACTAACGAAGCGCTGCCTACCTGACCTCACATGTCGTGCATCTGTGCAATCATTGGAACTAATGTCAGAATGTGCAATACAGAACAATATGTGTCCACTGTCCACTAACCCAATTAGTCCCACGTTGATTAACACTAGAACTTCCAACACAGACAAATTTGCTTTTAGTTTTGAAAGCACATATAGGGTTAGGGTTAGATTCAGATACAATTTATTTGCCATTTGTAGTAAAACCACAGTGGAATACATTTGCAAAAGTCCCCATTGTGCACAAGACAAGTACAAAATGAAAACACAACTAAGGCTCATTCATTTTTTATCCCCATAACTCCATAACTGACATGATTTATTCTGTTTCTTTATGTAGTTTATTTCCATGTCATTACTTTTATGAAATTATCTTTTAATTTTGATATGTAGTAGAGAAGTAGAGAAGAGTAACCATAGCAACCCACTGTTAATTTCAACAAAACTGTTTATGGTCACCAGTTTTCGCACTTATTAAAAGTGTGTAAAGGTAAATTTGAATAAAACTGATGGTAAACTCACAAGCTTTTACAGAATTCCATTGACTTGAATGGGAGCAGTCAAAATGATGGTTTCAGGAGTTCTAGTAGTTTCAAAATTCGGGGAGTCCAAGTAAAAATGTGCATTGTCCCATTCAAATAAACTATTGAGCTAAATAAAATATATACATATCTAATCAAATGTGTAGTGTTGCTGGTGTCTCTGTGTGTGTCTCTCAGTGTGTGTGTATCTGTGTCTGTGTGTGCGCGTCTGCATGTTTCTGTGTCTGTGTGCTTCTCTCAGTGCGTGTCTCAGTTTTTGTGTCTCTCAGAGTGTGTGTGTCTCACAGTGTGTGTCTCTGTGTGTGCGTGTCTGCGTGTATCTGTGTCTGTGTGTGCGCGTCTCTACGTGTGCTTCTCTCAGTGTGCGTCTCAGTTTTTGTGTCTCTCAGTGTGTGTGTCTCTCTGCATTTGTCAGTGTGTTTATCCCTCTGTGTGTGTCTCTCTGCGTGTCTCTTCTCGTCTGTTTGTGTCTCTGCGTGTCTCTGTGTGTGTCTCATGCTGACCAGTGGTGCAGATCTCCAGGTGGATGGAGAAGATGGAGTGGGACCTGGACGAGTCTTTGTTCATCAGAGTGTAGCCCACGGCCCTGTTCCTCCAGCCCTGCTGCAGGACGCCCTCGCACTCGCCCACACTGTGCACCGTGCGCATGGACAGATCCCGCACGTACACGCCGCGCTCAGGGTGCTCCTTCAGCTGCGCACAATCACAATCAAGACTCCAGGCAACAAACCTGGTCTCATCGCTATAGCAACACAAACAATAAGGCCAGTGGAGTTTTATCAGCAAAAAACAAGAAGAATCTCGTAAATTATGTGCACCATGTGCACTGTATATTGTATATAGTAATTGTAACTCTATTTTAATTTTAATTTTCAATTTATTCCTTAGAAGTGTTTTTTATCCCAAGTCTGACCTCCTGTTACTTACTTGCCTTGCCTGTTTGTATCTTTATATAGTTTTAAGTTTTTACAATTTTAAAAGATTTTCTAAGAGTGAAGGTGTTAGAACATGTCTTAAAGCATTTGACTATCGCTTTCTGTAAAATATTCCTCCGACAATCAAACATTTTTCATGGATACATTTTCCCCATTGTTCCAACATCTCCAACAGTATAGTGGCCATACCTGCATGTGAAAGTCAGATACTGTCGTGCCTCTGAATCTAAAGCAGGACAGGGCATGGTTAGTACTGTGATGGGAGACCGCTAGGTACACCCTGGGAGCCAACAGTGGGGCGGCTGCAGCTGTAAAGTGCCAGACTGTGGTTGAGTCCTTAAGCAAGACACTAGAATGAGTTTGATGTTTGTGAATGGTTGGTGGTGGTTGGAGAGACTGATGGCACATACTGGTTGCCTCGCTGCTGTCAGTGTGCCTCAGGGCGCCTTTGGCTATAGTAGTAGTAGTTCCTCACCGCAGTGTATGAAGTGAAAGAATAAGACATGTGAAGCGTCTGGGTGTCTAAAAAAGTGTTGTATAAAACAGATGCATTATTATTCTCATTATTAGAAAGAATCTTGTAAATGTAAAATATCACATACAAATCAGACCACAACATCCTGTCTTCATCTTATGAGAAAACATGCAAAGCTTATGGCTGAGAGGGTGGTGCTTTCATCAAAATTCTGTCAGAAAAAGCTGATCTAAAAGCTGTGATAGAGGCCAAAAGTACATACATGCAAAAATTAGTCATCAAACCAAACTGTTTTAAGAGCAAAACAACTAGAAATAGTTACATGAACTTCATTACATAACATTTGTTGTGTTTGAAAGTCAGGTACCCCACCTTAAATGTTTATAATGTCACACCTTGCATCATTGAACTGAAAGAAAACGTATTTCTGTTGACATAGGAGGATTTTCCCAAATTATAGGAAAGAACCGCCCTCCCGACTCTCTAGTCTTATTCGATGAGCAGGTATCACCACAATTGAGAGAACCAATAATCTTGATGATCCACCTAGAAGTACAAAATCCTCCTATATACCTTTATAAGAGATCCTTTATTCGTTCCACAGAGGGGGAATTTCAATGTTGCATCATCCGTTACAGAACAGTAGGAATGAGCAGCACACAGCACAAGACAAGTGAACAATAATTCTAAAAAATGACTAAAATAAAATAAAATCTCTAACTTTAGCATACAAAGAAGCAAGCCTAAAATCTCTAAACTGGTGGTGTTCTCCAAAAAAAGACAAAATGGCTTACCTCCAATTTATTCTTGGCTTCATTTCCTAACAGATCCCTCACTTCTTCATTGTAAATCTCCAAGTACGAGGCTCTGACCAGAAATTTAGTATTCTCCGTACACTGGACAACAGAAATATGCATCATTTTGTATATAATATTTATAGATTTATTGCCTCTGATGATGTCACATACCTGTATCGTTTCAAAGATGTGTTCAAATGCCCGTGGAATGACCCCTCTCTGGCTCCCAGGGGCCGCTGTGCCCTGCATGGTGAAGGATTTGCCACTTCCAGTCTGGCCATAGGCAAATATTGTGCCGTTGTAGCCCTCAGTGACACCCTATGAAAAGATTTTTTTTTTTTACTTCTTCTAGGGCTGCAATTGAACTTGAATTGTTGCTATAAGAAATTAGTAAATAATCGTAATCTTTCCATGTTATTAATGACTGTACTTTATTATGCTAATGTTAAGAGATTTTACACTTGCTTCTTCGCTACGCTATTGTTAGAGATTTTCTTCTATTTTGCTATTGAGTTATTGTTCATTGCTTATCTTATGCTGTGTGCTCCTCTTTCCTACTGTTGTCTAACTGCTGATGCAACACTTTTTTCAATACAAGTATAATAATAAAAATAATAACTTGTCTTGCAAAAGTAGAATGCTTTTAACAGCTCAGACTACAACATGAAGATTTTACACAAATATTTAATGTTTACTTATAAGATATACTTGTAAAGGTAGAGCCATCTGAGCAACTCTTGGATACTGCTGACTGAGTGATCCTATCATTTTTTTCCAGCTAAAATCTGGAACAGTCTTCTTGAAAATGTGAGACAGGCTTCTTCTCTGACAATGTTGAAATCCAGGTTCTGTTTTAGCTGTGCATTTACAGAGGGATTTTTCCTGTACTCTTATAATTTATGCCTAGTATTGTTTCTTGTTTTTGTTACGTACTTTAAAGTTGCCTTGTGTATGAAAAATTGTGCTATACAAATATACCTTGCCTTTCCTTATCCCAATCCATGCAAGTGACATTGTGGTTTGAAAGGAAGGTACCTCAGTTTTGACACGTTATTTTAATACACATGGCAAATTTAATGCAGTGTTAGTAGACATGTAGCAAAAATATGGACATGGAAAATGCTGCCAAAAGCGTTTCAGTCTGGAGAAACAGGAGCTGTGCTTGTGCAGAGGTGTCCAGTGGCTGCAGCCGCGGTTTGCATTATTTTAGAGTAAGTTAAACCATCACCTCAACCAAAGGATATGCGATCTCGTTGTACATCTGCTCCGTGGTGTGCTCAGTGAAGTAGGTGCCGTCGAAGGTGAACTGTTTCGGGGGCTCGTCCACGGCCCCGGGTCTCTGGAGGAAGCACTGGCAGCGCGGCAGGTCCACGGACAGGACCATGCGGGACTCAAGCGCTCTCTCCCGGTCATTGAGCGGCCGACAGCGGACCACCACCTTCACAGACTCGGACCCCATCAGCTCAGATCCACTAAACCTCCAGGGACTGGCAGAGAAAGCACAGTCCTTTGGACCAGGCGGCTCCTGTTGACTTTATGAGAGTTGTATGAAGAAGTTCTAAAAGGTCCTCAGGTCCTCTGATGTTGCACTGAGCCCACAGCGTTAGTATTCTCTTAGCAACAGTGTGTGGTGACATCACAGACTGTGGAGATAATGTGACCTGCGCACCTGCACAGGTGCAAGAGCAGCGACACCTGCCGGCCACACTGAGCCACAGCAGCATTGGAAAAGATTTAATGGAGGGTGAACAACGTGTACGTTCCATGGATCCATAAGTTTCTATGGTTCTCCCTGCAGGGTCAGTCACTTAATCTTACATCACATACTTACCAGAGTGTTGAGAGAAACTACTTTCGGTAATTAATTGTGTGTGTGTATATTATTTTAGTTAATGCAACTTGTGGGTTGCAAAATGTACCAGAATGTATTGTACTGGAGAAAAAATAACTCAATTAGAATAAATAGTGATATTGTATTATATTATATTTTTCTCCCAGTAACAAGTAGTACATTACATATTAACATTTTAGAAAAAAAATGAATCAAACTAATACACTACATGATGAAGATCATTGTCACTGGTTTGGCCGCTGTTAGAGTTCCACAAAGAGAAAAGACTTGACAAGAAATCAAACATCTTCTGATGCAGCGTCTCATTGTAAAATTTAAGTAAAAGAGTCCGACTGGTTGCAAATGGAACAAATATATTTGCACGTTTAACATTGCATGTTTAAAATGTTCAAAAGCAGCCGTAAAAATAAAAGTCTTAAAATTAAAAATTAAAAGCAGCATTATTATTTAACAGATTTTAAAAACGTTTACAAAAGTACCTTTGCTTCAGGAAAGTGCTGACATTTTTAACGACATGTTGAAAATGAACAACAGAACACACCAAAAAGACCAACACCAGCTGTGATTAAGACAGGGGTGTCAAACCGGTCCTCACAGGGTAGGTGAGGCTGCGGGCTTTAGTTCCAACCCGAGCAGGAGTAAGTATGTCAAATTTATTTATATCTTACAAACCAAAGTCACCAAAAGAACTTTACAGTCTATGCAGGAGCACATGAGACTCAACAGTTGTAAATATTAGGCTCCTTCTCAGCTCCTTTGAGGACCTTGTGGCCACCCCTGGATGAAGAGTTAAGCGTTCCACATGTCCAGTCCAGTTCCTGCCTCTCATATAAGGCTCAGTGCGCACTTTTCAGCTTTGCTTTGTTGAAGCTGTCCAGTGTTTTCACAGCATGTGGGGGTTGGCCTGCGTCCTCCTCCCACTCGTAACAGTGGTTGACTCGTGCACAGCTCAGCAGACAGGGCAGCTCCTCCAGGCTCAGTGTGTAGTGTTCGATCAGCTCTGCCAACGAATTGAACTCCTGCTGGCATTTCTGTAAAAGCACGTCACAATTCAAGACCGTGAAAGTTTGCTTACTGTTTAAAAATATAGACATCATAAGGACAGTGGTGATGTGTTTTCTATCATCGCATTTCTTGTGATTGAACCGTTGTATTGGTGAATTCCACGGTTGTGTAAAGTCCTTCGAGATAACTACATAATAATAAAGAATAGAAAATCATTACCTCAAGCATAAATTTCCCCTTCCGTGTGTTTTCGACTTGGTGAGTGATCAGGCCGGAGGGGAAGCGAACGATCAGACTGCCGCATTTTGGTTTTTTAGGATGTGGACACACGAGATATGCGCCCAGGACGTCATCTGCCAGGAGGGAGTAGCTACTGTCACTGAGGAAAACAATACAATGATATTTTCACTTTTCAGGCGCCAGTTTGAACTTATTTTTTTTGTTGTTTTTTTTTTAGAAATTCTATGATAGGTGTAGCCCTGAAACTTAACTATCACAATAACTGAGAAAAAAATAAAAGATTTAGGGCAACATTTGTGGGAAGCTATATCGCTGTATAGAAAGTGTCCTGGTAAACAAAGGGTTAACAAGAATCAGTAACTACACTATTGTAACCTAAAGAGCCTTCTTTATGAGTTATTGTTCACTTACATTGTCCTACTGCTCTGTAACTGGTAATGCAACACTGACATTTCTCTATTGTGGGATAACTAAAGTATCTTTTATCAATCAAACTTTTATTTGTAGAACGCCTTTCCTACACAAGGCAACACAAAGCGCTTCACAACCCACATCACATCAAGAAAATCATAAACATTCAAATCTATGAACGTAAAAAAGAAAATATTGTTGTGATAAATATTATCGTATTTATCTTGTATCTGCTATAGTCAACAACTACAGCCTTTTTTTCTCTTTTTTTATGAACACATTTAGTTACACTGTGGATGCCTTTGCGTCTCGAGGACTAGTTTGTTTATTTATTGCCACAGTTTTATGGTCTCTGAGGGGATCTGGGTCAGAGCGCTTTCACATGCGAGAGGAAAAGAGGCATTCCCCAAACTGCTCAAAAGGTGCAGGACGAGTCTGATACAAGCTTTTGTGAATCTATAACGTTAGACTCCGAGACCAAGCCCTGAAAAACAGGTGTTGCAAAATACTTGAGTCTTATAAAAATACTGGCGTGGCACTCACGGCGAGATCCCGGCGCAACACCACACGGACTGAGCCAGTGCTTCTTCAGTCTCGGCCAGACTAGGGGCCCGGGGTTTCTTCTTCTGTGGGGCCTCTGCTTCCTCTGCTGTTTGTCAATAATAATAAAAAAAATCATAATCAGCCAAGCCATTTAAAAACTCCACACCCAAAGCACAACTATCCAAGTATTTTGTTCCATTAATGTTTGAGTTATAGAGCTAATGCCTAGTGATAATAAAAAAGGGACATGAAACTAAACTATGCGCAATTATGCTAAGAAAAGATTGTAGATTAAGCCTTAAAAATTCTATTGCATTTGAATACTAAGAGCTGTAAATAATTGTTAGAATCTGTAATCAGCATAGAAATCAATAAAGAAAATAATAGCAGTTATTTTTAAGTGTTCAAAATTATCCATCACAGTATTAAAAGTAAAAGAAATATACCCTAAATTATGGTCTTAATAAACCATGGCTGATCAAGTATTTTTTCTTTTTTATCACTGTGGCATGTAATTTTGACCCAAGGAGCAAAAGGGTTAAATATGGAAGAACAGAACCAAACCCACCGTGTGAGAAAGTGGTATTTCCCATCAAGTGTGCAATAAAATCTCCAGACTCCCATCCTTGTGAACTAAATGTACATTTGCAGGGATGGGACGATAGCTAGGATACATTCCAACTGTTCTGTAACTGGTATTGAGACACTGAAATTACCCCACTCTGGCACAAATTTAGCAGCAACAATAGCTTATTTTAATCTGGCCATATTCTCTGCTGCTGAAGTACAATATACACATCTGTAAATACCTCCGAACCAAGTGCAGAGTTTTATTTTACTCTATTTCATCATCATATTACCGAATTCTTATTCTTATTTTTCTATTATCCATTCTCTTCAATAATAGATCCTGTTTGATGTGTGCAATCTGAGTGCTCTCAAATTGCACACAAAGGTTTTTAATGATTTGCTTTTATTGACTGATTCTGGAGGCTCCACCATTTTAGTGCTTTTAGATCTTACTGCTGCTTTTGACACTGTTGACCACACAATTCTTTTAGACCGCCTGAGAGATTGTGTAGGCGTCAGGGGGACTGCTTGTGAGTGGTTCAGGTCCTACCTGTCGGAGAGGTCTTTCTCAGTCAGGCTGGGGGATGCCACATCTTCTTCTGCTTCACTTTATTGTGGTGTCCCTCAAGGATCTATCTTGGGACCTATCCTTTTAGCACTCTATCTCCTCCCACTTGGGGAGATTTTTAACAGACACAGAGTGTCCTATCACTTTTATGCAGATGACTGCCAAATTTATATGCCAATTTCAAGAGGCCATGCCCTCTGACGCCCCTGCTCAACTGTCTATGTGACGTCAAGGCTTGGTTAGCCCAGAATTTTTTAGTAATGAATGAGGGAAAAACGGAAATTTTAACATTTTGGCCCTTACTGACTTGGGACCACTAGGAAATTATGTGCGTTCCAAAGTCACCAGCCTTGGCATCACTATAGACAGTGATTTTAAATTTGACAAACAAGTTAATGGCGTTTTAAAATCGTGTTTTTATCATCTTCGGCTTTTATCAAAAGTGAAGCCATTCTGATCTTTTAACTTGTTAGAACAGGTTGTGCATGCTTTTATTTCCAGTCGTCTGGACTACTGCAACGCACTTTATGCTGGTGTCAATCAGAAAACCCTCTCCCGGTTGCAGTTGGTCCAGAACGCAGCAGCACGACTTTTAACGGGGGCCAGAAAGCGGGAACACATCACCCCTGTACTCGCGTCTTTGCACTGGCTCCCTGTTCATTTTAGAATTGATTTTAAAATTTTACTGTTTGTTTTTAAATTGTGGCATGGACAGGCCCCTGATTACATTACAGCCAGCTCCAGCTCTTGGTCCCTAACGCGAGACTTAAAACCCGGGGGGACAGAGCCTTCTCTGTGGTCGGCCCTAAGCTCTGGAACGCTCTTCCCCTCCATGTCTGGACGGCCCCCACAGTAGAGTGTTTTAAGTCTCGTCTTAAGACCCACTTTTACTCTTTGGCTTTTAACACTGCGTGAGTTGTGTGGTCCTCTGTGTTTTTATTTCATTTTATTTTATTTCTATTTATGGTTTTAATCTGTTTTATATATTTTTATTCTTTTATACTTGGTGAAGCTAAGGATAAGTTTTTATTTATTTTATGCTTTTTTGTGCATCACTTTGGAAACGTAACTGTTGTTTAAACGTGCTATATAAATAAAGTGGATTGGATTGGATTGCTCTCATTTCCTTCTTTTATTCTGCTGTAATCTGTGCAAGGATTACATTGAAATCTCCCCACTGTGGGACAAATAAAGGATTAATTCATCTTATTTTTTTTAAACGATCTTAACCCTAACACTGCGTCCCATCTCTAGTTCTGTGCCACCAACCTTCAGTGCAGCCCGTCACCTCTCAGTCTCCAAACACCAACACACTGCGTTACCTAAGGAGCTCTTTGAACCTGGACAGCGCTCTCTGGACGGTTGGCCCACCTGGTGAGGACTTGAGGCGCTCCTGGGTCGCCCGCTGTTTGAGGGGGGAGAAGGTGAAGGAGCGGTACGCCCCGGAGTGGAGGACCTTTGTGTGGATGGCTTTCCTGCGCGTCAGTGAGGGAGACGACGTGGGGAAGACTTCATCCTGACTGCTTTGGTCATCACACGACTTACTGCTCTTCTGCAAGGCACGGACACGAAACATGCAACACGTTTTAATCTTGTGAAACTAAACCAGGGGGTTAAGACCAATGGCTCTATGCATTTTGAAAAAAAAAGGCAGTTTTAAAATGAGCAAGATCATAAAAACTTCACTGATAGTTTGCAGCAAATCAAACTTTAAAACATTTTATTGTATAGACACTTTTGCACCCTAGTTTTTATTGTTGCCGAGCTAAATTGAAATGTCTCATCTAAATAACGCAGAGATGCTTTCCTTAAAATCAAATACAGCACTGATATCACTAAACTACAGCAGCTCCAGAGACTATGGACCGAAACAGCACTTTGGGATAACCGTCAAAGACTATCATGCTTTGCCACATTGCTCATACTCTCAATAACAAAGTGGACATAAGAGGCGGAGGGAACGAGGCACCTTTGAGCCGGGCAGCCAGCCTCTGAAAGGGGCCCTCCTGAAGGACACCAGTGCACTGACGCTCAGGGGGAAGCCGTGGTTGAGGAGGGAGGGGTTCCGACGCGGGGCAGGGCCGGAGGACTCCTGCTGAGCCTCCTCTGGGTGTTTCTCCAAATACGACAGCTGGAAACATCTGCACAAGAGCAGGTTCAGGAATTGGGCCTGTTGGAGAAAGGGGGGTGGGGGGGATGTAGGCAGAGCGTATTTAGGGGAGGTCTGTGGTCCACAAAACAAAACATCAGATTTTGCAGTTACATATATTTGACAGACTTACAACTTTAATTCCCTGCAAAATAGTTGAAATATATATAAAAATGACTAAATCCTGATACAATAATTTGTCCAATAATACATATTTGGGTTGACAAGGATTGATCTAAGACTATCGGTCCTAAGGCAGGATGCCTGAAGTCCAATTCATTAAGTTTTGAAGATCTTTAAATGAAAAAAAAATTATTTGGTTGCTTTTTCCCTCCGAACAGTTTTTCATGTTCTAGAAAAACTGAAAAATGGCGCTGTTGCAAGAGCTCTGGTGTGTACTGTCCTGGTGCACACTGGGGTAGTCTTGTGCAGTTTCTCCAATGTGGTTTTACTGCAAATGGCAAATAAATTCTTAGATCTTACAGAGAAAACAAAATTAAGCATTGGTTTGTGGTTTTTTTTGTACATGACTTAATAGGTTTTCCATCTAGGTTGCATTCAGAGTTCTATCAAGATGGAGGGCAGGTGCTAATACCCCTCTATGGGAAAAACTTTTTCAAAGACATGTTGAAAAGGACAATTTATCTGAATATTGTCACCACTTTTAGACACCTTTAAGGGAAAATGTTCAAAGCAATGTTAATTTATAATGACTAACAATATGCAGAACTTGCGGCACTTTTTGATCGATGTGGAATGGTGCTAGAGTTATAGAAATTAACTCTAAACTTAGAACAGAAGAACGACTCTTGATACTGCCCGTCAACCGCAATTTTTTACCACAGCCTTTTTGAATGCTGTGATGTCATATCAACAATGACATCGAACATTTATTTTTCAATCTACTAAAGCAAGAACTGAAGTGAAATCAAGGTGTGTTTCTGTTCTGAGTGAAATTATGGAAAGAATTAACAAGATTTAAACAAAATTGAATTATTTAGTTTGAAATTAAAACTTGTTTCAAATATTTAAAGAATGTGAAAAGTCACTTTGTTTTTTGTATGTTTGTTAATTATGGTATACTATACATATAAAACTCAAAAGCTGGTTAAACTGAGGGTGTAGAACGGATAGGCTCGAATAGGTATTGCTTCTGTCTATTCAGTTTTTGGTTGCATTTTATTGGCTATTTATTTTATGTTATTTTATGTTTTACCTGTAACTTTGTTGATGTGATGACCAAAATAAAACCAATCAATCAAACCACATATGTCCTACCTACATCAAAATAGTGCTGATAAAAATCCTGATAATTAATAGACTTGAGGTAGCCAAGATAAATGTCCTCGCCATTTTAACACATTGAAAGCCCTAGTTTTGAAATATAAAAAAATGGATCACGCTGAAATAAGGTTTTTAAGATTATAGATGTGTGTTAAACAGAAAAAAAGTGGATTACAGCTCTGGCGTGTCGGGCTTTGAACACATGGCAGTAAAGCTGGGCGTCCGTGCTTCCTGGGTTGTGGGAGACAAAGGCGAACTGTGAGTCTGTGGGACGAGCCGTGGAGAGGGACACTCTGCGGAGCGCGTGAGCCATCAGCAAAGTCTACGGGACAAACTAAAATACGTTACGCATTTCTTACAAAAAAAACAGACCTTCTCTAAAAAGCAAACCCCTCCTTACGGTTTCATCCTCGTCGTACATCTTCACTCCTTTGATGGAAAACTTCAGTGATACGATGCGTTTTGTTTTGCATGCCTGGATTTAGAGAGGACACGTGCAGCATCAGAGGTGACTATATTTAGAAGTGCATTAAAAAGAGGAACTCACCCGGATGCGTTGGAGCTGTGTGTGCAGTTGTTCAATTTGATCGTCCAGGCAGCAGTCATCCAGAGGAAATGACCCCACATACTGAGAATACAGTGACAAATATCAATATCAATGGAGGTGAGCTGGGCTACGGTTTCATATTGAGGAAGTAGACGTGTGGTGACTCAGCTGACTCCACAATACAACACAGCAGTTCTTAAAAACCCCAGCGTTAAATCACAAGAGTTACCGCTTTGCATCCACCACCACCAGAAGAGTTATAAAACTATTAGAAAACTGCTGAGTTGGTGTATATTGTGAGACTATAACATTTCACATTGATAAAAGAAAAATACTCTAAAATTAAATTTGCATTTCACAATTTTAGAGTAAGAGTAAATATGTATACATTCAAAACATTTTTTTTTTTTTTAGCAAAACCTCGGTCTTAGCAAATTCCCTCAACCTAAATAAGGGAGATTTTTTTTTTTTAGAACACATGAAATACACAGGATATGTTTTATGTGATTAAGGCTTGTTGTCAGAACAGTTTATAGACTTATTATGTTGATTCCATCCAGTTTTGTAGCTATAGAATGTACGTTTATGTCAAAATAGATTGATGAATGACATAGAAGCCAACAGTTGTTTGCCTTTGCAGAGTTCATAGAGTTAGTTCCCAGAATTTGTGTGATTTTTGTGTTAAAGCCATGTGTTAACTTAAAACAGCTCATTCCATCATGTTGTTTCCAGGTAAAACATGAACAAGTCATCTATCTGCTTTGTTTTGCTCAATCAGCTGTTGGATAAGTGTTACGTTACAATATGAACAACCTCTATATTACACAAATATTTACCTTTTTCCAGGTATCAGTACTACTTTTTTACTTTAACACCTCAATGTTCAACCCCAATACCCCCACACTTTTGATTCCAGACATTATGATTACGTTTTGCAGATGGCAACATTGCATGAAACAGGTTTTTAAAGTGGTTCACCAGGCTTCTCAAGTTGTACACGTTTCGTTTATTGTCATTTTATGAATTTAGATCTACAGTATCAGTGTCATATGTTTCAAATACCCATATCTCAAATGCACATCTGACATTTTAATTGACTACATGTTCATTTCTTTGCACTTGTGTGGATTTGTTCATTTTTATATATAAAAGACTTATACTTTTGCAGCATCTGACTCAAATGTTTTCTAATAGATAAGAAAGTTAAACATTTTCTGGAGTGGAAAAATGTCAGGTACCCCAGCTTTAAATACAAAGCTAAAACATAACTCATACCTCAGCTGTGCGAGTGACTGTCCCATCCTCTCTGCCCGGTGCCTCTCCCATGTTCGTGACTTTAATCCAAGAAAACAAAGTCAAAGATCGCGAAATTTGAAGGTATAGAGAAAGAGATAAAGAGATAGTCCTGACTCAAAGTTCATTGCCTAAAGCACTTGTTCACGTTATAACCAGCTTTGAGCGCTGACTGTACATGCGCGAAGAAACATCAGAGACCATGTTTAAATACTGACTGAATGAAAAGGTATGTTGTGATTCTTTTTTAGTGATAAGAGTAGAGTGTGAAGGGTAGAACGCAAGTCAAGAATAGAATAGAAACTCACCTATATGCAGTGTCAGCGGTCTGTCCTTTCCCCAGGATCTGCACCAGTCCTCTCGCAGTCCTCTAGTCCTATAACTTTGTCTATGGTCCTGCGCTGCTTGTCTGGCCCCAGGATAGATAAATCTGATCTAGGCCCAGGTGCGTCTGCTGCTGAGGCGGGGCTTCGCTATGGTCCACCCGCTGTAGGCTGAGAGCTGATCGATTTATAAATAATCTAATATACACTTTACAATATTGAAAGAATGACACAGTTCCGCTGCGTCTCTCCCCGCGGGCTCCAGTGTCTGTCTATCCCAGATTTCCTCTCCACCAATTCCTGAAAGTTGCGAAACCCGCGTCCCTCCCTCTGTTGAAGGCATGACTCAAGTCGTAACTCTCAGAGCAGTCAATTTGACGGCTTTTAGTGTATGTACCTTTGTGGTCTTCATAACTTGGTGACTTTTTCCTGAAACTATTTATGTAATTGTTTCATTGTATTACTTTATTAAGTAGTTTATTGATAAATTATATATATATATATATATATATATATATATATATATATATATATATATATATATATATATATATATATATATATATATATATATATATAAAATGCTACTACCATAGCAACACATTTTTTACTCGCAGCAGTTAGCTTGGTAGCGTTTCAAACTGTTTTGGCTATTTTTCATGTTACATTCATTGTAGCATTGAAGTTTCATTTCATGTTTTATAAAGTGAAATTTCTCACCAGGTCTCCCATGAAACTTATTTTGACTGCTCTCATTCAAACCAGTATGATTCTGAGAAATTCTCTCAAAGATGTTTAGTTTCTTAGACATTTGTATTAAGTAATTTTTTACATTTAATCCCTTTTATCAAGTGCAAAAACTGGTAAACACAACTTAAAATAATAATAAAGGACCTCCTTAAAATACAGCAAAAAGCAGTTGGTTGAAAGGGTACCAAAAGCTAACTGGTAGCAAGTAAACATTAGGTTGCCATGGTGACTAATACTGGCTATTTTATTTCGTCTTAGTGCAGTGTATTTGTTCACTATTTTTGTGCTGTGCTCCTCACTCCCACTGCTCTGTAACTGGTGCGGCAACGCTGAAATTTGCCCACTGTGGGGTGAAATAAAGCATGTTTTAATCTTTATAAATGTTCCACAGTGGGCAATTGAAATAACATTTGCGAATATGAATAATCGGATTACTCTCTCATCCAGGAGCCGCAGGTTTGATTAAGGAACAAAAAGAAAGTGTAAAACGTGTTACAAATACAGCCATTTATTAATGACCTTAGAGAAAAAGGCTGAACAACACATTGTTTACATGCATGCAGAGTATGTAATAAGCTCTTGGACTTTTCTTATTCACAAACACACGTCTCAAAGTTTCTACTGTGATCCACTGAAATCAAATCTGTCTGTTCACACACATCAAAAAGACATTTCCTCAAAAGCCACATCTTAAAATGAACACAGACTTAATTCAAGTCATTCGCCTGGCACCTGCAGGCACAAATCTTTTTCAAGGGTTAGGTTTAAATTATAAAATCACATTAAGGAAAATCATTGTGGGGTTTTTTTTAACCAGACAATACAGTAAATAATATTAAAACATGACAGAAAATTAACTAAATTTCCCAGTGAGAAATTGATGTATTGTGTGCTGCATACATATAGCGTGAGGAAGTATAAAACAGAAGTAACTTGTATCTAATTACATGTTGGACCATTGCTACTTTTTTTTCACCCCCCATCCGTTCATAGACCTGCTCCTTGAAGCACTATCAGCTTTCTACGCACGGATAATAAGAAACACTGGAAACTTGATGTACAGTCAACTTAAAAAAGTAATCTACTCTACAATAGAAATTAAAAAACTGCTGCCTCATAAAACGGCAGAAACTGATAAAAGAGCACTGGTACAGATGCAAACTGCTCGCGCCGCCGCTAACGTCTAGCGTCGCCCCCGTTTGGACTTCCGGGCTGACTGGGCGCTGGTCTTTGCCCCCTTTTTGGCAGCGGGTTTCGGGGGCGCGGCTCGGGAAACGCTCTTTTTGGTCGCCTGCTTTTTCGGTGGAGGTGCAGGGGATTTCTCGGGTTTGGATCGGCTGGACCGCCCTTTCGCCGCCTTCTTGGGAACAGGAACCTCCTCCTCTTCCTCTTCTTCCTCTTCTTCTTCCTCCTCCTCCGAAGACTCATCTCTGGGAGCGGGTCGTTTGGCTGCCCGGCTGGCCATCTTCTTCACTGCGGGAGTTGTCGGTTTTTTGGCGGATCCCTTCTTTTTCACAGGGGTGGCAGCCTTCTTCTTCGGGGAGGGGACAGGTTTGCTCGCCACTTTCTTGACGGGAGACCTTTTGCCGCCTTTGGATTTGGAGCGAGCTGCGCTTCTGGATTTACTTGGTGGAGGACGCCGTACCTTGGGGGGAGGTCTCTTACTCCTTAAAATACAAAGAAATAATAAATAAGTGAACAATTAAGTTTGCATTTGCTCAGAAGAAGATACAAAAAGAAGATAGAAAAAAATCATAAGGCATTACAATCATGAATATAATCCTTATGATAAAATCCTTCAGTTCTGTGCTCAGCTAAACAGAACTGTTTTTAACCTGGATTTGAACATTGTCAAAGAAGAAGCCTGCCTCACATTTGCAAGCAGACTGTTCCAGATTATAGCTGCATAAATCTGATATGCTGCCTCCCCATGTTTAGTCCTGACTCTGGGCACCAGCAGGAGGCCAGTCCCTGTGCTCCTCAGAGCTCAAGTTTGTTCATATGGTGCTAGCATGTCACAGATGTATATTGTCCTGAGGCCATGGAGAGACTTTCTTGAACTTCCTGGTTCTAGTCAGGACTCGAGCTTTGAGTTAATCCATTTGCTTGTACATGAGTTAATTTGCTCGTCTTTTGTCAGTCCTTCGAGACACACGAGACTCACCGACTGCGGGCAGGAGCCTCGTCTTCAGACTCTTCCTCCTCGGACTCTTCTTCAGATTCGTCAGACTCGTCGTCTGATCTGGCCCTCCTTCGTTTTGGAGCACTTTTCTTTTCTTCAAGCTCTTTAAACCGGTCTGGATACAAAACAGTCGGACTGCGGGAAAAAAAACAATTATGTAACATGACAGCCAATTTCAGCATCGGGTTTAGATATTGGCCACTCATTCCTGCTACTACCTTTGTTGTTTTAAAAAGTTTGCATTCAGTGCAGCAGCCATTCATAATTATTATCTATGTAGTGATTCAAGGATTCTTTATAGAATTTAGGAAAACTATGGATTAATAAATGTAATCTTTATCAATATTTATAAAACCCAGATCAGATATATATTCCCCCTATTGCCCCCATATGGACGATTTTGTGAAGTCCTCCGAGAGAGTGCTGTGATTTTGGGCTATACAATAATAAATTGAATCATCACCATTACCAAATAAAATAGCACACGCTGGACCTCATTTATCATTATTGCGGTGAAACTGCCCCATATTTCTCCGCACCCAACAACAGCTAATGATAAATGAGGCTTGTGTGGAAACCTGGCCTAGAAAGCCACGCCTACTTGTCTGGACACGAACCACAAGTGTCTGATTGGCGGCTGAGGTTGAGCTTCAAGGTGATGTCACACACGCCGAGTTGTTGTCCCAAACTAATGGTGATCAACAAAAGCCTGAGTTTGCCCCACACCTGTCGCCGTTTTAAATTCACGGCCGCTGTTTGCACTGTTTTTTTTCCTCTGTCCAACTGCGTGCTTTTGACTCAACTTCTATAATTGACTGGGAGTATTTAGATCAATCAGGTCCACATTAATTGCCTTTTTTAGTTTTCCTTATCGATGCAGGAGGCTGACGATCCAGGACACTAGACATTCATGCACATAGGTCAGCAGCCCCTTATGGACAATGGCTCTGTGCTTTCTATCAATGCATATCTTGTGTTTAAACAGTTTGATTCTCTGATCTGTGTGGGCGAATTCAACTATAGTTGTAATTTACGGCCATACAAAAACAATTTTAATAGAATTTCTATTATTACATGCACTAAAAGAAATGCGGTAAAAAAAAGAAATAAGTAAGAATGTATTACTGGATTTATGGGCCAGAAGAGAAGACTGAATACTTTCCAATAGTGTTTTCAATTCAACCAGTGACGATTATTATTATAGTGTCACTCGAGTCAAAGCACACACACCTTGGGTAGTAGGGGAAGGAGAGCCGGTACGTCCCCGTGAAGCCGTGGCCAGAGATCTGCTCCATCCAGCCCAGAACTTTGCACTTGGTCAGAGTCCTTCGCAGAGAAGTGACTGAAAAAGAACAGCAATGAATGAGAGTGAGGCATGTTTTCGTCTGATTTTTTTGGTAGCATTGGTAGCAGCCCGAGACCTTAAACAGATTAGACACTAGTACCTAGCATGTACTCCTTTCGATCCTTATTCGAGTCCACGAGGTGTTTGCGAAGACTCGTAGTGCTGCATGTCTTGGGTTCATTCATGGCTGTAATTGCAGCAATAATAGCATCGTCCAAAGTGCTACCTTTTAACTGGTTTTGGTTGCGTTTCAGCTGTTAAAACAAGAGAAACAATATAATGTACAGCCACAAAGGTGAATGGAATCAAAAGAGCTCTTCTATATTAAAATACAAACCTGAAATGTGCCGCTTGCTCCTTTTCCAGTGATCTGTTCCACTTGTCCCTTTTCTATGGCTCTTCCCAAAGCAGTTTTTAGAATATCAGGTCTGAAACCAAATCATTTGACAAACAAAGTTATTCTGTGCAGTGAGTCTACAGATAACTTGGAATGACTTCCATACAGAACTATGTATTTTACCCGATTTCTCACTTGATGCAAGAAAGCAAACATACCTTTTCTCAACATTGAGGGCAGGAAAGTGCTGCATCAGGTACTTCTTTATAAGAGCGTAAGAGGCTTCTTTGGGCTCACAGAGACGGGTGATGATGAGGGGAAGGGAATCTCCCAGAGACTCTGCGTTTGGTGCACTTTTCTGTAATGAACATTTCCAACACGTCAGACACACATGCAGACACAGGACAGGCGTGTAGGACAGCAGATCCAACACTAACCTTTGATGCTGGCACCACTTTCCCGATGGCAAAGGTTCCCGACAGACCTTTACCCTTCAACTGTGCAGAAAACAAACACCCCCAGTCAACATTTTATTAAATCATTAATAACATATTTATTTAAAAACGTTACCTGCTTGATGGCACCATTCCCCAACTGCTTCTTCATGGCTTTTTTAATAAGAAACTTCTTTCTCTCAAGTTCCATCGAAGGGTATTTTTTGAGAATGTATTTATATAGTGACTGGTAAGAAACTCCAGACCGAGAGTTGAAAGACTGCAAATGAAAGACTGTTACATTTCACATCTGAAAGCAGGACTTAATGTTTCCAGACAATCACGCACCGTTATCGCTTCAACAAGGATGTTATCCAGTTTGTGCTGCGTCCCTGCATAGTTTGTAACAGGGACCTTTTTATTGGAGGAAACACTGGCCCAGGCTGGAATGGTTCTTTTCACCTTCTTCCCTTTGGACTTGTACTTGTATCCATCTTTCAGCCTGTTGCCAAAATGAACATAAAAGTTCAAGTTATGCTTCATAATAGCTTGTGAGCGATATTTCACTATGATCGTTGCCACCCTTATCTTTACGACATCCTCACCTTAGTATGGAAACAAAGCAGTGTGTGGTGCAGTGTCCAGCCAAGCAGTCCTTGCATTTTTCACTTTATCCATGTGTCAGCGCCGGGAGAGACAAAATGACATTTCAGAACATCCGTCTTAATGAGCAACAGTAACTACACTACTCAGGTCTTTAGAACTTGTTTGTGTTACTAGTGGTACCCATTCATCACACACATCCCAGCCAAATTCAAATGTGAAACACTGTATGGAAAGAAATATTCTTGGCCACACAGACTGATACATCTGCATGCTGAATTCAGAAAGGTTTGTATGCATGTATGTATGTATGTATGTATTTGAGAAGAATTGTCTCAGCCATTGGGCAACCAGCGAGTCGGTACCCAGAAGAGGCAAGGATAAAGAACACAGATAAAAGTGCTATCAAAGTGAAATATCGCAGAGGCCAGAGTTGGACAGATTTAATCACTCACGCTTTGTCTTTCCCGTCCTCAGCGGTTCCCTCATCAGGATCCTTCTCGCCATTCTCCGTTGGTTCGGACTCGTCGGTGGACTGACCCTCCTTCGCCTCAGCGTCTGGGGCTGAGGACTTAACTGGACTGTCATTAGCTGATGGAGAATCTTCTGATTTTTCTTCATCGTCTAAAAGAAAATCAGATACAATCAATTTTAAGAAATGATATGAAGATTTGTTTAAGTATTCCTTATAGCTATTTTTACAATTTCTCTTAGTTTGTGACTTACAGTGGCAATATAAAAATATTGCTAATTCTACAGCTCACCAATTATAGAATCATTTTGACTGGGACGCCACTGGACATTTTTCAGATACAAAATATAAACAAAAAATATTGTTTGATGTGGAAAAACATAGTATAGTATTTGCTTTTAGCAAGTTATCCAATGTCAATATTGCTTCCTTTCCAAGGCAACAAAGGCAAGGCAAGAATGGTATATTTGGTAAAGCAGTTACACAAGGTGACTCAAAGTGCTTAACTAAACAAGATTAAACGATCAGACAAGGCATTCAAATCATAAATAATCCCAGAAAATTGAAAAGAGTAAAAATAAAAACCCTCAATTGTATTCACATCTAAACTCAACTGTATTTTAAAAGGTTTATTGTAACCCAGCAATGAGTCTCAATGATAGCAAACAAGAACTATTGCCATATTGATAAGCAGTTAAAAATATATGTATATATTTTGAATCAAAACAGTCCTGAAAGTTCAAACCCACGATACAGACAGTACTATGACCTGAAATATTAGGAGATGAAGAGATCCTTTATTCGTCCCACAGAAGGGATATTTCAGTGTTGCACCACCAGCTACAGAACAGTAGAAATGAGGACCACACAGCACAAGAGAACTCCAAATAGATATATACCAAATAGAATAAAATATCAATAAAGAAGCACCAATTAGTTGCCATATGATATTAATAATGAGGCCCATTGCTATATAGATAAGCAGATAAAAATATAGGTATATACTTTGAATAATTTAAGTGTACTATCTTGCAAGACACTAACTTTTTAACATGTTTGCATATTCCCCGCTTGCTCCAAAATCTCCATTGTGAGATCAAATAAGTCCAACTCATCTCATCTTAAAAACGGTGCTGAAAGTTCAAGACGATGATAGAGATATTACTCTGGCCTGAATCAAACATTACGCAGGACAGCCAATGCAAAGTGCACTGCAAATCAACTCGCCACACCATTCCAGCACTAGGATATAGCTTTTTTTTTAGCTATTATTTTGTTTATTCCAAGGGCAGAATCACCTGACCCCCTGGTTACAGCCGTGTGCAGTGCAGTAAAGCAGAGGGGCCTGTACCTTTCTCTGCCGCTGAGGAGGGGGGCTTCTCCGGGGGCGGAATGGTTGTTGTTCGGCGAATCGGCATCACTCCAAACCTTTCCAAATTGACACAAAAAAATCAATGATGAAAACGGGGAAATGTAGAAGTGTTGTGAAGAAATAGAGTCTTCCTGCGCATTGAGACAAAATGGTTATTGCAGTATGAGCTTCGGGTACGGCCTCCCATTCATTCTCTCCATACAGAACAACACAAGCCACACGTATATGGATTACATTATTTTCGGGATTTTCAGCTCTACTTTCGGGGTTTCATGGGCTCATGTATGTGTATGCCCATGGATAACTCAAGATCACACGTAGTAGTTTAAACAAAAACAAAAAAAGAAAAAAAAACCTTAAATTTCGCCATTTTGTTGGTTTGCGTTACACGTCGTAATGGCGCCGATCAAGCCAGAAAAAAAATAAGTTTCTATCCGCTTTTCACGGACCGTTCCATGAATGCACACATGCAAACGTAAACCGGCTTAGTAACGTGTCAATATGCAAATACAACTAACCTTTCTACTGCCGAGGAAACGTAAAAGACTTTGGAAGTAAATTTCTGCACGATCCTTTATTTAGATTTGGCCGTTTGCGTGCCCCGCCCCACTACCGCCGCGGATGCTTACGCTCTTACGTCACATTCGCGAGCGCTAATATTTTACGGAAAAAAAATAAATAAAAAAATAATGGGTCCATCACATAATATAAGATACACTTTTTTAGTTTTTAAATAAGATGAGAAATAAAAAGATTTCAGGTTACGGTCAAATCAAACAGGATCTATAAAAATACATTCGTAACTGTCTATGAGTAAACACTGTAGTTAGCAGCAGTCATGAAGTATTTACAGATAGTTGGTATTGCACATAATATATAATCTGATATATATAATCAAATACTTTACTTACCACCTTTGGTTTGATCCCGTAGAAAGGCACATCCCAAGTTGTATGTAAAAACATTAACCTTACTTAATAGTGTGAATTTTGGTTCTGACACACATAGAACTAGAACACGTGTTGGGAAAAACTACATCATGCCAAAGATAAAAAAAATATAAAGTACTGTAGTAAAAAGATATCTTGAGGGCTGTGTAAAGTAATAGGTAGCTATAATCTATATCTTCCTAATTACAAAAATGAACATTGGTAATATTAAATTAAATATAAAAAAAAAATATACAAAAAGCAACTCATTTCAATATCAACTGTTTTAGGCTGCAATTGAAACAAAACTCATGGCTTTCATTAAAACACTATCTGTGTAAATGGTTTTAAATGTGTGGGAGAAAACACACATAATGGAGATGATCCGTTTTGAACAATAAGTATACCCAAAAATTCTCACTCTGATAAATAGATATATGTTGATGTATGGAGTGCTGGGAATCACTCGTTACAAAAGTAATTGTTACTGTATGAAAATGAAAGTTACTCTCATTTATAGTGAAAAGGAACTTGTATGCAGTGCTTACTATCGCCTGGACGACAGACATATTACAAAACTGGAAATAAAAAATATATATATTTTACATTTTTCAGAGTAACCTACCCAACACTGGAGTCGGCAAAGATGTATCAAGACAAAATAGAGAAGTGATAAAGAACACTGTTGAAACAATTTAGCAAATAGATTTTTTGTTTTTATTTACAAACGGTTCATTTGTTGGTAAGTATTGTAAGCATATGTTCAGTTTCCCTGGCCATGTGACTTTTACTCTTCTCATGTGTCCAGTTTGTCCTCCTGGAGAGGGTAGTAGGCTGCCTCCTTCCTGAATGGATTCTGTACAGTTCACATACAGCACGTCGAGGTTAAGAGAGTGGAACCCAAACGGGCCATTCACAGAGTTTAGCTTTCTCCCCTTCATTTCCAAATAACTTTGGTTTATCCTGTTTAAATTCAAACAGTGTTGAGTCCAGGGAAGCCATTTATTTCTATTATTTAGTTATTATAATTAATTTTATTTATGCTTTCAGGTTCTCCTTTGAACATCTGCAAACGTTAAATAACTTTCATATTCGCAGTTCTTAAAAAAATAATAAATTAAAGAGTTCAGGACCTATGTAGTCTTTTTTAAAAAGTAATAAAACAAAATTTAAAAACAAAAATATTTTCTATGTATAATACAAGTATTTCGTGCTTCCACCATAGCAATCCAAACTCAAAATGGCAGCATGTTTCAGAACTGTACCGCAGAAAGAAACATCCAGCCGTAAACATGTCGTCCTGCTCATACACCCATTTTGAATTCATTTTAATTCGTTGATAATGAAGTTTGACTATTTCAATGTCCTGGATTGCCTCTTGTCAATTATCTTCCGACTCCTCTTCGGCTTCCCGTAACCAGGTAAAAAATGCAGTCACAGATTTCAGGGCCACGCCTTTGCCTAGCTGCTCTGCGGGGTCTTTACTCGACTCCCACTTGTAAAACGCATCCTCAGAGATAACGTCCTCATCATACAGACAGTCAAAGAACATCCGGAGGAGATCTGAAAGAGGAATTTCATTTAATCATAGTGTCTTGATCTGACTGGGATCTAAGAGTCTAAGTTAAAGTGGACAAAAACGGTCCTATACAGTACCTATAATGTAAGCATTCATAACTTACTTGGTGGCTGATCAAGGGTCATGATCAGAGCTTGAAGTGCATAAAGTGCTTGAAGCTGTCGCTCAGTGTCTGAGTTAAGGTACTTGAGTAAAACAGGAAGTCTCCTCTGAATGATGGCCGTGTCGACACGACAGTTGGTATTCTCATCTGTCCATCACAACACAGATTGTCAGTTTAGAAACGGTGAAACAAAGTGTAATGCAACAGTTTTTTCTCTGCATCTGTTTCTGTCCCGAGGAGTTGATAATGCTGCATTCACGTGTTTTCAGGAACTCAGAAATGTCGTCACTAATCAAAGCTCGGCCAATAAGACTAAATAATGTTGTGGTGTTGAGAGAGAGATGGGGGGTCGGAGAGTAATTGGGCCTGTGTGTGTTGTGTGTATGTTTGTGTGTGTCTTTATGTGATTGTATTATTCTGTTGTCATATTTTGTTAATGCTGTTTCTTGGAATAAACATAAATGAAATGTTTAGGAGAAGCCCACAGAGTGATGCGTCTTCTGTACAAAGATAATGGGACCACAAATATGTCTGCGCACCTTCTCTGCCTCTTCAACCTTGTGCAGTATCAGTTCAGTCATCACTGCTTATTTATCATTTAGAACATCTTAAATGCACACAGTGTAAGCCCAGCTTTAATGCATGGTTACCTTTGACAGCTGCTTTGCACACAGCAGTCATTAAAGCCCTCAAGAAAGGAGACGAGCTCATCTCGGACTCATCCAGGTTTGCCTATATAGAACAAAGACAAACATTATAGTTTTTTTTTTTTTTTTTATTAACCATAAATATCAAGAATTTGCTCTTACCTCAACCCAGTCAAAGATTTGCTCATCACTGGCTATATCCTCCAAAAGAAGTTTCTCCAATTGTTGGTTCAACTCCTCTGGAGAAAAGACCCTTTTTGACAACGGCGACTCGGGGAGAGACGTTTCTGACAGAAACTGGAGTTTCTGTTTTTTAAAGACATAAATGAGAGACAATTGTTAGCCATAACATTCTGAGGTGGAGTAGTAAAAGTAGTAAATTACAAACTGAACTGGCAGTTAAGAAATGAGACAGAAAACATTCCTCAACAAGAAATACATTAGTTTTTATACAGTAGCCATTATTCTAAATGATGGTCAAATAAAATAAAATATATTGCAAGTACAATTATCTGGATCGGATATGAATTCAGTTAATAAAAATGCATATCGCCCACTGTGGGAAAAATAAAGGATCTCTCAATCTCTTATTTGTTTCCTTAGTGCCGCTTTAAACATGAGAGTTTTGGTTGTGGGGTAGGAAATGTAAGTTTGGTAAAAACATGAGCTGCTTGTAAGTAAGTAAGTAAGTTTTTATTTATATACCGCCTTTTCACTGCAGAGCTGAGTCTCAAAGCGGTTTACAATTGTTAATTTTGGGCATTTGTCTCTCACTCCACACAGAGATGGGAGGGGGGTTACCAGTACAGGAAGCGCATGCCAGAACTATTGGACATATTTTTAGTGGTAGGGGAAACGCAGACACGGGGAGAACATGCAAACTCCACTCAGAAAGGCCCTGGTCCGACCGGGATTCGAACCCAGGACCTTCTTGCTGAGAGGCGAGAGTGCTATCCACTCAGCCACCTTGTGCCCGCATTGAAAGATCCAGGCTCCTGTGGACTCACCACCTGCAGGAGGATCAGTGAGGGGCTGGTGCTATGTGTACTGGGTGCAGCTCTGACTGCCACCTCTGACCCAGAAATGGATTAAGGGGAAGAAGATGGATGGATGGATGAGCTGCTTGTAATATATAACGGTCTTTCTTTGTGGATTCAGCTTTGGATGGAATATTATTAGACAAAACAGAACGGAGAGTGTAGCATTTGGCTGTGGTTATCTCAAGTCTTTGAATGATCTCCTTACATTTATCAATTCCATTCAGTTTTACGCAGCTTTACTGAGCTGCATCACACGTCCATCACATTTTACCACATTTTGTCCGGAGAACAAAGCTCCTGAACGAGGGCTGCAGATGAGGTCTCAGGCTCAATAAGACTCATTACATTGTTTAAACCATCTGACATTTCACATGATTTGCCATATGCTTAGAAAATTATTCTTCTAAAAATAGTATTAAAAATGATACAGGTATATTTTGTCTGTAGTTTCTTCGTATTTTAAACAGAAGGGGCAGAGAGCAATAGCATGCACCTGCAGCCTGCGTCAGAATCTGCAATTTAGAACCACATGTGTCCACAAACATGTAAAGATGTATACATACAACTATATTTCTTGCACTAGAATATATATTTTTATACTTGCTTCTTCATTACGAGTTGCAGATTTGAGTCCCGCTTCCTTATTACTCTAAACCGAGCATGTGCTGATATATTGGGGAGGTTTAACATGGGACTTGCATGCAGATTTAGTTAGCACGAGCTTGTAAACTTGTAACCTTCCCATGTGGAAAATGCTGATTGGAGCATCTTCATTCCTCCATGCTTTGAATTCACTTGCAATTTGTATAATCTTTGTTTGTGTCTCTTCTCTACCATCGACATAAAACATGTCTTCTGTCTGCGACACAACCCCAGACCCCCGCGTCATTTTCCTCTGCACACCAAAACGCAGCCTCGATCATTTGACAGCTGCATTTTGCGTCACAAACTCACACACTGAAGATGTTTCTTCCAACGGTTCTCCTAACAGCTCAAATAGTGTCAGTGTTCGAATTTTTACAAACGAATTGCTGACAAAAGGAAGCGTGAGGCTGGGAGACAAGCAAAGAGCCGATGAAGTGTTCTGAGGGAATGTTTGTGCAGGTCCACGCAGTCAGACATCCACTGTGCGCTTTGTCTTATTGGAAATAAAAGACTCTTGCAATGCATTTAGGTTTTAAAGATGACACCCACCGGAAAGTTTTAGTTGTTTTTGACCATGTTTTGGTGGTCCAGATCCAGAATGATCACTCACACACATTATTTATCTGCTTGTGTGTGAAGTAATTTACTGTATTTCCTAATAAACAAAGATTGTATTGTCAAATTATGGCTTAATTGAGCCTTTCTGTGGATTGGTCAAATGTGGAGTTTATGCAACAGTCAAGCAGAGCCGCATACATATCAGCAAAACCGTATTACAATAAACTGGAAATTTGATCATTCCAATCTCCAGACATATTATTTTATGACTAACCTGCATTGAAATGAAAGACTCGACATCTTCTCCTTCTGGTAATAAGTCCACCCAACTCAGACCAGAATCTTTCCACAAAGTAGCCACAGATCTATGACTCTGTAAAGTCATAATTTTAGAATCATTTCACAATAGCACCATTTCAGATTTGTAAAATCCAATACCATTTGTTTGCATAGTAAATGCAGTATTTCAGACATAAGGATCCCAGCTCTTCCCACAGGAAGCAAAGGTTTGCTTAATCCACTGAAAACAGACAAAAGACAGATCCACTTATGAGAATGGTTTCATTAACAGAAACTTCAGTCTAAGAAATAAATGTCAGACTGATGGAGCAAACACCTCCATCTACAGACGGCTGTGGGAAGCACAGATCCACTCATTAAGCCCCAGATCCTCCAGGTAGAGCTGCCTCTAGGACCAATGGATGCATTTCCCCAAGTTTTGGGGGGTTTGAGCATTCGAACAAGCAGTATGCAATTTAGACATTTGAACTAATTTATACATTTTACTGCTTTTACATTGATGTATTTCATGGAAGAATGTATCCAAAACACAATATTCTATCTGAAATGAAGACAAAAAAGGTTGAAAAAAGTTGAAATAGAACACCTCAGTGTAAGTGACTGTAAAAGTTGACATTTCTACATTAGTGCGAGTTTACACTATTAAAAAAGCTAACTAAAAAGGATATATCCTCTACCACAGTTAAAAGCTCAAAAGGTAGTTTAATCATATCAAGTGTGACATCAATAACAACAAGTTGTTACTCATAACAAGTTCTGAGTAAGACGCTTACATACCTAAAGAGCTCTCTCATAGAGAAGGCCCCATCTTTTAGCATTGGACAGAGCAGTTCAGCAAGATACAGCCAGATGTGGGGAATGTCTATGGCCATGTCATCTGCCTGCTCTAGCGTGTCTGAAAACCTGAGAACAACAAAGACATAAGTTATTATTATACAGTGCACTCTAAACATTTTAAATGGGCTTAATAGATATTGTCCAACACTTGAACCAAAAGCATAATCTTTACTATTATTTTTTTACCATAGCCTTTCCAGGAGGAAGAAATAGGGAAAAAAGGTTACAAACTTCAGGTGGGTGAAGTCACACTCAATGAGGTCCCAGAGGTGTAATCTTCAAAATTACTTTGTAGTTTGATTATCATTTAAAACCTGCTACACCCCGTGGTGGGAGAGTGTGCATGCTTGGATGATCCTAGTAGCTAAGTTCCCTGGGAGTCTCAACAGAGACAGCTGCCCCCGAAACCTGGCACTGAATAAAGTGGAAGAAAATGGCTGGAGGGATACAAACGGCAGAGCAAAGTAACAGCAGCCCACAATCCCCTGTACACAGGACTAGGGATGTACCGATCCGATATTCAGTATAGGTATCGGGGGCCGATATGGGTATTTTGTAAGGATCGGATAATATCGGATTTGGTAAATATGAAGCCGATTTACGTCACTTTTCAGCATGGGTGCCGTAAACTAAATACAATGTAAAACTAGGGCTGGGCAATAAAACGACAACGAGATATATTGTGATAAGACACATGTTCGATATAAATAGTGTAGTTTAACAAAGAATAGAAATCTCCTAACCCTTTATAGAATTCAGATTTGGGCAGGATTCCCTTTTGCACCAGCTGGAAGAAGAGCTGGCCCATGTGGTCTCGTGTGATCTGACTTCGTTCCAGAGTTGACTCGATTCCGATCTGAACGAAGATGTGCAGCTGAGAGCCCAAAACCAGTTCATCCACACAATGAACTGCCTCCTACAGAACAGACACAAGTCAACAATCACACCATCACTGCTAATAAAGCATGCGTGCCAAAAAACTATAACATGTTATAACTTGATTATTGCTATGTGCATTACCATGGAAAAACACCATTCACTACCTATTGTTTAAGAGAAAAAACTGAGCTTGGGACACAATGTTCAGCTTGGATAGGAAAATAAACATTTTGGCAAGTGCAAAAAAGAAAAAAAAAAAGAAAAAAAAAAGAGATTGATCAAGATCAGCCCTACCTTGTAGTCATTAATGTGCAGGAATTCATCAATAATAGATTTGGATTTTCTTTCAATTTCTTCCACGGTTAGGCTGGGGCGCTCTGGTGTCGGTGGAGCAGAATCAGGCTTAACTGTAAACACATTTCTCATTAACAAGAGGACATAGAACTCTGTTGTTGTAATTGTAGTATAACACAGTACTATGTTCTCACCAGGTTCCCTGATTTGGTTGCGCTCCAGCTCAGGTTTTTCCTCTGTCACACTGGCTTTCCTGGACTCTGTGGGTTCTCGGTCCCGGTCTCTGCGAGGCTCTTCTGAAGCGTGGGAGTCCTGCAGCTCTTTGGAGCTCCCTCTTCGGGCAAACAGAGTGGGTCGAGGCGATGGACCGGAAATGAGAGGCTTGTCATTACGCTCTCTCCCTGCGCTCGTTCTAATGACAAGTCAAACAACATTTATTAGTGCAATCACTATCAAAAGGTAATTATTAAACTAAAATTGTGGTGTTAGTGTTAGTGTTACCGTCCAAAGGACCGTCTGGAATCAAAGTCTTGGTTCTGGGGTATCGTAGAGGAAGGCTGGGATGTGGGGGGAGGTTGCAGAGCAGAGTAACGATTGAGACTGGTGCCAGAAGTGCGTGATACTTCTGCTGTGATTAAAATAATACAAATATTTAATGTTTTAATTCAAGTAATATGTTACAGTTTTATCATAGAGAAAATGTACCTGAGTCACTGGCCTTGGCACCTCCGCTGCTTCCCTTTCCCCATGTGACCTGAGCTCGTGGACCAAGCTGTATCTTTTCATCCATCTGCGGCTGTACATTAAGAACAAGAGCATTTTAGAGAAAACAGATGTTGGCAGTAAATTAAACACTCGCAGCGTGAATCAGTGTGAGAGGACACTACCGACACAGGCCACCAGGAGGTGCATGTCACTGTGCACTGTCGGCACACTGTCACTGTGCCTACATCTCCAGCAGTGACATGTACTTTAAAGTCAAGTGAGTTGAGGTAAAATGTGTATGATTAATCAAAAGTCAATGAAGACCCTTTTAACAGACTTGATTGAGGTTTCTCTGACCTTTGAGATCTTTGGGATCTTAGCGGGGTCGATAGTCCTGCTGTTCTTGGTCATGGGCACAGTGCTCCAGGTCTCCTCTCGCTGCATGCGCATCTCTCTCTGTTCCCTCTGTTCTCTGGGCTCTGACAGACAACAGTAAACAAGTAATATGTATCAAAATTAAATTATGTACACATATTTTCATAAATAAGTTACAACAAATTGAAGTATAAGGCTTTATGCCCAGTAAAGGGAGTATCCCGTCTGTCGAGGTGCACAATGAGGGCTGTGTGGGCATTTGAGACAGGAAGTGGGCCTGTTTGCTCACTGACTTCCTGAGTGACTCTAGACGCGTCGATATGTGACGAAGTCCTAAAGAGGATTGGAGCGTTCACTGACCTGGACGACGCTTGCTGTCCTTGGAAAGCAGCTGTTGGTGGACTTTCCTCTGTTCCTCCTGCTCCTCAATTTTGGCTTCTTTGTGGATTTGTTCAATGGTTTTGGGTCCTTGGTCAGCTCTCCGCGACACCCAGTTGTGCTGAAGAAAAAGTTAAGCAAATTTGTTCAAAGTGAATCATTTGGAATTCATCTTTTGAAAGGGGAAAAGGTTGTCAATATGTTGCATGAAACTCATAATGGATTAATCCAAATGTTAAATCAAAACCTTAATCTTAATGATTTGACTCCTGCCCACTATTTGGCAGCACAGGTCAGAAGAGAAGCTTATGAGAGGTTATTGCTTTTTTTCCCCCATGTCATAAAAAAATAAAACCTTGCGAGAATGTTATTCTTATCTGCACCTTGTCATTCTGAATATACCCTTGAATTGAATTATGCTTAATCATTCTGATGTTGGAGTTAGGAAGTCTCAACTTCAGCCTAAAACCCATTTGGTCAAGAATCCTTTAGCACCAAAATTCTAATTATACACAAGTTCATAATGTCCTATACGCATTTAAGGTGCTGAAACTGTAAATGTTTTAATAATACACAAACATTTTGACATCACAAAGAGAAAACATGGAACCATCAAAACTTACCAATCTCAGGTCGATTATATCTTGAAGCATAAAGCGGATTCTCGATGAGGTCTTCCTTTCCTTTACTATTTTCTCCATCTGATTGAAATACTGATCCATTCGAGGCTGTAGAAACAAAAGTATGAATCAGATCTTTCTGTAACGTTGCTTCTTCATTATGCTCAAGTTGGAGATTAGAGATTTGCTAAAGATAGTTTTAATAGTATTTTATTTTAGTAGAGTTATTGCTCATTTATCTTGTGTTGTGTGCTCCTCACTCCTGTAACCGGTGGTGCAAGACTGAAATTTCCCCACTGACGAATAAAGAATCTCTTAAACCTGATACCCAGACAAAGCTGCAAAATTTCAATCTCTCAGTTTGTTTCTTTCATCTTCTGATTAATCCATTGGATTATAAACAAAAAACGTTTGAGTTGTTTCAGCAAATGTCAGTCCAGGGGTCAACAATGGAAAATGAAAACTTTTGCAACTGTTGACATGACCATCTTAATTCAAATTTGCCAGAATGACTAATACTTACTATAGCGCCATATACGGAACGTTCTACCACGATCCTAAATAAATGTTTGTGTAGTCAAACAAAGTCAATTAAACTGCAACACTACAGTACTTCACAACAGGTCTATGACCTGTTGTGAAGTAAAAAAAAAAAATTGGTTCTATTCAGTATTTCGATATTTTACGCAGCATCGGACGAACCAGATGGATTGCTGTAAGAGTTATAGCAAATGTTCTCGTTTTCAACACTAATCCACAGGGGCTTTACAGATAAAAACATTTCAAACAATTACAATAAAAAGTACACGTGAGAACAACTCGGTCTCAATCTTAACCATAGATACAGTAGATTCACTTTTGTGTTTTCTGGGAGTTTACTCTGGTAATTAACATTTGCTTGTTGTGGTGCTTTGTTTTTTTTGTATCAGGTCAAATGAAAATGGCTTCATCACAACTTGTTCTACACAGTGTTTTTGCATTTTACAATGTGCAGACCATAATACACATGACATTTGAATCTTATTTTCTTCAATTTTTGTGATTCCTTTGAGTAATATGAGGGACAGGAATCACAATACATCATCGAATCGCATTAAAATTTAACTGTGACTCATTGAATAGTCACATTTTTTCCAATTCCCAACCCTGTCTATGACCATGAAAATTAAAATAAGTCACCCTACAATGAAAATGCACTTACATTAAAATAAACTCAAAAGTAAGCTATGGTTGCGCCAGACAGTGATCTGCTGATTTGAATCTTGCATAAGACTAAATGTTAAACAATTGGTACATGCTACTTCTTTTGAGTTCAATGACATGACATGACATTTCCCACCTTGGCCTTTTCAAAGTCCAGGTCCTTGCCAATGGTGGTGAGCAGTCTGCAGAGGCACTCCAAAGATTCCTCGTCGTGGTTTTTGAGCAGCTTGACCACGCAGTCGTGCATAATGGCCTCAGTCAACATCTTGAGTTTAAAGAGCTCCCCAATAAATTTGATATTGCCAATAGAACGGCGACGGGCTTTGTCCTTTGCCTCTTCCAGCTCTTCTCGTAGTCTCTCGCGCTCAGTCGTCTAAACAGCAAAAATGGGGCGTTTTAATGTATTTTTCTTTTGAGAAACGAAACTCAAAAACGTTCTGTCATTATCCCTTACCGATGCAGCAGAGTCCAGCTCTTTCTGCTTCCTTTCAAACACCACATCATCAACCTTGTCTTTCTCAAATTCCTTCTGACATCGGTTAAGAAGTAGTTTGCGGAAGTTCACTGTAGTGTTGGGTTTGTCTGTGGGCACTTTGAGCTGGAAACACAAGAGATGCAATAGTCGTGATACCATTCAGGCCAATATGTAAAGTTCGCCATGTACTGCCCACTGTTGTGCTGGTGACCTCAACACAATTCTACTTCCTGACTGACTACTGTTCCACACAATGTGATGTCAAAATATCCTAAAATTTGGCAAAATTGAGCACATTCTGACTGCCTTATAACAACATTGCCAATGCCTTGTGATTGTTGATCTTGTTTTGTTAAGCACATGAGTTTCCTTGTGTAGGAACTGTGCTAAACAAATAAAAATTGCCTTGATGGACTGAACGTGAACTGGGTCAACAAGCGAGTCTGACAAACCTTCAGAACATTTATGCATCACACTGACAAATCTCAAACAAAATCTAATGTTCACGTGATGCTGATGATCAGTTAAATATTGGTCATAAACATTGCAAAAATATCAGTTTATTCTGCAGAGAGCAGAATATGATCCAGACACATCACTGAAAGATGTTGTTTTTGAATCACTCCTTTAAGTTTCTTTCTTGCTTTTTGTATAATTTAACTTCATGGTTACACACAGTGGGGGATTCCATTTCATAGCACTTCAGTTGTACTCAATATCAAGATGTGGGGATTTATAACTAGACCATAAATGAAGTTCCTGGGTTAATACGGACTTGGCCAGTATCACACACATTAAAGTCGATATTAAAAAAGACAAATATATTTTTTCTTTGTAAAAGTCTGTACTAGCAGCTTACCATAGCCAGGCACCGGCACATTTTTGCATAGGCAACAGAGAAGCTGGGCTCGTCTATAGCCTTCTCAAAGACCAGGTCAATGACACCTTTAAGCCTCTCTTCAGTGTCTATGGTCAGGTCGGTCACCTGCTTCATCAGCTGATTGAACTTCTGGGGCGTTAGTTTGTTCAAGATGCAGCGGACCTTTCTAAAAAGCTCCTATAGGAAAAGAATAATATGGTAAGAGAATTGTAAAAAGTGTTTTTTGTCGTTGATTTGTTTCACCTGTGTATTAATGGTTCCTGGATCCTCCGGGGCAGTCTCCCTCTTCAAACCAGGTTTCCAGGCGTTCTCAGCCTTCTTCAGCTGAATATCGTCGTTCACCGACACATTCATGATGATCTTCCGGGGAGGAGGCCGCCGGGAGCTCATGCTCATGAGCTGGAAAAAGATGTCATTAATTTAACAAAACAAAGTAGTTGAAGAGTGGGAATCACTATATCAGTCAAACTCGCATCAAACTTTGTGGCAGACAAAGATCAATAATAAAGAGTTAAAGTATGTTTTGCTATGTACTACTATTAAACGCTATCCTCAAGTTTCTCAGGAGTTATCTGGACCAGAGACACAACATACAATCACAGGGGGAAAAAAGCTCAGGCTTTCCTCTTAGTGTGCAAAGAGAGTCTTTGTGGAATAATCTTTCAACTTTATTGTGTTTTATTCTCCACATAACTGATCAACTACAATCAAGCTTTCAAACTGACTAAAAGGCATCTACACCATTATGTATACCTTTACCTTATTACGCAAACATGACTGAATCACTCTAAAAACAAGTGTGCAATTTGAAAGCAATGAGATATAACAATGGCACCAGTTAATAGGTGAAAGTTGCAGATAATTTTTTTGTGATACAGGGTGAATGTGCATTACTTACAGGAGCGCCACAGCCCCCACTCATCTGCCGACCAAAGTCTGCAAAGGCAGGTGTAAAATCTGGTCCCCTGGAAATCACCCTGGAATCCACCGCCCGCACTGGCAACTTGTTTTGGTTCATCTGCAACATGTCACAGACAACTGCAAGTTACAAAAACAAATGGGCAGCAGGGGGAGCAGTGCGTCATGGAGGCTGCACAGTGACAAAGAGCCAAGAATTTGTAATCTACTGGGAACTGGGAATAAGAACTACAAATCCCACTCAAGGAATGTGAAACTTTAAAAAGTGAAACGTGCCACTTTTTTGTGAGAAACAAATGGTACCAAGTATAATGTTTTCTTCCCCCTCCCGTTCACCCGGAATGTTACACGGGTGTCAGTCCATAAATGTCTTGTTTTAAATATTATTAATTCCAAGACACTCTGTACAATACAAGTACTCTGAACAAGAAAAAAACACTATGCATCAACATTTTATGCATCTGCAGATCTTATCTATCTTGTGTTCATATAAATAACAATTGACTAGCAGCACAGATAATCAAAGTATCAGCACCTGAACTGACAAAGTAAATCAGTGAAGACAAAGTTATCCCATAGTATGCTATACAAGGAGCTTTGTGGCCAATGGTTAGAAATATGCACATTCTTTTGGAGCAAAATAAAATAAAATGGATGCCTTTCAATTGTGCTTGACCTGAGAGACTAATAATAAAAGTACATCAAGATTACATCAGGCCTCTTGATATAGAGAGCTGGTCTGGTTGTCCTCTTACCAGATGTGGGGGTGGGGCACAAACTCTTAAACACTGCCAAGCGTGACATAATAGTAATGGGATTTTAATCAAAACAGTATTCTCACTGGCCATACACTCCACCCCTATGCAGGAGTAGATCACAGCACTACCTTCAGTGTGAAGTAATCAAATGTATCTACGTCTCATTTTAGCATATCACTGGCCACGACAACCATAATAATATTAGAATTGCACTACGTGGGGAGGTCAGATTATATTAACCTTTACTTTCTTAGAAGTGTGTCCTCCGCATTTAACCACTGATGTAACCTGCCAGGAGCAGTGCATATGGATAACGATCTCAATAGATTCTTCAATAATGAAAATGGGTTCCACAAACAGATCAGTTAAGAGAAAATAATAAACATATTTGTCACATAATATGAACACTGAAAAAAGGTAATTCAAAATATCTCTAAACTTGGATCTAAGATGAGCATTCTCACTCACCTTGTCAAGAACAACATCACTGATAGGTGGTAGGCCCTCAGGTTTGTGTACGCATGCAGGCATAAACTGGAATCCCAATAGGAAATCTCTGTCATATTGTCGCTTTCCAGTGGGCTCGGTTACATCTGCGCCAGTGAACATTTGGGGAGAAGTTAGTTAAGTTCAGGTAATATAGTACCTAAACTTACATAAAGAACACTCACCTTCCATGTCTGTTGGAGCCTCAGCCTCTTTTTCTCCCAGCGTCATTCCACTGTCGCTGCTCTCAGTTTCAGATGTGTGGCCAGCTCCGTTCCTCATTGGTTCAGTCTCCGCATCACCATTTTCCTCAGGAGCAGTAGGCTTTCCATCAAGGTCTGGGCTGCTGACAGAGGCCAGCACTGATAGTGTGTGCAATGGGCTGCTCAAAGCGTCCGACTGCCGGCTCTTCTCTCCAACAGACTCATCGACTGGACAGGCTTCCTCCTGTGTGCAGAAAACATACCATTATTTTGACTCAGATTTTAAAGTGACTTTAAAGTAAGTGACACCACTCTCTATTGGTCTATTCTACAAATACTTTACTCTGACTGTGATCGTAAGTCAATAATAAAATAAATCTTTCAGTAACAAAGAAAATCTGAAATATTGCAAATGTAAAAAACAGGCACCAAAAAATAAATAAATATAAATATATTATTAACTAGAGAAATGAGTCTGTATGCAATTTATGGTTACGTTTTCCTTACTTCCTCTTTTTGACACGTCTCTACTGCTGTAGAAATGTCTTCATTTGGTTTCCTCCAGGTCTTTGGTATAGTAGAAGCGGTCTGATTAACTAAAGAAGAATATTACATTTAAAATGGCAAATGACTGTGAAACGTATTCCAATCCAGAGAAATGTAGTCTTATCAAAGCTCAAGAAGTAATAAAAAAGAACAATTGCTGTGTGAACACAAATGATCAAATTATATAAAACATAACGTTTTTTTTAAAAGAGGAGGATGAAGCAAATGCGTACCTGTTTTGGGGTTTGTCCTGGTATCGACTTGGGGCTGGGTCTCGGTTTTATTGTCTGAAGTGCTGCTGCGAGCCTCTGTATCCCCTCGAGTGGTCACGTCTATAGCGCCCAAAGGCTGGCGTGGCCCGTCTGCTTCTGGCGTGGCCTGCACTAGAGGGGGTAGGCCTGGGGGAAGCATCATTGGGAGAACAGGAGTGGGGCTGGAGGGGACTGTGACTGGCACAATAGACACCGGTGCTACAGTGGACAACACAGCAGTGGCAATAGGCACCTCAGGCCTCACGTCAGGAGGCAGAATTTCAGAGGAACTAAAGCTCGACACTGAAAGCTGTGGCGACAGCAATGAAGACAGAAGCACTGATTCAGGGGCTGGCATGTCCAGCTCATCTACAGGGTCCGAAAGGCCATTTAGAGCTTTAGGAGGCGGAGCTGGCGACGGTGTCAGAGTCCGTAGAGGGTCTGCAACGGGTTTGTCTGCATTCATTTGTTTGGCTTCAGTGTCCAAGGGCGAGGGTGAGGCAGAGAGCCGGTCACTGCTGTGGGAGGCTTTAAGTGGGACAGTGGTCAGAGGTGTAGGGAACGTAAGCTCAAGTGACGCCAGCGAAGGGTGATCAGGTGCAGGAGAATTAGCTTCAAGTCTTTCAACAGAGACTTCGGACGAGTCGAGCAACGGTGAGGAAGACTTCTGAACAACAGGGTCCAGTTTTGACGTACCATCTAAAGTAGACAGGGAAAAACATTTATCAAATCATGATAATCAATATTGAAGAGTTCTGCTGAAAAAAGAATGTTGAAATTACACACAATTATAAGTACTTTAACTACGTCCGGTTGGTTAAAATGTTCAACATTAAAACCATACTTTAAAAATGCATGAAAAATGTTTCAATGAACATACTCATCAATGTTCACAGTCTATAATAAATACATTAGCTGCAGCAGACCATTTTTATTCATTCAAGACAATTAATGCAAGCTATTTCAGTTGGGAGGGTAGATGCAGAAACATTGCTTCAGTATATATTTTTAAATATCATGAAAAATACAGTGTTTTTCTAGATCATTACTTGATTGTGACTACACTCAATATTAATCTTGCGTCCGTGTTAATGGTAAGCGGACAATAGTTGATACGACTGACAAATAGTATCAATATAGTGCTGACAAAGACGTGGATCTTTGTGACAGTTTTTTCTCCAGGAAATATTAGACACAGATGAATTAGCTATAAATTAACACTCTTTCGATTGGTGTGATGTCACATAAATACAATCTGTACCTAAAGATACTATGACAAATACTGTAGCTTGATTGTGTATATCTCTATATGTGTGTGTGTAAGTATATAAACTAAGGAATGTAAATATCATAAATACTTCAATATTATAAATAACAACAAAATCTAAATAAAATATGAATCCGTGTGTACTATAGATTTGAACTTTAGCATCTTATTTTAGTAGTTAAGGTCGGACCTGGGCTTGTTTTGACGTCTGCAGCGGCGGCCAGGTGCGTCTGTGGCGTTGGTAAAAGCGGGGAGTCCAGCGTGAAGCCTGGGGGATGGGCCTGCTGTGTCGGCTGTGTCTGGAGCTCAGGAGTCTGGCTGTTGCTCGGCTGCTGCTGCATTTTGAGGTAGAAAATGTGAGGAAAATGAGGATGCGGCCATAAAAACTAGCAACACAGAAAACCAGAACGATAGGCACGACGATGTAGCGAGAGCACAAACCACGTCCGAGCAAGCCCAATGCAAAAGAAAGCAAACAATAAAGGAGTCCAATGAGGAATGGAACAAGGACAAAAATAAGTAAAACATTAAACAACAAAACAAAATTCAAAAACATAAAAAATATTACAAATAACAGAATAAGAAAAGAGAGGAAACGCTGTTAACTTCACAGATACTAAGTAGAAGAGAGAATTGCCCATAGGCAGAATTGCACTCCACTGTGTCGTCACCTTTAAGTTATTTTCTTGCCCCAATATTAATAGTTTAACTGTAGGAGGTAAAAGTCCTTTATCCCGTAGTTTGTTTCAAATCTTGGTTTTTTAACTATTTATTTCAATTTAGTGATTTTCAAAGTCCTAATAATATTAAATAACTTCAGATTTGTGAAGACACGTGGATTGTGTTGAAAGAGTAAAACAAAACAGCATTCAAACAATTAACTGCACAACAAGGGTCAACATTAAGAAATGAGTTCCGGTCAAATATCAAAAAAGAGCGAATAAAAAAGTAGCTAAACTCCACACAGAATATACAAGCACTAAAAAAATGTATGTTGACAAAGAATATACGTCAGAAACAAGTATATATAGATGGAAGATAAATCCATCACAAGATAAATCTTGGCCCAAATCAACCTCAGTATTTACCACTATTAGTAACTTTAATTTAGGAGTGTTAGAAAACATCCATTCTGCATTATATCCTACAATTCTCGTATCAATTCAATTCAAAAAGTAAAACCCGCAATTCTGAAAATCAATAACAAACAAAACTTGAAGTGACTGAATTATTAAGTGCAATAGCCCTTTTGGAAATGGCGACTCTTTGGGTGGATCGTTTTCTCATCTGTCTCCAATGTTTGCCTTGTTGACAGCAAGGCACCATACATCTGGCACAGTACGGATTTATACATGCGTGATTTGGTGCCAAGATGATCATTCTGGTTGACATTTTTAGTGGCACAGTATAAATTGATTATTATAAACTGTCAATACTAGCAGAAAGCGCATTCTCACGCTACTGAACCGGTGGCGTTTGAATAGAGCCATATTTAAATACTGTAAACATCACAAAGGTATTAAGGAAAGGTACGAGAAACTTAACAAGAAAAACATGCACTGTTCCTTTGGTGCTTTAGCTGTGTTTTGTAGGACATGTACCAAAATTCATTTTCAGAAATGATGTACCTGTGGAGGGGTTGGGGTGGAAGGGGGGGGGCCGACCGGAGGCGTTGAATTCCTGCTTCCTGTGCCTCCTGCCATGATCTCCTCTGTGATGTCCCTGCCACCCTGATTGGGGTCACGGATACGGATCTGGGAGAACAATAGGGCAATAAGCAGACCTCAATAAAGCTCCCAACTCTTAAAGACGACTAGCGTTTTGTAAAAAAGCAAAACTACTACAACAGGTAAGTGTCGATGGGCTGGTGCTACAGTATGTGAAGTGGGTGCAGCTCTGACTGTCGCCCCCCGACCCAGAAATGGATTGAGGAGAAGAAAATGGATGGATGGATGGATACTACAACAGGTATGTCTAAACTAAGGCCCTCTATGTTATATCATGTGGCCCTCTGCCTTGCTAACCCAGATTAGCAAATTGAGATCATAAACAAGTTCAGTGTCATCCCACTTCAGCTCCACCATTATAGACATGCTCTACCTCGTTGCAAAGCTCAGACCCTTTGGAACTCAGTCGTTTATTTTATTTGTATATTCTGATTTGTTTTTGACTTCCAAAATATTGCTAATGTACCCGAGATGTGATAGTAAGCTAGTCTGTCAAATGTGAATATTTTGTTTCCGCATTGTAAAGCTCAGAACAGCCTGATCCAGTTGCCCTTACTTGTCTGTGTTGTCGGCCCCTGGACAAGTAAGGGCAACTGCAGTGGCTTACTAAAAATGTTGGACACCTGCACTGTCAATCCTTCATTGCTTTTTTCTGGATAAAATTGGACAAAAATACTTACTGTTTTCTTTTCACGCTTAGCTGGAGGAGGTTGCTGTGGTGTAGGCACTATAATGGGGGGCGAAGGAGGGTAAACAGTCTGTCCCGGGTAGTAGGGGGACCCCGCGGAGGGCACAGGAGCAGGGACTGATGGAGAAACAGGAGGATGATACCTGAGGGGATCTGAAAACAAAAACATAGGGGTAAAATTAAGGACTGATACCGTTAACAGGTCCAGTTTTTCAAGCTTCAAATTCGAAGTTAGAACTCACGATAGGGGGCTGGGTACTCCCCAGGCCCAGGACCAGGATAAAATGTGCCGGACCCCGGAGGCGGTACAGAATACTGCTGAGGTCCCACATAAGGCGTACTGGGGCGATACTAAAAACAAATAACAGAGGAGCATATTAAAAGGTGATTTCTCCATCTTTCTTTTTGGAGTTTTCTAAAGTATGACACTATGGATTCACTATGGAAAGTAACAAGCAGGTCCAGCAAGGGTTCACTATTAACACTGACCTGTGGGATGTAGTACTGTGCAGCTTGTGGCGAGGGGAAAGGCATAGGTGGCATGGTCATCACGATTGGCTGATTGGTGGGGTAGACGGCTGCAGTGGGGGTTTGTGAGTTGGGTCGTATAGATGGTGCGTTTGTCGGCATGGCTGGTCGTGTGCTCTGCATCTGAGCCCTCTGGAAAAACTGTGGGAAAACGGGTTTTTTAACACTTAATTTGGTGCAAACAGAGAAATTTTAAAACCGGTGCAAACAAAACAAAAAGGAATGGTAACAAGTGTTCAGTTGTAAAGATTTAGTCACACTCAATCACAATCAGGTGTCGCTCATATATATATATATATATAAGGCAAGGTAAAAATCACGTCCATAGGGATTGGCAAGTGTAAAGTACAAAATAAAAAATTTGAAGTCTCTATGTACATCCAATGTTGTTTCTGACAGTTTACTCAGCTCATTACATGGGGAGGAGAGATTTTTGTTTAGCTTTAGTAACATCAGAAACAAAAAAACACAACTGACATGAATGAGCAATGAGTGTCACCAATAAAAAGTCACGTTTAATCAAAAAACAAGCAACTACAAAAAATAAAAAGAATAACGTAGAATGAATGTACTCAAATTCAAAAATAGTTAATGACACAACACAGTAAAATAAGATAGCTATAAGATTGTAAAACTCTGACTGTAGGAGGAATGAATGAAGACCAGAGTGGTTGGGACAGTATAACTAATATACATTTTCCATCATGCCATGCACCTCTCCTGAGATTTGACACAGTTAAAAGGTTACCTGGATGGGCCTGAATCCTCCCTTGTGTTGTGAAAGCAGGAGAGAGAAAATTTGGGAATCAGCCAAAATATGTGAAGGCAGGAAAATACTAAATTATGTTTATTAAAAGAGACTAACAGGTGTCAGTGAATTTTTATCAAAAAAATTATAAAAAATAGAGGCCAGCTAACTGGCAAGAGACAAAGAGGTAAATTATTATTAATTCTCTGCATTTGACCCATCCTGATGCCACTAAGGCCTACGTACAGCGCACGGGAACCCATCTCCAGATGTTGATGCTCGGCCTGGTCAGGACTATCGGAGCTGGAGGATTTAACCTGGTTTGCATGTTTTTAGTGGTAGGGGAAACCGCACCCAAAGGAAACCTACGCACGGGGAGAACATTCAAAATCCACTCAGAAAAACCCTGTTCCGACCGGCATCCAAACCCAGGATTTTCTTGCTGAGAAGCGAGAGTTCTATCCACTTAGCCACAGTGCCGCCCCCTTTAATAACATCTATCCAGAGCACAGGCTGTTTTTACACAGTCGCAACTCTTTTTCATACTCATCCCGCTTCAGAGATGAAGCTTCTATCAGTTAATTTGGTAACTGAGTAATTCTCACCAACAATTAAATAAAAATCTATATTGATGAATATTTTTTGTCCCACGTATCTTCACAAAACAGCTTAAAAAACATTTGAAATACTTTTCACATTTAAAACAAAAAGAAGATTCTTTAAAATGCTAGAAGTCTGTTGTTGCTGCCAAAAAGTCCGGCCAGTAGTAAGCAGTGGAACTTTACAACGCGACACACGCAACCCCCCAGCAGCACATTACCTTCCTCAACAACATCCACCTCAGGCCACTGCAAAGACTGTAAAGAATGCAGTGAAAATGGAAACTGAAACTACAGCTTTGCATGGTTTTGCAAATAGTTGAATTCTCTTCCATGTAGCGCTCGAAGCAGACATAGCTAGTTAGTGTACCCGCCGCCATCTTTGTTTACGTTTGTTCTCAGCAAATGTCCAACTGTACGTGTGGGGAAGTGGGGGTCAGAGCAGGCAGAGAAATTACACCATTTCCCCCACTGAACCGTCTTAATGTAAACAAAAGGCCAAAATGATACCCAACTCCACCATTTTATTGCTGCAGCGCTGTCATATAAACAGGGCCTAAAAGATCAACATTCATAGTCACTAAAAACATTCAAACCCCACCACAACATTCAGAACATATCACTAAAGGTATTTAAATATATGACCACAACTGTAAACCTTGAACACAGCCCCAACCAAGAGCCATGATGACTCTTGTAAAAAGTTGATCCCTGCTTTGAAGTCCCTACTTTGCATTAAGAGCTTTGATTGAGACAATGGTCGTGTTCTCTGAAGAATAAAGGCCTCTGTTTTGTCTGTCGTCTCTCGATTCCAGTGCCCACCGCGGTGGTGGCACAAGGGGGTGCAGCACCAGTTAGTGACAGCGTGTTTTTGTGGCATAAAACTGTAGGAAATCCTAAGAATGATCTCTTAAAGAATAATATGGTACATAACATTTAATCCATATTTAAATTTCTTGAAGCCACATCCTGATGGTATTACTTATTCTGGCTAAACTTAACCCAGAAACCTATCGAGCTTCATGTCTTATAACATTAGTCAGATACAGAAAGACACTGTACTTGATATATACCAAAGAGAATAGAAATGAACCATTGTTTTAAACTGAATTTATCTGACAAGTAACAAAACATTTTTTAATGATACAATATCAGTAAATAGACCAAAATAGGCCAAATCAGCATTACCAATATTGCAACAACACAAATGTATAACATATAATGACTTTCCAAGTGAGCTGTAATGTGTAAAGAATATGAATCCCTGTATCCCAACCTCACCTATGATCATGAGCTTTGGTAAGTGACCGAAAGGACAAGGCACAAGCAATGAGTTTCCTCCGCACACCAGAGTGCAATCTCTAAGAAATACAGTGGAGAGCAGTCACACAGGAGGAGCTCGAACTAGAGGTCCTCCTCAACAAGAGGAGTCAGTGGCTTTGGCATGTCCCAACAGCAGGAGAACTTTGAGGAAGTGTGCCACTTTTTAAAGCTTAAAACTGCTGCCCCCGCGATTCAGCAACATAAAAAGAACTAGAGAAAAGACGGATATATCAGATACAAATATAGCCTTGTTCCCAGTGAGTCCCGATTACCGTTGAGGGAGGCATATATAAAGAATATTGCTCTCTTAACATGAATAAGTAGTTGCAGATCGAAAGGCCTTGCACAATGCCAAGGTGCATAGGGATTCACAAAGAAATTAAGCTGCGAGAATGACTCATTGAATGCCAGCCTATTTCAGAACAGGTACTCCCACAGTGCCAGCCATTTCTGATGATTTTTACTGATTTTTCAAGACCCACAGAATATTGTGTACTATGACTATCTGAAATCCGACACCAGATTCTAAAAGAATGGACTGTCTACTTTCCTCAGCAAAAAGAATTTTGTTTATAGCTTTTTTCGTTCCCCTGTAATCCTCCGTCGAGTAGAGGGAAGTTTTACTGAAATCACCAGAAATCACCAGAAAGTTGAGAAAAAAGAGGCACAACATGTGCACCTACATGTTTTCAAACCATTCAGAGAGCAATGCTGCCACCTGCTGGCTCGATAAAATATGGTCTCAAGTCATCTCCATACATATTAGATACAATAGACATCTGGGAACGTGAAAATAGCGAAAAAGGCAATTGACGGATTAATCCGTCAATGGCACACGACGTTACTATTTGCTTTGACGTATTTGTGCGTCAATGGGACACAATGAGTTAATTTCATTCTTGCACAGGATAAAAATACCAAGACAGAATTGGCGACTGAGAACTGTAACTTGCCATTAAAATAGACAATAGACAATGGATAAGAGAACTGCCATCTGTTCCATCATTTGCACCAAACTAAACAATATCCCTCATCTAAGAAACAGACAAAGAGAAATCCCATGTATGTTATATTACCACCTGAGGATACAATAGACTTTGACTGGCCGAGTTTGTAAGATGTTTGAAAATTACCAGCTTTTCAATGATTAGCACACAATTTTGTATTAGATTTAGTTACCATGCACATTTGAGACATAATATGGCTATGGTGCCCAGGGACTATAGATGAAAATCATCAACAGTAGTTGCTATATCTGGTAAACATTTATTTTGCAATGTCTCTGTCAATAATTGCAATTTGGACGGCAGACGTTATTTAATCGTTCAGTCAATGCATTAAAATTAGTGTCGCTTTGAGTCGCATAAAAATGGCCACATGAACCATAGTAGATTTGTTAAAAAAAAAACAGAACACTTTGACAATGACCCCCTAAGAGAAGGACAGGGAAAGGTGATCAGCGAGGTAATTACCTGATGGTGGGTTGCCCGAGGCCCCGTAGCAAACTGGTGGAGTAGTGAGAGGAGTTCCAGCAGAGGTTTTGAAGCAGTGATGGATAAGCAGGGAAGAGAGAGACAATAAAGAAGCACATGAGAGAAGAGGTAATGGCCGGTGGTACACAACATACTGCAGTGGATGAAGGTGTAACAGACACTGCAACAACAACAAATAGATTACTTTTTAAATGACTGTCATCCTTTAATGAAATAGTGAGTATTTGTCTTCCAATAAAATAGATTGATGCAATCATAACCATATATTTTTTTTACATTTTTCCATCATTTAATGAGAACTATCTCAAGTTGTCTTTATTCATGTGGGGGTTGGGCTGTTGGAAACATCATAAATTATAGATGAGCTTACGTGTATAAAATCTCTAACCTCAAGTCTTTGATAATGCGACTGTACAGCACAAACAGTGATGGGAGTTTCTAAAAGGAAAAAAGGCATCTGCAAAGGTCACTCACTGGGCGACTTTGTTGAGCGCTCATTGTCTGGGTTTGTGGAGAATACACGATGGCCGCAGAGCCAGCATTTTGTCCGGGATTGTAGGGAGGCTGGAGATAAAAAACAAATTATTATACATTTTATTTCTTAAGATCCACATTTCATTGAACAAATTATTAGGGAGTTAAAGCAATTTTGCTTTCTCCCAAAAAGCACAGATCACAGAAAAAACACTTTTAGTCGTATACTAACTGTCTTCCTTATAGTAACAGTACCTATGAATATTGTAAACTGAAGGTCAAATTTCTGTGCAAGAATTTGATTTACCTGAGAGAGAGCAGGTGAGTGTGCATGACCTGGCGGTGTGCCCGCCAAGCTTGGATGTCCCTTTGTGATGTCGTGTGCAGTGTAGGGAGGACCAATCTGCCTGGCTACCTGCATTACAGAATACTGTGAGATAAAAGAAAAAAAGAAGTTTAATGAGACATTGTACAACAATAAATACAAATTTTAAAAGACAGCTCTATACAGTAAGGTTGAATTAGGGCAGTCATTTTTCAAATTTCACAAATATATTCTTCATGCAAACTTTTAGTTGCAAAAAGGTGCTGCATTGTTTAGTGGATGGTCTAGTTTGCCTGGAATGGCTGAAAAAGTCACTGAAAATTGTCATGTGACAAGCTCGTAATGGACCATTAAACAATTATCTTCTTAGTGCAAATTTTAAAACGAATTCAGTTGGTTCTTCAGACAATTATTACCTGTTGAGCTTAACTTTATAATGGAAATGATACGTGGCACAATTACAGACTACAATCCTACTCGAGTGACAAGGAGCACCTGGCAAAACACAGTGAACTGAGTCATATATATATATATATATATATATAACAAGTTTGACCATAAGTGTTCCATTTCTGACAATGCTCTGTGTGGCCCACTTTCCTCAGATGACCTGGGATAAAGCATCTAATCTGACTGCTGTTGCCGAGGGAGGAGCCAGCACGGCTTGAGGCAACTGACTGATTCTGAGGGAGCACTCAGTGTTGGGCTGGGGGAGGGGATGCACCACAGAGCTGTATATGAAAACCAAAGGCCTTGTGAAAGTGACAGGGAGAAGATTTAACTGATTACTGAAATATAGATCATCTAAAGCCTGGTTCACACGAGACGATTTTAAAATTGTCGGCCGATTTTTCTCCGTGTTAGACCCCACACGGGGAGATTAAAAATCCTGCGTCTAACCACTTTGGTCGTGCAGTGTGTGGTGCGTAGCCACACGGCAAGATCACGCAAGCCACAAACATCACACACGAACCGACACCCCCCCCCCCCCCCCCCCCCCCGAGCATTCCCAGGTCAGACGGAAATCTCACAAAATCTCTCGAGATCAAGCGTGACTTCAGAGTAAACAGTCATGGCGGACGAAGAGGATGCAGTGGCGATAGTGTGCAGTTTGTTGTTAACAGAGAAGACACGTAATCCAAAGAAAAGGCAATGGTCAAAGCCATGCTGCTGTGTTTTGGTTTTTTTCCGGTGTTTCCTCACCGGCTTGTCACCTCGTCTTCTTATTGGCTACACGCCGTAGTCATGGCAACGCGCTCGCTTGTCCTCGGAGGACATCACACACGACAAGAAATCGGGCCAAAACAATCCAACATGTTGGATATCCCCGATTTGAGATTGGGAGCAGTCCCGATGTCCTTCCGAGCGACGAGTGCAGTCTTAACACACCACACACGGCAGGATAATCTGTAAGATTTTGTTACGGAAATCGGAGCGTTTCTTAAGATTGTCGTAAGGGGTAAATCGGGTCTAAATCGGCCTAAATATCCTGCCGTGTGAACCAGGCTTTAGTAAAGTTCTTAAGTTTTAGCATTTCAATAGTATTGAATCAATCACAGTATTGATTGCACAATTAAGAAACAAAAGGGCAGACCTCTGTTTTCTAGCGTACTGCATTGATTTTCCCCATTATGTGTAAAGATTATCAAGGCCGACATTTATTATTTTATCAATATTAAATACAAATATGAAAAAGTGCATATGGAGACTGATTTAAAACACCTTCTGCAGGCACCACCTGAAGGTGAACAAACATCTGTGGTCTCTTCACACCTCCAGTTCAGAACAAGGATATAAAAAATGACTAAGATTTTCCCTAAATTAAGGATATTGGCCTATCGCAACTTCAGAAAAAGCTTATGAAGCTGCGATATTGGCCTATCGCAGCTTCATAAGCTTTTTCTGAAGCTGCGATAGGCCAATATTGCACCTTCATACGCTTTTTCTGAAGCTGCGATATTGGCCTATCGCAGCTTCAGAAAAAGCTTATGTCAGATATGTACAGACAACAACTTTGGTCCGGGTTCCATTTGGACCGGGTAAACTGTCGATTGTAATGTGCCCAAAAACCCGCAGGTTCACGGTTATCATCGCAAGGACAGTTGTCAATTATCAGGAGACCGGAGAAGACCGCTGCAGAGTCCAGCAAAAATAGACCCTATGCGGAAAGCCTCTGTACATCCGCACTCCTACTCATGGTGCTCTGGTCAGTGTGCATCAGCTCATTGGTTTTAAGCACTTTCTGTCCTCCGGCAACTACACGGGCCCAACCCACACAACAGTCTGCCTTTGTCGGCCTGGCGTTAGTAGCCTACAGGTGAAAAGAGTATCATGGGGAGGTCCGCAACCACAAGTATTTAACTAAGCAGAGACAGGTCTAGGGCCTTTCAGGTTGATCCAAAATTTCAACTTGAAAGCCAAATATCCTTAACCTTATATGAGTGGTTAATATTGTCCCTTCCCCAAATGACAACATGAATGCAGCAACTGACTTTCAACAGTCTTTTGTGGAAAACGATGACAATGGAACATGTCCTGAACTACAGTGTATGATCCACAAATAGACATGTTTTAATAAAGCATTGTGGGATTTCAATTGCAGAAGGGTGGTATTTGCAGTGACTCACGCTGTAGACTGCAGCCACTGCCGGCTGTGTGGGAAAAATTCTCTCGTCCAGGGAAGGCTGAACTCGAGGAATTCTTTGAGACAGGTGTTAAGGAAAACCCAAAAAACATGAAAACACTTTAATATATTGTGCCAGGTTTTTTTTTATATAAAGAAAACAAAACATTATTTTTATGAACACTAACAATTATGAACTGAAACAGAACATCCATACCCAAAAAAAACCTATCTCCACAAGTACATCATGTACTTTCAAGTTTTGCAAGGGTTGGAGCGAAAATCTGAAGTGGACTTCAGGATGACATTGGATCAGATACATAGTTACACAAACACAGACAGCAAGAATGTAACAGAACAAACATATTGTAGAAGAGAAAAGTTTAAAATGAATTGTTCACTGGTTGATTGATTATGTTGATCACTTTACATGAGTTTTTGTAAAGTTCCTTCATTATATTTATACTAAAGTACCACCTGTGAGATAAAAGTCATGCAGGCATTGTGCAACATAGGTCACATGGTTTAGAAGAAATAGTCCGCTCTTTCCTTCAGCAGAAATCTCTCCCCCTTTTCTCCAAAACTTGTCATCAAAACACACACACACACACACTCTCTTGCGCGCAAGCATGCAAACACACACGCACAACACACCATTTTAAATTGTTCAGGAAAACTAACTCACTTTGCTGTGACTTTTATACTTGAAAATTGTTTTTATATAGGAACAATTGTCGCTGTTGTAATTTGCACTTTTCAAATGTATGTGCAATATTGTGAAAATGTGCAATAATTGTTTTTGATACGGACAATTCAGTGAATTTGGATCTTGAGCTCAAATATCATATATTTTTAAATGGTGCATCACTCACTTTTCATTATTAAGGGAGACATAACTAGTTTTAAAAGCATAATAGGTGGATTTGATTCAGAAAACAAAAAGGAAAATGGTTCAATATCAATACATAGTAAGACGTTACCTACCAATATATTTTAGTAGGAATAGGTGCAAAAGTGCTACTTTTTTAATTTATTTTGAATTTACCTTTAGAATAAATGATCACCTTTATTGGGGTTGGATAAATTAGTGTAGTTTTTCCTGCACAAAATGAGTCATTTTCCTGATAAGAATAGTTATGTTTAACTAAACCGCTACCAGCTAAAAAATGGCAAGACAGAGCAGATCAAAAGGAACAATTAAGAGCAAGGATAGGTTACAGCTATGCACTTTGAGCATCATTGACTTCCACCAACTTGCCTGTGTCCATGGGTATATGTCCTGCAGACAGACACGGTTGCCTTTGTGTTCTTCTGATTTAAGGTTATCTTTTCCATACCGGCACAGTATGGAAAAGATAACACGGTGGCTGAGTGGATAGCACTCTCGCCTCTCAGCAAGAAGGTCCTGGGTACGAATCCTGGTTGGACCAGGGCCTTTCTGAGTGGAGTTTGCATGTTCTCCCCGTGTCTGCGTAGGTTTCCTCCGGGTGCTCCGGTTTCCCCTACCACTAAAAATATGTACAATAGGTCTGGCATGTGCCTCCTGAACTGGCACCCCCACTCCCAAAAATCACAATTGTAAACCGCTTTGAGACTCCGATGTGCAGTGAAAAGGCGGTATATAAATAAAGATTACTTACTACTACTTACCTGCTTGACCTGATAAAGCCTTCAAAACACATTTGAAAACCAAAATGGACACAATAATCAGTGACTACATTGTGGTCGTAGATTAGTGTTGCCATTAATTAATTGTCAAACTTATTTATAATAATTGATACCAATTTGATACTGCAGTTCTTTTGAGAAGCTATTTTTGAACACTAAGCCGTAGTTTTGTGTTATTCCACAATGTTTATTACCAAATATATATTCTAAAATGTCAAAGGAATTTGAAAGAAAATGAATACTATATATTTTTCATATTTAATAACCCTATGGTGGATATGTGGCTATCCCATAGTCCTCATCAGTGAACCGGTGTAAAACACAAGCTTATGTAGCTGAGCGCACTAATTAGACAGAGGAAATCTTCATTAATTTTCTGCTTCAGGAGAGAAGGGAAGCTTCATGTCAGACTTCCAAGAGAATTACAATGGTCGACCATGGTCAACCAGCTCATTAAATGTTACAAACCACAACGTAAGATTTCCACTCCCCATACATAACTGAAGCACAGGAGGTGAGTAGACAGCCCAGATGGTGCCGACACAAACCTTCCTTTCCCCTGCTTCACTAGTGCCCATTCTTGAATTCAAACACACATACCAAAGCTGTCACGGCCTGCCTGCTGGTGCTTTTTCACTAAAGACCAAACAATAGATGAGAAACTCAATTTAAATTATCCTCCAGATGATGAGAACCAACATGAACTAGGACTTAAAAATACAATTCTAATGTCCATCCACTTGAACCTTTCCAATATGTCTCACACCTATTATCTGATTCAGATCCAATTCTTATAGTGAGCAAGTAATTAAAGTTTGTTCCAAGACTTATTGAGTGCAGACAATGACACAAATGTAAAAGGGAATATTACTTTATGAAAAGGATTATTTAGATTTAGTAACACAATTGGGAACCCTATAACACTCAGCTGTGTCTGAGGTGAGTTCTGGGGGATGGATGGAAACAAGGAAGACCAAGCCATGCTGAGTGACCTGGGCTTTTGTTGGCAGATGGTGGGAAGTACCACCTTGGCCTCTTGCACTGAATGTTAAGCAGGGCTGCCATTGTCTGGGAAGTGCAGCAGCAGACGCATGCGCTAGATGTTTCTCCGGCAACCAGGAAACAAGCTACCCCCTAACTGCACTGCACACATGCCTCACTATGCAGTCTCTTGAACATCTAATGCCTGCCCGCCAAGCTTCCTAAACACAAGATGCAATAAGTAAAACACTGTGCAAACTGTGTCTGGGTGGGTACTCTGGTTCTGTACTATTCCTAGTCATAATACTATTCTACTCTAGCTTAAGTTCTTACCTAACGGACAATGTAGACATGGGTCTCCAGATGACGAATCGCAAGAGCTATTCCTTGTGACAGATTGTCCCAGAGGCGTAGTAGAATGGGTCAAATGGAGAAAAAGAATTTCCAAGACAAGGGACATTTCTGTAATGTTTTGGGAAGTATAGTCAATAAGATTGATATTGCACAAAGCGCTTTACAATGTTGGTGTAATTTTCATACACTCCACAACACAGTGATGAAAGAAGCGAGACACCAAACACCTGACACATCGGAGGCCCTGGCCATCACCATCCGCTCACTCTCATTACAATGATTTCTATTGTGCATGTATTTAGTGGTAGGGGGAACCAGAGGACCCTGAAGAACCCTACGCAGACACGGGAAGAACATGCAAACTCAAAACAGAGAGGCAGTGGTGCAATTGAAACCAGGTCCTTCTTGCTCTGAAGTACACACACAAGAGATTGCCATGTAACTGGCTGATGATAGAAATAAAGCTGCAGGAGACATGTTATAATGAAACATTCCACACAGATGATGCTAAGATTATAGCAAGCTAAGGAAAACTGAATTTCTCTATTGTGAGATCAATAAAGCGTATATCATTTTAAAATGTATGGAGACCTATCACTGAACATGTACGAGACGAGTTTTTAAAGATACAAGCCTGCTCATAAGGAGACTTATACTTTTATGTGTCTCATTGCCCTACGCAATATCGAAATACAATATAGAATATGTACATTTCTCCATTGTGAGATCAATAAAGCTTATGTTATGTGTGTGTGTATATACATATAATATATACTATATTTACACCTATTATATAGCATTGGGGTAATTACATTTGTACTACGTATTAATTGGATCATTAACAGATTTCGTGGCTTCAAGATAGACCAGAGAGATTCCGTTTAACACATGGATGTATAACATATGAGATCTTTGTGCGTTTGACGAAGATTTCCTTGCACTACAAGCACTGTATGATGATAGCCTAGCGTTACTTTAAATCAGGGGTCACCAACGCGGTGCCCGCGGGCACCAGGTCGCCCGTAAGGACCAGATGAGTCGCCCGCTGGCCTGTTCTAAAAATAGCTCAAATAGTAGCACTCAAGCCTAGTGCGCTGCGCGGAGCTTACGGAGGTGACGTGACGTCACTTGCGCAACGCGTGGATCACATCAAGGCCCTTACGTAGCCTGCCACGCACCCTCGAATACTACGCGGCCAACGCCGCAGACAAGCTCCGCTGTGATTGGTTCGTGTGTGTGTTTTGGACAGAAGCATGGAGCGGCTGCAGGGAGCACGGACGAGGCACTTCGGAGCAGACCGCTTTGTGCTTCGAAGGAACCGAAGGAAAAGTAGTTTGGTCTCATGGCAGAGCCTGATATAACTTATAAACTGTGCAGTTGTTTCTTTTGCACTGTTCCTGTCTTGTTTGCGTTGTAGCTTATCGCGTCTGTTGCATTCCTACTGCACTTATAGTTCGTGTTTTTCTCAGATATTTACCACTTATTGATTATCTGTTTGTGCTGAATACACTTTAATAATAACCATGTTTCCAACAAGAACTGTGTCTTTATTCACCACATCAGAGTTAAATGAGTTGAAACGATGAGTTTAGAACTGTCACATAAACCTACAGTAGAAACACATGTAATGATCTCAAACAGCTTCACTGTTGTTTTTGTTCAGAAGAGGAGAAAGTAGCAGCGTAAATGGGACTGCTTTGGTTTCTAAACTCCTGTGAGATCACCATCACGTGTGACGAGAGTTGACTTTTGTATTTTACATGAGTTATTATTTGTATAAACATGGTGCAAAGTTATTCATGATTTGTTAAAAAATGTTAGTGGCTAGTTGGTTAAAATGGGATATTGTGATTTCACAAGAAGTGATCGTTTGAAAATGTTCAATTTGAAAAATGTTGCATATTGATATTTATCTGTTTCTATATATATTTATTGTGAGAAATCGTTAAGATGATCAGTGTTTCCACAAAGATAAATATCATTAATTATTAATATGAACAGAGTTAAAAGTAAATTGAGCAAATTGGCTTTTTCTGGCAATTTATGTAATTGTGTAACACACTGGTAGCCCTTCGCATTAATCAGTACCGGAGAAGTAGCTCTTGGTTTCAAAAAGGTTGGTGACCCCTGCTTTAAATGAACAAAGCCGATCACCAGAAAAATAAAATATAATAATCATAATCATAAAAAACGTGGCTCAGTCTGACTGCTTTTATAGCCATTTAACGTTAATAATCAAGCGGTACTTATTTAATGACAGGTAAAATGTGTCATATTGATTTTACATGGAGGCGTGGTGCATCCACAGAATTCGGAGAAGCCAACCGGCTTCGTAGGCTAATGTTAGCAGTATGTTAGCATAGTGCTAAGATGCTAACCTGATGCTAATGGTACCCTCCCCTCACAGAATCCCTTGCCAAACCAAGATACCCGCATTCAGCCTACGGTTCGCCACCAATAAAACGGATGTTTATACATGTCATTAGATGTAATCAAGCACATGCGACAGTCACACATGGGCCATATGAAAGGATACTGTGGTTGAGGAACAGCACCGGGCTGGGGAGCTGCTGGAGCCCCCGATGGAAGAGAGACCCTCTGTTGGCTCGACGGAGAGGGGCCACCTCCAGGTCCGCTAACTGCGACAGCGCTGGGCTTGGAGACCACTTTCGGTGGCAAACTCATCGCAACAAATAAAAGAACACTCACAAATAAATACTGCGATACACTATGCCCTAGCTTGCATACATTGGGCTTTCGTAGCAAAACACCAAAGGGCCCTAACAAACGGGGATACGAAGCTGAAAAAGCAACACAAATGTTCTTTTTCATGAAAAGTCGCTGTTCGGATCAGCGGTGCTATTCATGGGGACGGCGGGAGGTTAGCCTCCCTCGTCCGTCCGGAACCTCAGCGGATCCGGCTCGGTCCGTTTCTTTAAAAAGAAATAATCGCCGCGATCTTCAGAGTCCCACGGCGGCGTACCTCTTCCCCTCAATGGGTTGTTTCTATCATTTTTCTCATAGAGATGGGAGACTTCGCCAACATGGCGTTGCGGCCGCTTCCAGCAGTCCGGGCAGGACAGATGATTCGGCAATTCTCGGCCAATTACGGAGACACTCGTCCCATCTACACAACACCAGACAAACGAATGAAAAACCCATGAAAGCTGAGAGAAACTGGCATGATAATAATATTAATAATAATAAAAAAAACCTGAATAAACTAAAAAAGCAAACCATTAAAATGTATTATGATATATGTAAACATTATCAATATATATACATACATTTTAAGCATGCAATGTATAGTGTATAGTTCAAAACAACAAATAATCTTTCAGTAAAACGCTTATTTCTATTTTATCTGTATAATACGTACGTTAACAATGATTTTGTATTCGCCTTTTCCCTTTCCAGTTCCACACGTGACACTATTGCCATCTAGCGTTAAATCTGTATCCTACAATTGTGATAGTAAGTACAGTAAATAATCTTTATTTAGCGCTTTGCAATTGTTGTGGGCATTTGTCACCTATTCCACTCAGGTCGCCGGACAGAAGGCGCATGCCAGACCCGTTGTACTTATGTTTAGTGGTAGGGGAAACCAGAGCACTCGGAGGATACCTGATGATATTATTTCTGATGTTTATTCTGCTCATATTCTCCGCTGCTAATGTATAATATAGACATCTGTAAATACTCCGAACCAAGTGCAATTATAGCCCAGAGTTTATCTTATTTTATCTAAAATTTATTGACTATTATCTTAAATAATAGACTTTGATGTGTGAAATTTGAGTGCTCTTATTTCCTTTCTCTGCTGTAATGTGCGCAACGATGACACTGAAATTTCTCCACTGTGAGACTAATAAAGGTTTATCTTATCTTATCTTATATCTACGCAGACAATGGGAGTACATGCAAACAGGTCTCAAATAAGGCCGCACATCCCAGTAGCCTGGACTAGATCATGCAAACTCCTCACAAAGGTCCAGTGGTGGAATCGAACTCTGGACCTTCACTCTGTGAGGCCCTGCCACACCATTTTCACTTGCTTTGATTATAATACAGTAAATTCCATCACCACGTGGAAAACATGTAATCGTTTATTATACAAAAATAATTTATTATAAATTCACAAAAATCTAATTTACATTGATAGACCTGAACAAATTTGCTCAAAGTTATCATGCAAGACATTTATGAACAAGACAATGTTTTGGTCCCAAAAACACAAATAAAAAACATATAGACAGGGCCTATGTCATCCCAACAATAGGCTATATAAACAATAACATTATGTCAGGATTAAAATAAAACCTCTGAGGATTAAGAACGGTGCAAACGAGGATTCCAAACAGTATAAGGTGTCAAAATAAAAAATAAAAAAACAGTGGCATTTTCCCCAAACTGTAGAGTTCCAGTGTTAAAACATTTACATTTGTAAGTTCTAAAATCCAGCCAAGGACAATGGGCAAAATTGAACTGTAGTCTTCCCCAACAGAACCATAGTAGTGTTGTAAATGTTCAATATGTGGGACGGCAGATCGCTTTGTGCATTGTATACATTTCGGTGAGGATTTTAAATTGTCATCATGACTGTGTCTCAAATGTCTTCCAGACGACGTTTAAGCGGCATCACCAGAGCTCACACTTGTGCTGTGGATTCATTGGTGCATTTGCTTTGCAGCCAAAATGTTTTGAAAATTCAGGTGAATTTGAAATTGGCCCAACAACTCTAAATCTGGATGGGCTGTGAGGGTCTGTGATCACTCCTTCATGTGAGCTTTCTGGTGTCCTAATTGAGCACCATACCTAGACAATATTTAGAGGAAACACAGACATTTTAGGAACCAAATGAAAAGACGAATTAACACAATTATGGGTTTACTAAATCAATACATACTTGGGCAAATCCTACAAAAAACAATTGATGGTTTGTCATTCCAAGGGCTGGTAGAATAGGCTCCTCACCATGTTTTTCGATCCATTTTACATAAGCCTTGAAATAAATAAAAAGGAAACAAAGTTAAAGACCTGCAACACAGGTTTACTGTATGGGGAGTGTGTTTGATGCATTGTTAGTGCAGGCTTCTTTCACAGAAGCAATCATATGGTGACAAGTCCTCAGTGCTACAGCTTCGGTGAAAAGATAGTAAAAAATATAAAAAAAGGCCTTAATGTCATGTGATTACTTTACTAGCTAATATAGTAGGAGACAGCAATTGTATCATTTACATACATTAACAAACAATAATCCAAAATTCTTCACTTTCCTATGTGTGCATCAGTACGTACTTTGTAAGCAGATTTAAGTCCTCCGTTGTCTGCAATGTTCTCTCCTAGAGTGTGCCGTCCATTGACTGGCTCTTTGTTGATGCTATAGTTTCCATATTGCTCCACCATACATTGGGCCTGCTTTTTAAAAGCTTCTACAGATGAATTTTTCCACCAAGGACGCAGGTTTCCATCTTTGTCAAATTCACGACCTTTGAAATAAATTATTAACATGTTAGTAACTAATAACTTGGGGACACACAATTGTAATTCTCAATATTTGTTAAATTTCAATATATAATTTTATTAAAACTAACCTTGGTCATCAAATGCATGAGTCAGCTCATGTCCCATCACAACTCCAATTCCTCCGAAGTTAAGAGCTCTAGAAAGACATATAAATATAAATTGTAATAAAACTTACACTTGCAATGTGTTTTATAGGATTGGCAAACTACTTTCTAGTTTGTATGAAATTGCTTAATCCCGTTGAAGTAGCCTTCCAAAGTAAACAACAACTTAAGGGATGGAGCATGTAGCATTAATGCATAACTCTCACCGTAGTTAAAAAATATGACATACTTGGGCCATGATCGACCGTAGAAAGGTGCTTGAAGAATTCCAGCAGGCAAAACCATCTCGTTCTTTGTTGGATTGTAATATGCATTTACAGTTGGAGGGGTCATGCTCCATCTACAAATAAATTACTTAATAAAGAAAGTCGAGGTGCCAAGTAAAATAAACATGATGTTCTATGGAGGGAGAATGTTCATTTGCTGAAGCATTATATATCGATTTGAAGAATTTTTTTTAAATTATATACAATGTACATCAAGTAACTAAACCCATTTCAGAATAATAATGATGATAACAGTCATGTATTTTGCTCTTACTGGTTTCTGTTGGGTGCTGTTCTCAGCTGGTCAGCCGTCACTCTGCCTGAGAAGTTGTAGTATTGCATAGCGTTTTGGAAGTAAAGCTCAGAGACCACTTCAAACTGAATGAAATATAAATCAATAATATACAGAATATCAAAATGGAAAAAAAATAAAATTCACATTCAGTCGGTATTGTAATTGATTACCTACATCATTAAACACCTTATCCAACTTTGTAGCGTTCATTATAAACTCTGGATATCCAACCATGTTGTAGATGGCATCTGCCTATGAGACACGTTAACACATTAAGGTTCTTTTGTGACAGCAGCACACTCTGAGTCATTCAGAATAAATCAGTCCCACCTTTTCTTTTGCTGCTTTCTTGGTTTCCACATCCATCCAGTTCACAAATTTCAGGCTGTCCTCGAACGCCCATTTGATTTGCCCGACCATATTTTCAGCCTGAACAAAGAGAAAGTCAGTCTACGTTGCAAAAAGTGATAAAATATGAGGAAATAAATGCTTAAAATCGGGTAATTTTCAAGTTAATTTGAAAACATGTCTGTTTTAAAGCAGGATTTTTCCAATGAGACATGGCCATTTGGTCTCATTTCAAGAACTATTGATTTATTTTTCATCACTTTTTGCACTGTTTTATCATGTGCCCTCCTAATTACTAGAAGAAAGTTCTCAGTACGCACAATGGTTTTGCTGTCGTCATTGAAGGTAGATTTGACAAACATGGCACCAAGAGCAAATCCAAGGGCACTGTCTGTATCACTCACACACAGCTTCCAACGAGGGGTTAAACTCTATAAGAAAATCAGAATTATTACGATTCAGATACAGATTCATTTTATTTGCCATTTACAGTAAAACCACATTGGAATACATTTGCAAAAGTCCCTAGTGTGTACAAGACACGTACATATATAAAATAATATTAAAAGTGCAGGAAACAATTGACACTGTGAAGTCGATCAACAAAAACAGTTTCAATACAAGTGCAGGATCATTAAAGTGCTCTGTTTAAACTGATAACAGCTTGTGGAAATAAGCTGTTGGGCTTCGTGCCACATCCTGTGTTTGTATAATTCTCACCTTTTTTATTCCGTACATGACCTCAAGGAAGCGCTGCTCAGCATCTCGAAACCTTTCATCTAAAACAGACACCATCTTCCTCACCACTTTCATTATCATATAGTTATTCAGAAGACTGGATGAAGAATAAAACATTGTAGTTAGAGCTCATACAGAATAACAAAGGGATAATAATACTTTTTTCTAGCTTTAAATAATCATAGTCATACAACCTTTTATTTGTTCTTGTTATGAGGTCTGACACTTTCTCTAGATACTCTACGGCATAAACAACAACTGGCTCAGAGTCATTGAGTGGCACAGGAGCGAACAGTTCGGTAAGGTATGGCATCCAATCCACCGCTGGGGCCAAGGTCTGTATAACAACGATAATAACAATAATATGAATGCATAATATATGAAAGCAGGCACACAAAACACAAAACCGTTTCTGTGACAATGCAAGTTACTGACTGTTAGATTTTTGGCCTCCATTTTGTGGTAGATAATCTCTTCATCCCTACGCTCCTCCTGAGGGATTGTGATGTTGGCAAGAGTTGTTTCAAAGTCTACAATCTCCGTCATAAGTGTCTGAGAGGTTTCTTTGGAGCCACCAAGAAGAACTCCTAACTCCACCAGGTAGTTGAGATATGCGGTCAGGTACTGTGAAGACACACGATTAGTAAATGCATATGTGAGGATGAAAAGGCAATGAAAATGGATGTGGCTTGTTGATTTTGTAATTCAAATCATGTTTTCCCATAACCTATTTGTGATGTGCAAATTTACCTTTTCGTTTGCCGTTTTGTTGAGATAGTAATCCCGTGAAGGAAGTCCAAGGCTTGACTGATCCACCTGGAATTTCAAAAATGACACATGTTTGAATCAGACCTCTCTGTCTGACGAGCTGTTTCCAGTGTCAAGACTAAATAAAGGAAACTTGCCAGAGATTTTTATCATTTGCTAAGCTCTCATGACCCTGCACAAGGGGACGCAGTCTTCTTGGCCAAGCAACAGTGTAAATAGGACCACAGTGATTTAAGAGGGACCTAACACAGATGAAGAGATGCCTACAAAAGTGGGATATCTGGTTTTGATACCACAAAAGGATGAAGCTCTCATAGATTCTTTTGAACATAAAGTACACAAGGGATAACCTGCTCCCAGCCCTGCACAAACAACGCACACTAGCTTACCGTAGCATATAAACGTTCCCTGGCTTGTTGTTTCTGACCTAATGCGCAACCTATGTAAATAAGGTAAGTGACGCATCATATGCTCTATGGCACCATGAGCAGCGCTGAACAAACAGATCACCCATCCGAATCTTAGCCCAAGTCAACACTAGGATCCTCAATCCTGTGACAAATAGCGTGCAATCTGGAGTATAGAGTATAGACAGGTAAACTCCAGATAGAGGTGCATGTTTGTAAAGGGCTCTGGTTCCTCATATTTGTCCTTACAAGAATTCAATATTATTATTCTTAATTTTAGAACTATATTTTCACAAGATGAACAGAGCAGTTTAATTTCTGTAACAAAGTTCTGTTTTAAAAATAGAATTTGCAACTGTCTTTTAAGGTTTAAAGTGATAATAATGTGAGCCTCTCACCTGGATAATGTTACTGTTGGAGTTTTTGGAGTCTGTGCTGACAAAGACTGTAAAGAATGGTGCTGCATGAAAGTTTGCAGACACCATTCTTAACACTTTCTGAAAGTTGTCCTTGTCCCAGGGTTCAGTCAAGGCCCAACCTCCCAACTGGAAATTACACATTTATTTATTCACAAACAATATTTACATGTTTACAGACAAAAACGTGAAAAGGTACCAAACCTGGCTGATGAGCTCCTGTAGTGGTTTAGCTCCTAACTCCTCGATCTTGGTTTCATTCATGCAGGCCTCATAATATCGCTGTGCCTTCTCCTCAGCATCACTTACTTTCATTGTTGTGTTCTCTATCCAAATAATGACAAGGCATAAAGTTACACTAGCAGCACCAGACAGCATTCATCCTGATTCTGGGAAGTAGGCTATAGAAGGTAAGGACACTCGGCTCTGCCCTCACAGCAGACAAAGCCCATACCTAGAAGGTGCTTCATTGTGAGCATGTTGTGTTCCCACAGGGTGCTAAAAGGTCCCCAGCGAGACTTGCCCTCAGGAAGAGGGTTGTTTTTCACCCAACCTCCGCAAGCAAAGTTGTAGAAATCATGGCAAGGGTCCACGGATCGGTCTAGTGAGGCCAATACCGCACTAGCCACAGTAATGCAGGGCTCTGAAAGGCAGTGGCCTGGGTGAGCTGAAAAACATTTTGGTCAAGATATTATTGTGGGAAACATTTTGAATTGAAACCACTGGATAAAACATACAAGTGCAAAGGTCGTTGTGTGATCAAACTATAATAATAGTAAATCAGTTTCATATAGCACTTCACATGTCATAATTTTTTCACACCATACATGGTGGTGATACTAGTGTAGCCACAGCTGCCCTGGGGCACACTGACAGAAGCAAGGCAACCAGTAAGTGCCATCAACCTCTCCAAGCTCCACCAACCATTTACACACACTTCAGGCTCATTCTAGGCAATGTGGGTGAAGTATTTTGCCTAAGGACACAACGGCCATTTGGCACAGCACTAACCAGGCCCTGTACAGCTTCAGAGGACTGTTGGGATCTGGCGTTCGCATGCAAGTTTGGCCGCAAAATACGATAAATACAATTCAATTACAGGTACTGTATAGAAATATGAATTATTTTTATTTGAGTGTGCTTCTGCATGCAGAGATTTGAATATGATTTTGTGTTATCAGAATGGGTTAGACAAAGTTATTCGGAAAATATAATAATAATTTTATCAAAACAAGATGAACAAGATAAGATGACCATATTTGAATTTCATCATTGTTAGAGTCAGTGTCTTCCAATCAGGGGTATGAGGACCCAGAGAGATACGCGAGGGTATTACAGGGGGTACTTCAAATAATTTTTCAAACATTGATAGTAGGAGGTATAAATAGGCTAATATGCTATGTTGTATATCATTTACAAATATAACACAAATATTAATAAGCCAAGTAAGGAAGGCAATAACTATCCTTACTGTGTTCAGAAAATATCCAAAAGTCAGGTTAAATTAAAAGAAAAAATATTGTAAAAAATACCTACATAATGAAAGACTATAATTGAAATAAAATAAACAAAAGCAAAATATGAGCTATAATGAACCCCCCCACTGTTCTAAAAATGTTTTAGAACAGTGTTACAGTGTGGGGGTGTGAACGGCTGCACATCCACTATTGTTCCTTACATTATTTTTTATAGTGTGACATAACATTCAAACCTGAATGGGAGGAAGCGGTTTAATGTTTCCCTGGAAAAATCGTAGGAAACCACCACAGACACTCACGATGGTAAAGCTATCATTCACCATCACGGGAAGTTTAAGTTTATTAATATGTTGGTATATCTTTTCGTATTCCAGTATTTACAATTTTAATACAGACAGAAATGTAACCTCTAGTGTTGATGATTTTGTTTCATAATTGTCAAGAGGCCACATGGATTACACATCTTAGATCTACTGATATTTGGATATGCAGGAAATAGTTTATTACTTCCCTCTCTTGTTCAAAGACTTAAATGACGGGAACTGGAGTAACTAAATATAAATCAATCATGCGATGCATGAAAGTGTTTTGAAAGATGCTTTAAATACTTTCCATTTCCATACACCGGTAATGTAGAGGGAAATACCGTTGAAGAATACTGATCAAAGAGTTATTGCCCAGAAAGGAAGACTCACTCTGTTTGTAGAAGACCCCAGTTGTGATGAGGGATATGAATAAGGCCACAGATAAAAGACACACCAAAAGTATCAGCCTCCGCTCTCTTTCTGTTTTATTGGACCAACACTGGGGACCTCGACCCTGAAGAAGTGTCACCTGAGGAGACAAGGATATTAAAACAATTAAAGAAAGAGTAGCCAACATTGAAATCACAAAAAATGAATAATCAGTAATAAAATCCATGTTCCAAGCTCTCAAAACAGTTTGGTTCTATCACTAGTTTTTTATATATTTTTGGCACTTTTATATCTTTAGATTTGTAAAAAAAGACTTAGACTATCAGCTTTAAGTGAGTAAAATGTTGTGGTTTTTCTGAATATGTTACCTTAACAACACTCAACCTGTTGGGGCGGTTTATGAAACGAAACCAAAGGTTAGGTGCACAAGCTTTAATTTAGAATATACATACAATGCGCCAAAAGCCAAATAATTTGAGGTAGACAATTTAAGGTTTATTTACTAACAAAAGCTAGCTACACTAATATACTATTCTTCAACTGTGCTTGAATATACATAATTTAGATTTATCGCAACCACACACAGATAAGTGATAGCGATCCACTGGTTTTTGGATTTAGGTCTACAAATACAAAACTCTCATGGTTTACCTGGAAATGTTTTCAAGTAAAAAAAAAAAGTGAGAAATGTACTGAATATCCGAAAAACCAAAAACTGTCGTGTCATGTCTACTTCTACATAATGAAGTGTCTACATGTGAAGAAGACAAGAGTTTATTTGGATTAGACCCAAGGAATGAAACATGTTCCAAGAAGCACAAATATAATAGTACCAATTGGAGACAACATTTTTGAAAATGCAAAGTTTACAATGATTTTCTCAATTCATATTATTAAAACCAAAAAATATTATCAATATTTAATGATCAAACACAAGAAGTAAACACATTAATTTGCCTCTAGTTTCTAGTTAGGTGGATCCTGTAATGTCAATAGTTTTTTTATGATTGTGGAAAACAAACAAAACCCAATTTTCTTAGATCGATTTTTAAAGGATTATTCTGTGAATCCAGTAATGCTCGTAAAGTGCTACAAAATGTAGAAGACATTTAAATTTTGTTGGGTGAAGGGATAGCACTATGAAAAAAGGCTTTGAAGGTATAAAGTACATTCTGCAGGATATGTAAAGTTACGGACACAACTATAGCTCTGTCGAGGCATGGCCAGAATCAAAAATGTCGGAAGCAGATTTGTAGATTCTTATCCATGCTTTGTCTCCAGTAAGCTAGAGTACTGCCATGGCCTGCGGTACAGCTCGAGTCCTGACTAGAACCAGGAAGTAGGATCACGTTAGTCCAGTTCTCAGGGGTCTACATTCTACTTCCTGTGGCTCAGAGAAAATATTTTAAAATCAGTTCTGCTTGTGTACCAGCCTCTCCATGGTCTCGTGCAAATTAGACGTGTTAGTGCATATGAACTAACTCCGACTCTGAGGAGCACAGGGACTGGGCTCCTGCTGGTGCCCAGAGTCAGGACTAAATATGGCGAAGCAGAATTTCAATTTTATTCAGCTTAACTAAGTAACAGTCTTCGATCCATTTCACAGTGTCAATTGATTCCTGTTTTACGTATTTTAATCTGTTTTCCTTATTTACTTGTCTTGTACACAACGGGGACTTTTGAAAATGTATTCCAATGTGGTTTCACTGCAAATGGCAAATATAATTAATCTGAATCTGAACTGTGCTATACAAATAATCTCGCCTTGCATTAAAACTGCGGCATTATTATTACACTTGATAGAAAATGTGTAGATTATTTAATTTCAACAACAACAACAAAGTTGTTCACATACTTCCTGGTAACTTTGGGAATGTTGCGTTACCTGCATTGGGTGTGAGGGATAGATATCGTCCCCTGCGGAGTCCAGCAGGTCCTCCTCGTCCAGTGTGGCTCTCTTGTACGAGGACATCTGAAAGGTTAAATGCAGAAAGGACTGTCTGAGTGCTTCCATGCTTTCTGTTGTACCGCACTGACGTCTGCGAAACTGTGACGTCCAGATTTCTTTTTTGAAGCCGCTGGGGCTATACAGGATCGAGTTTCCCTTTTAAATCCATCTCAAAGAATCCAGTCCTACCAGTCGGATCCGTAGAACGCAATAAAAAAGTGTCATGGTCCTTCCAAGCAGCAGCAACAAACCTCAGCCCTAAATGATCACAGTAAGGAAAAGCACTCCTCTTCAAAGTTTACAACATCTTCTTGTGCTCAAATGCAGTCCCTTCCTGAGAGTTTTTACCCCCTCCTCTGTCCAGACTTCCTCATCAGTCTGGACTATGTAAATTACTCGGAACAAAGCGGAACTAGAGAAAAACAGGAAGACCTATAGGCTTAACAATGAGACTACAACTGAGAGTGCAATTCCAAAATGTGTTTTCACTTAGATTTGAGGAGGGAGCAGAGCTGGTTTAGCACACACCCGCAGACGCTTCTATTGGACATGCTGCACTCTGAGGCGGAGTTTGCGGGGAAAAAAATGTGCCCCTCCTACTAAATGCTTGTAGTTGCTTCTCTTGGAAACGGTTACCTGATAGTCATGCCAGGGCTCTCTGGTAATGTTTTAAACCGTATCACAAATCTCTCATGGTAGAAGATAGCATATGCAAAGGGCACAAACAAAAAACACCATTATAAACAAATGATTAGCAAGAAGGGAAGTAATTTGATAATGATATTCAGATGTTGTAATGTCAATCCAGCCAAATGTCTTAATTGGGGCTTAGGTATCTATTTCTAGAGCAAGAATAGAAAAAGATACATTGATATATATATTTATTATGGCCAGAAAAAGCTAATTGATTAATCACAAACTAATCAATTTCAAATCAATTTGTTGCACCTTACATAAGTTTAAAGGCTTTATAACTCAGATAATTCTAGAATGACTGCATAATTTCATAAAAATGTGTTAAATCACGACAGTGATGGGCGACAGTAGCTCAGTTGGTAGAGCATTGGCCTTTGGGCCTGAAGGTCGTGGGTTCGAGCCCACCGTAAGACCTACTTCACGACTCCCACTGATGACTGCTGTCGTTGTGTCCTTGGGCAAGACACTTAACCCTACTTTGCCCAAAGCCCCAACTGAAAAGATCTCAGCTCCTGTGGACTCACCACCTGCAGGAGGATCAGTGAGGGGCTGGTGCTATGTGTACTGGGTGCAGCTCTGACTGCCACCCCCCCGACCCAGAAATGGATTAAGGGGAAGAAAATGGATGGATGGATGGATGGTGTTAAATCACAAATCAAACAACCCAATGTTTAAAGCAGTGGGGGCAGGTCCCGGCTCAAAAATATCCAAAAATGACGTGCGCTGACATGCTTGCAATACCACCCCGGGCCGATGGGGGTGGACCCGGAAAAAGAATGATTCAATGCTAATTTATAACATCTTCTTACCTCTCAGGCTTTACAGTATGTTCCAAAAGTCGGCTCTTAGCTCAAAGCTACGTTCCAGATGCGTGTCAATTCTGAGGTATTATTATGAACCAGTCTAGTTTTCAGTGGAATTTTGAAGGCACTTGTTAAATGAATGGGGCTAGAACCGGCTAATGCATGCACAATTGTGTTTTTCACATTTTCCTGGCCCTGCTGTCATTTTGAAAAGCCCCATAGACAGCAAAAGTGATGGCACATTTGTTTGAACGTCGGAGATAGGTGTGACTACGTCCGTTAATATTTACAGTCTATGGTTTTAAGTCATCTCTATGAATATGTTATCCAGGGACCTCCCTTGAGCTTTGTTTAGGTCAAATGCATTAAAAAGTCCATAAACATTGAGCTCCTGGGATCAAACCAATCTATTGATCAATCAAATGAATTATCGGCCAATTCATAGATGATCAAATAATTGTTAATTGCAGCGCTACATTTAACATTAGAAAACTACTAGAACTCCCAGAACTATTCAAATAAATAGGTTTTCACTAGTATGAATTAGTACTAGTACCAGTAGTAAGTGATTCGGCTTTTATCTTTAACACATGCTCAAAGTGATTAATATAAATGAAATATAGCAAAACTAAATGCTAGCGTTGCTATGGTTACTAACATGGTAACTAGCACGGACTAAAAACGCTTTAAATGTGATTATGAAAGTTTTTACTTCCATGTACAGAGCAGCTTTTCTTTACATATTTTTGTAAATATCTTGTGTTTGTGTGTTGTTTGTCTCAAATTTGTTGTGTGTTATTTTTGTGTGTCTGAATCAAATATTAAAACAAGTTTAAAAAAAAGCACTTGCTCCAAGCTGAGATTGCTCAGAACCAGTCTAGGGTCGAGATAATTTCATAAACTTAGAAATATATACATAAACTACATTTAGATGGAGACTAAAAACGTACATAAGCAGAGTAATTACACTTCCAAAACAAACTAGTGTTCATAAACATTAGAATGCTTTTCATTTCATAAAGCATGGAGTGGAGAGGAGTTTTTCAAAAGAACACAACATACATGTCGTGGCTATACATAGCTGGAATTAAAGCCATCACCCCAGCAATCTGTAACCATCGAGCCACAAACCAACCTTTGCAACTTTTCTCATTTTGCTCAGGTCTGAACTTTGAAAGGGTCTATTTTCTTCGTGATTGGAAACACTGCTGCTCTGGCTCACATCATGGTAAAACGTCCAACACAATCCAAGCTCGACTTCTGTAAACAAACCCCGCAGACGGGTTACGCTATTTTAGCTTCTCATTTGCACTGCATGAACACACATTCCAGAGATTTGAAAACCCTGAAAAATTGACTTTTCCCTGGGTCAAAAATGAAAAAAAGTAGCAAAATAAATGAGAAGTTTATCAGCTTTTACTAGGTCAGCAGAACACTGGGATGGTGAGAAACGGCACAAGGGAGGAGGCAGGAAGAGGCCACCAATTGTTTTTAGGACATACTCCATTACATAAATAGTCTCGCATGACCTCCAGCTGAAAGCCAGTTCCCTAATAGGATATTGATGGGTTTCTTTCTAGGTTACATGCAGGCAGGTCTTTTAACAACATGATCATTTCAGTGGAATAACACTAGCTTTCTATCCATCCATCCATCCATGGAAGAGTATACGCTATTTTTTGTCTATACTCTTCCACAGTCTGACATAAAAGACACTTAACACTGATTATGTACTCAGCACTTCCTGATATTGTAACCTCTTCACACACTGTTTACTGGGGCAAAACAAAAATCAGTAATTAACAAATCAATTGACATATCATCACACATTTTCTAACTGTTTAACTCATTGTTGTTGTAGACTGTTATTTTATATTTTTTTATTAAAGTGTTTTGTTTTCACTACTACACCTTTCTTAATTATTTCTGATTTCAGGCTGAAATTTAAAATCTATCCAGGGACAACAGATGAAAAGTAGTCTTGCGGTTAATTCTGTTCATAAATGTATAGTGTCCCTGTCAAATAAACAAAATTCACAAATACATAAATTAACAATGGTTGTGATATGACAATGTGATGTTATACATTACCATCATATGGATAACTAAGAAACATAAACATGATACTTTTTAAATTAACTATGACATTACAATAACGTTTCCTGTTCCAAATTCTAAAACTGAGCCGCTCTGATCATTTTCTTTGTTTATAGTGACAAACAGGCTACAACTTGGACTTAGCTCATGAGCTGTGATGGGAGATGATGAAAACTCACATCTTGAAAGCAGAAGAAGACAAGACAATGCAGTACTAAAAATTGCATTCAAATGATTGATGATTGTCTACTGTGTGTATTTAGTGCACTTGTACATAGTAGTCAAAATAGTAGTAGTAGAAGTAGAAATGTTATGTAAATGTTTTATTCATTTTTATGCAAGCCCTATTATAACTATTTGATAAGAACTCGTTTACACTGACACTCAAAGCACTTTCCTTGTTTGTGACTTTCTGTGACTCACAATTCTGATTCTGATTGATAAGAGAGCAGCGTCATATTAAGATAAAGCCTGTCATTACCCCAGCGCAGTGTTAAAACGCTCCAAACATTATCTTAAACAGAATGTGTGTGTGTATGTATTTATGTGTTATTTATCGGGCTTTTTAGCATGTAACTTGCAACTCACCGTGGTTTTTAATTGCCCCTTGGGGATAAACAAAGTGATTGATTGATTGATTGAAAAGGTCATTTAATTCCGTTTTTCATTTAATGTGAATTTAAGTGGTTGTGAATGAATGCGGTCCTTTATGGGCCAGGTCCCCAAAAGGATTTAAACATTTAAAACTAATTGTACAAGGGGGTGATATTGTAAAGGCCATGCTTTTCCAGAGCAGCAGCTGTAAACCACAAACATGTGTCAGTAATTCGTCACTGATCCTCCAAAGCAGTTGATTATTTGTAGCACGAAGACATTCCTCCAAGAATAACTGGAGTATGTTTGTGTTTAAGATTTGGCTGCTGTGTTCTGCACAAGGTTTAGCCACTGTTAGTAAAGGGAACATCATCCATGACCATTTCAAAAGCAGGGGTTAAGCTCAGATGGTGCAGACTAAAAGGCCGTGGTTCGCAAAGTGGGGTTGCAGGACACATGACGGGAGATGGCAAGATGAATGTCATAATTTGAGACTTATTTTTGGTGTCCCAACCTGAAAGTTTGGGAACCATGGCCCATGGTAACATAACATAGTCATTACAGATCTCACACCCTAAATGAATACAGAGGACAAAGTAATGTATCCATAACGTCGGTTCTGGTAATATCAAAACTTTTCCCGTTTTCTTCCAACCCATCCTGTGACTGTGGAATAAGGATGAGCAACAGGAAACCAGGGCTTTATAGGAAAGAGCCTGCAGCCATCAGTTAACTCTCCATCAATTGTTAGGCTAAAACATTCCTCAAATACCACAAAACCAGAACCAAATAAATACATACTTATGTTATGAACTATCAGGACACCTCTACAACGCACACTGCCCTGTAAGGCTGCAAAATAACATAAAGGATGACATGTGAAGAACATGTGATGCAGGACATTCTCCCTGGTTCCCTGAAGGCCAGAGATAAAGGCCACTCTCTCAGGCCACAGCTGGCGTCAACAGAGAGGGACTGTTTCCTTAAGAGAAAACACCCTGATAGTACAGCCATAGCCCAAAGGGAAAGAAGCACTTTCCCAAGTAATCAGCTTTTCGTTCTAGGTAGGATTGTCAAGCTTTTTTAACACGTAGCGCTTAATTTTAGCTGTGGCTTGTTAAAGAGAAGCCAGCTTATTATGCGCATTCTGGATAATTACCTTTGTAGTCCTGTAATATGATTTCTATTGACTTAGTGTGCAACATCTCTATATCCATAATACCACAACACAATGATCAAAGCCGGGGCACTGAACTAACAATATGTTTTTTTTCTTCTCAATAGGAAGAGTCTTGAAAAATGTGGCAAAAATGTAAAATCGCTACATGCTGGGTTTGTATTATTAAAACATATTTTATCTTTTGCATGCTGGTGAGAAAGAGGGCCCATGTAAGGCACTATTTGAGGTTGATTTTAAGACGTGCCAGAGGTCAAAAATAGATGCATGTGAAATAGTGACAAAACCAAAACTGTATCTAAACCAGGAACTAGTTAGCTCCATTTCCATTACATAGTTTAGGTATTTTGTGTTTTTAAAGTTAGGTAACCAGCTTTAACTTCTAGAATCAAGCATGTTTTGTTGAATAAGGCTGTATTTAAAGACAAAGAGAAAGAGGTTACTAACATCTTAGAGGTTTCTGGTTATTCACTTCATAAGGAAAGGTGTGGGTATATATTTTTGAGCTTTGAGAGAGAGCTCGGCTTACTCTGCCTGAATCCAAACAGACAACATGAGATTACCTGTCCTCGCTGTTGTTATGGCGCCCTACAGCTTCAGCACACTCCAGATGACACTTTGGTCTGGTCTGGATAATGAGTAATTGTCTGTATGTTACTCAACGCTAATATGATTAAACCACCCATTTTACGTCATCCAATAAAAGAAATTAGATTATATTACAATCAAAAGCAGGAAAACAAGGTCTTAAAGGAAGCAGACATGTAAAACTCAGGCTCGTGGGCCAAATCCGGCTCGCTAGACAGTTTTTACTGGCCCCTAACATGGCTTTTTTATTATCATTAACTTGCAGCACTGATGTTTATGAGCTACCATGCCATGTTAAGCATAATCTATTTTATCAGGAAATCAACCACATCACATCAAAAATGTTCACGCAACACATCATTTGAGGTGAAATAGTTAAATATAAAACAATGTGTTTAACTTTATACTTGGTCCAGTTTGGGTTCAATCTAAACAATAAACACTTTAAAAAAAAGAAAAATCAACCATACAATCATAGTGAAACTAATGTCATATGAAAGTAACATCGAAATACCTTCATAATGCAAGTAAAAATAATAATAAAACAATTATAAGAAAAGGAAATCCCTTCTATTCTTTCAGCCCTTGACCTGTTCCTATTTTCTTTTTACTCAGCCCCTGACCAAAATGAGTATGACACCTCAGTCTTGGAGGCACATATGGCTATATACACAACACATAACATGATGCGTGGTAAAAGAACAATGCTTGACAGTTGACACAATAGCTAGATCACATTGAGGATGGTTTTCCCTCCAAGTCTTATGACCTAATAACAACAAACGCATGTATTTTGCCCTTGCCACCCACACAGCATATCCTTCTCTATAGTGATTAATCTGTGTGTAGTGTGAATGTGGCAAGTACAGCAAAAACAGGATTTCCTTGCCCACTTAAAATGATTGAAATGCTCAGCGGTCTAATTTGATGAACCTCTATATAAGGATGTGAAATAAACCTGGGGATATAAAATTCCGTATACAGCCTGTGTGTGACAGCTCCTCGTGTGCACAAGCCATAGGCACAAACAAGCACTGATCATGAGCAAATAAAGTGGAAAAAAAAGATTCATTATGGCAACTGTGTCCAATAATAGGAATGCAGACGCTTATGGCCTAAAAAAGATAGAGATAGAGATTTTATGCTATTTGGGATTTTTTTTTTACGGTGGATCCTCGCCTCAAAAGGCTATGTAACTCACGCTACCAATATCAACGAAATCAATTTGTATCTGAGTCTGTTTAAAGTAGCACTGATATATGAAACGGCACGAAAGCGAACTGTTATTAAAGTTTGCATACAAGGACACTCGCTTACCTTGTGGCCAGTGGCTCCCAATGTGCTCTCTGACCGTGGACAGTGGACGGGACAGCCTCTGCTTGCCAAAGATCAAACCTGCGCCTCTGCAACAGGAGAAGTGACTCCAGCCATCCCGAACTACGTCATTTTGCTCCTCACGATGCGGAAGTGGCTGTGGGATTTCGGATTTCGGGGATAATAACTATTTATAATAATTTATTTCGCCCTACAGTGGAGAGATTTAAAAAACATTCGTTATTGTGATTTGCTGCAATGCCTGTCAAAGAGCTTGCTGAAAAATGCACTTGGAAACTGATATCTTCACTTGTTTTGTTTTCTTTGAATCCATCAGGGACATCTAGCGGAGATGTTGAGTATGGTTCCTAATCACCATTCACAAAATAAAATACAAATTTGAATACAAGTTATGTTTTTTTATTCTTATTTTTTGGTTTGATTTTATTGTTTATAATACCAAATTTGATCCATCCTCGCCGTGTGAAGAAGAGGTTTCGCAGGTGCTGGACTATACAATCAGAACTGCTTAGCCTGGCACTCCATCTGTAAATAGTGAATTGTTCAATAATGTGCAATACAGCAATTTCAGAATGTCCACTGAACTATGGATTCCATTATAATCGTCAATGCAAATCGTGCATCAGGTTTTCTCATTTTGAAAGAACCAGTGTCAGACTTTTTTTTTGTTTTTTGTTTTTTTTGCCAGTGTCAGACCTGCTATTATGTTCTGAGAATGGTGTGACCTACCCCAAGCCACGTAGATATGTCATCCAAGGAGCACCAACAGGGGACGACACAGAACCCAGAGGAGAGAGGAGGCTCCAGAACTCCACCAGGTCCAAGATCCAAACCCTGCAGCCACATCTCCCAGTGCAGATGGCCACAGTGGCGAAATTTCAGTGTTGCATCACCACTTACAGAACAGAAGGAATGAGGAGCTCACAACACGGGATAAATGAACAATAACTACTAAAATAAAATAATACAAAAAAAATCTAACTTTCACATCGCGAAGAATTAAGGATACAATCTGACTCAAGCAAAATGATAAGTAAGTATAACGTCTCTAACTTTAGTTAATCATAAAATTATTCCAGCACAATAATAATAGCATTGTGCTCTCGCCAGCAGGGGGAGCCCTCGGGCCGTTTCTAATTCGCAGAGCACCATTGTACGCAAGCTTCTCTTCTCGTGGGATGCACAGACCGCTATCCCTGAGCCCAGAGCCAGAGCTGAAACGCGGTAGCCTTATAAAAAGAACAGTGCAGACGCAAGGACGCACAACTCAAGGTGAACAGCGCAGTTTGGAGCCGAGAGCCGCGCTGTTTTGGACCTCTATACGTGAGGTAAGAGCAACTACAATAAACTTTTGTCACCCGCAACCTGCTCTCATTCACCCAGCATGCACCCGATTAACATAATAGTGAGTGAAAAGCCTTACGTTTGAACTCGACTTGGTTTTGTTTTGGATCACTGGCAACGATGCTATGTAATGTTTTTGCCTGATGTACCAAATATCTCTCCCCCCGTCACATTGTATCACATGCACTCGTTTCATTGTATCTATAAAGCGTCTATGGTTACATTTTGCAACTTACAATATTCATTTTTTTATGGAGTTCCCACGAATCCATCTGGAAACTTAATCAACTTCACATTTTGTAAATAAGGTGCAAGCGCTACAGAAAGAAACAAGCACAACACAACACAACAACAACAACAACACAACTAATTTCCTTTCAATAGTCCTAAAACATTTGTATTATTACTCTTTTCTAAATCAACCAGATCTGAACTATAAATCTCTCAGCGCAATAGACCAGATTTTTAGTTTGGGCCTAGAAGTATTATCCACTTTTTATAGCTTGATAGCTTCTTGCATACTAATTATAGGGCTGCTTTTGAGAAAGTAGCCAATAACAACAACTTAACTTTCAACAGAAAAATTGAATGCAGTGGTTATTTTGTGGTGCATGCCTGTTTTTGTGTATGTATAATTTTGCATTATATTACTATTGTTAGTAACTTTTAGAATTATGTATTTTTTGTTTCTGCTGATGGACCTCTGATTTTTTTCCTACTGGGATGAATATAAGTATATATCTATCTATTTACCTATCTATCTGTTTGGACTAATTGGCCTATAATGAAAATCCTAATCCATTTCTTGGAAGCTGCTTACCTGATGCATCACACTTTGCTGCAGTGATGGTGTGAATATGCAGTGTGTCTTTATGACAGTCCACCATGATAGAAGTTGGATCTGACGTCTTAGTGACCACAGTTCTGGGTGGTCTTCTGCTGCTGGCCGTCTTGGTTCTCCTATGCTTTTTCACGTGCAGACTGGCTACTTCACTGCCTGTGAGCGGACCAGGCCGATTCTGAGCACGTGACGGGTAAATATTGGGATAGAAAATTTTGACAATCTTGGTAGCAGTAGTAAGATATCAAGTGTGTGATTTAGTGCGTGAAGTATTGGGCCAAAAAAACTGTAAAAGAAACCTAAAAGCTAACAGTAACCACTAAAAAAGTAGAATTATAGTGTGCATTTTGCTTTCAGCCAGGTTATGTGGTGTACTTTTGGTTCAAATGGCTTTCCAAAACACCCATTGTGATTAGGGCTTTATCTATAATTTAAATGTACAAATAAAGTTTTATCCAATCTTATCTTGATAATTGATTAGCTAACTGATTCATATTTTGATTTATCCATTAGTTCTTTAGACACCAAAAGGTTAGTTTAATGGGTTATTTTCATACATTTGTCCAGAACAAACTGAAGACTATATTTTGAATGGTCTGAGTTATAAGACATCTGAGCAAGGTTCAAAATTGGGCTTGGTCTGTTTCATTCTCTGTTTTGACAAATAACAACTTTATAAAATCCTCTGAGATAACTACTGCTATGGTTTAGGGCTGTACAAATATATAAATAACAATTATTTCGATACTCAATTACTTGTAATTAATTGATTACCTTGGTACAGATTTGTGATATTATCCTTGTCTTGATAACGATCCCACGGTTTAGGTTTATCATAGAAACTATTGGATTTCAACTGCGGCTGGATATGATCTTGCAACAGTGCATTTTGTGTCTTATTTTTTCTTTATCAAACACACACAGAATTCTATTAATATTCCCTTCTTATTCAACTTTTAAAGCACGGTTAACCCATTTGTACCCAAACATTTTTCTGAGTGTTAATGCATTATTAGTTGTGTTCCCTTGAATCAGGAAATGTATTTTCTTTTTACAATTTTGGACCTTGCCTTGAAGAAAATAGCATTTTTAGGGCTGGCAACTATAGTTGCCGGTGGGCACATAGCTTGTCAATAGGTCGTAATGGATATTATAACTGGATATAATCAACCCAGAAAGGTTGTGATCAGCCAAACTGATTGTGATTGACTCCCAATTTTTAAAATCTAAAACAATAAACAACTTGAATGTTTTCTTTATTCTAAAATACAAAACAAATGTTTTCAAAAAGGGAAATTTCAAATTGGCAATCCAAAAACCGGCAAAAAATGGCAATAGCCTACACCTACTTTCTATTGCTTTTCTTTTTCCCAACAGCAAAAAAATAAAAAGGACTGATGCCAAGGGCAATTTCAAGTATACTGTAGATATCCTATACACACCCTCACGCGGTATGATACTTGAAGCACTCCACATGTAGCGGCAGGACACATTTCTCACAGAACTTGCATCGCTTGTACTTGTACTTGTTGTTGTTGTTGTTGTTGTACTTGTTGTTTCAGGGCCAGTGGTTGAGGTTGTAGAACCTGCATCAGCCATGCCCGGGCCAATTGCGGCCCTCTGGGCCACTTTATGTGGCCCTCTGCTGCTAACACAAAGTCGCCATTGAGGCACTTTGACAGTGTCATCCAACCAACTTAAGCTCCACCAATACAGTCAGGCTATATCTTGCTGTAAATCTCAGACACTCTAGAATCCAGTCGTTGACTCTATTGTTATTTACTTACATTTGCTTTATATTTGTGTGGTCCTCTTACTAAAAGTTTGGACACCCATGTCTTACTCCATGACGCTGGAGTAGGGTCTGAGCTACAGCTATATCAAAATCCTACAGACATAGGCTTTGAATACCTGTGAATACTCTATTTAGATGTGAAGAGTAATCTAAGAGGTTTAAAATTAGCCATTGTACAGCATTCTACAATTAAAAATAAGTAAATTATGAGGCATTGTTAGTAGATATACAAGGCATTGTTTTCCTTTCTTTTAGTGACATCATATGTGCCCACCGGGAACTTAAGTTGCCGCACACAGAAACATGCCCATAACTCAAAAAATATTTATCCCAGGTACAATGTTTTGAGGGAGGGTTACTCTAGAGACTTAAATGATCAAATTATTATTTACATGTTTGGGGCAAAAATTATTCAAAATTTATGAAAATGACCTCTTTCTGGGATGGTTTGCGTCATTCATGTTTTCACTCGGAAGGGACTGGAAGCTGATGATGTCACGTGACTGGAATCACCAGGAAGCATCATTTTTTAAAACTATAACTTTGTCTAAGTTGTTGGAAAAACTTGCATCAATACCTTTGATTTTTTTTTCTGTGAGTAGAAAATGACAATGATAAACTTTGGCAACTATAGTTGCCGGTGGGGCTAAATGGGTTAAAAAGCAAACTTAAAATGCTGTATTCCAAGTCGCAAATGTCCAATATTCTCCACTTTCTTTGCATGTTTCTTGTCAATGTTTGGTCAATCATCCATTCTTAATCGGCTTTGTTATGGTCATTAAACCTCTCAGAATTATGCAGCTCAATCCAATTAAAATGACCTTGAGAGCGAGAGGGAAGAATGGAGGAGAGATAATTACTGCTGAAAGCCTGACTGGCCTGAAACCCGTCCATGGCCCCTGTTGCGACTGCTTACATTCACAGCCAGACCTCCACATCAACGTCCCTGATTTAAGCGTGTTTTTTCTTCTTCTCTACTTTTCTCTAAGCTGTAAAGGCTGGCAGGGACATGAACGACATGTCAAAGATTGATAAAGCCAGGACAGAAGACTGGGCAGTTCACTTTTTTCCCCCTTTCCTATAAACAGTCTCCTCTGTACCTTCTTGTTCAACACCAACTGCCTTCAAGAGCTGTTTTTATGACATCCATAAATTTCCGCTTTGATCCTCCTCTGTACCCCCTGCCGCGCTGCTTCACCATCAAAACCACACTCTGTCACAATAATGCTCTTTTATTTTTTTTTATTTTTATTTTTTTATATGTTTTATTTATGGTTTTCATTTTTTTGAACAAACACAAAAAACAAAAAATAAACAAAAATAAAATAAAAATAAAAACCCTCTCTCAGCAAGACAATAAAATAAATAATCATAAAAAGAGACAAACAGTAATAGACACAGTTTTACATCTAGTCTGTGGTCATGTCAAGTTGAGTCAGCATATTCAAAAAAGGAGTCCAAGTCAGTTCAAAGTCGTCTAGTTTTCCTCGGATAGCATGCATAAATTTTTCTGGTGTGCAGTATGACAAAAGTTCGTTAGCCCAGTGCCTTTGGCTGGGGGGATTGATACTCTTCCAATCCTTCAGGATACACTTCTTGGCAGCTGTTGCAGCTGATAACACAAAATGTTTCTGATTTGAGTTCACCTTTAGTAAAGTTACATCTCCCAGCAACCAAATCCGAGGATCAGCATCCAGAGCCTGTCCACAAACTCGAGAGGTCACTGCGATGATGTGAGTCCAGTATGGCTTCAGATGGGTACAACTCCATAGCATGTGCACAAGGGTTCCAACAGAGATGGAGCATCTTTGACATTGATCAGAGATGTCGTTTCCTAATTTACTTAACCTATATGGTGTAAAATATGTTCTGTGGAAAATATTGAATTGAATTTGTCTGTGTTTAGTAGACACCAATTTCGTTTGTGCCAATTTCAATAATCTATTCCAATTATCCTCCGTATAAATACACCCAAGATCAGATTCCCATCTTGTTTTGTTTAAATATCTAGCATAAGCCGGTAAGTTGTCTATTATGATTTTATACACAGTAGATATTAAACCTTTAGTTCTCTTGCATTTGGGGTTTAAAATGCATTTTTCAAGTAAAGATTCCTCAGGTCTGTGTGGAAAAATAGCTTTAGTTTGACTCTTGATCCAGCTTCTAATTTGTAAATATTTGAAAAAGTTACGTTTATCTATATCATAAACTTCTAACATTTGACTAAAACTTAAAAAGACATTATTAGTATAAAGGTCACCAACAATTTTTACTCCTTTTCTCACCCAATTTTGTAAAATTCCATCCGCTAAGGCTGCTGGGATGTTAGGATTATTTGTGAGTGGTGAATTTACCAACAAATTTATGTTTTGTCCAACTGATATGTGTAATTGCTGCCAGGCATCAAATGTAGAGGAAATTATTGGGTTTTGAGTAATTGTTTTTAGTTTCTTTTTAGATTCCAAAAATGGAATGACTGTTAACGGAGTGTCCTGGATTTCATATTGTTCAATTGACAACCATTTTACTTCATCTGCTTTACAGTGAAACCACATCCATAGAGCGCGAAGCTGCGCAGCCAGATAATACAATCTGAAATTTGGTAGATTCAAGCCGCCTTTGGAATAAGGTGCCTGTAATGTGAGGAGTTTGACTCTGGGTAGTTTGTTGTGCCACAAGAAGGAAGTAAGTGATTTGTCCAATTCCTTGAAGAAGGATATAGGAACCTTCAGTGGTATACACTGGAATAGGTAAATAAATTTGGGTAATAGATTCATTTTTATTGTGTTAATCCTGCCAATCAATGATAAGGGGAGGTCCATCCATCTCAGTAGATCTTTTTTAGATTTAGTAAGTAAAAAGGCGTAATTTTCCTCATATATTTTGTCACAAGAGCTACAGATAGTGATTCCCAAGTATTTGAAGCCCTCCGTACACCATTTAAAAGGAACCGGAAGTAGACTTATGTCGTGGTTTGTCATGTTGATTGGGAAGGCTTCACTTTTAGAGTAATTAATTTTGTATCCCGATACAGCACTGTAATTTTTTAGATTAGTCATTAGCGAGGGAAATGATGTGACAGGTTGAGATATAAATACTACCAAGTCATCTGCATAGAGTGCGAGTTTGTGCTCTTCCGTTCCAATGTTTATGCCGGTAATAGATATGTCTGATCGCAGGGCAATAGCCAGTGGTTCTATTGCAATTGAGAAACGCGCGGGAGAGACAGGGCAGCCCTGACGACAGCCCCGAGATAAAGAGAAGGCATCCGACAGGACTCCATTTGTTAGTATCTGCGACCTAGGGGCGCCAAATAGGGTACGAATGAAACACAGAAAATTTTCACCAAAATTCATTGCCCTCATTGTCTCAAGAAGAAAGCTTGGTTCTATCCTATCAAACGCCTTCTCGGCATCCATTGAGACGATCACGGCGGGGTGGTCATGTTTTTTTGTGTGTTCTATAACATGAAGTAGTCGCCGAACGTTATCTGCACCTTGTCTGTTCTTGATGAAACCCGTTTGGTCAGCGTTAATGATTTTGGGGACTACTTTCTCCAAGCGTTGAGCGATGATTTTTGATAAAATTTTATAATCAGAGTTAAGGAGACTGAGGGGTCTATAATTGCTGCACTTTTGTGGATCCTTTCCAGGTTTTGGAAGCAGCGTAATTGTTGCCAACTCCAGTGTTTTTGGAAGTGTTTCTTTTTGGAATGACTCTCTGATCATATTTGTTAGAGGTGTTAATAATAATTTTTCTGAGAAGGTTTTGTAGTATTCAATTGGATAACCATCAGGTCCTGGGGCTTTATTATTTTGTAAGGATTTGATGGCTTGGTGAACCTCTTGTTCTAAAATCGCTTCATCTAGTAGTTTCCTATCTGCAGCTGTTAGTTTAGGTATTGGTAATTTATTAAGGAAGGTTTTAATTTCTGTTTCCGTTGCCTGCTCTGTTTTATATAATGTTTCATAAAATGTTTTGAATTCCAAGTTTATGTCCTTAGAGCCTTCTTAAATACTGGTTATCATCGGTTTTGATGCATTGTATAAATTTTTCTGCATCTTCTTGCTTTAGCTGCCAGGCAAGCAACTTACTAGTTTTGTTGCCAGACTCATAGTAATGATATTTTGTTCTTGCCATGGCTGCTTCAGCTTTGTTGGTGCAAAAATTATCATACAGAGTCCGTTTTTGTTTTAATGCACTAAAGGTTTCAGGATTCAACATGGGAATGTTGAGTTTCAAGTATTTTTATTTCACGTTCTAGTTGTGATAATTGATCTCTCTTCTGTTTGTTTTTATGGGATAAAAATGAGATAATGTGACCTCTCATATATGCCTTAAGGGTGTCCCACACAATTGAGTGAGAAGCAGTGTTTAAGTTAGTCTCCAAATATATGTCTAACTTGTCGTTCATAAATTTTATAAAATCAGGATCTTTAAGCAAGAATGTTTTAAATCTCCATCTATACGAGGTAGGTCCTTCCTGTGACATAGATACTTCCATCACTAGGGCATTGTGATCTGACAAGGTTGCAGCTAAATAACGGCATGTTTTTAATGTGAGACAATAGTGTTTGTGAGATCAAAAACATGTCAATTCTAGAGTATGTATTGTGAACATTAGAGTAAAAGGAGAATTCTTTTCTACCCGGGTTTCGCGATCTCCATACATCCTTTAACCCAAGTTCACTCATGCCTTGACACAATGCTGTTGCAGATTTTGACAGAATAGTGTTCTTGGGGGCTGAGCGATCCAATGACGGGTTCAACACAAGATTAAAATCTCCTCCCATAATACATTGACCCTCTACGGATGCAAGTTTCATGGTTAAGTTATTAAAGAAAATTGGATCATCTATATTAGGACCATATAATGATACCAGTGTCAACCTGTTCCTATTAATCATGCAGTCAACTAATATAAATCTACCTGAGGTATCCTTTTGTACAGCGTTTAATTGAAATCTGAGTTTTTTGTTTATGAGTAATGCTACACCTCTAGCACTTGATGAAAACGAGGAGTAATAGACGTTACCAATCCAGTCGCGTTTCAGTTTTGTATGCTCAATATCAGTGAGATGTGTTTCTTGGATGAATGCAATATCTGTCTCATGTTTTTTTAAATAAGTTATGATTTTTTTCCTTTTAATTGGATTATTAATTCCTTTGACATTTAGTGATATGCAGTTTAAATATCCTGTTTTAGCCATCACTCATTTTAAAACTATTAAGACAAAAATAAATAAATTTAAGAAAAAAACAAAACATTAAATTAGGATGAGCAAGTGATATCTTTGTCAACATTAGTCTAACATTTATGTAAAGAGAGAGAGGAACAGAGCTCCAAACAGCTCGAGAACAAAAAGAAAACAAAGAAAAAGGAACAAATTCAAAACATCCAAAAAAAAGAAAGGCAAAGCACTGCGCAAAAAAGAACTGGCAGTGCCAAAGCAGAGCTGTGCTCGGGGTAGACTGAGACCCACAGAGGACTGCTTCCACTATCTATGGTCTACACTTGAGCTCTATCTAAAAAATAATATAGTTCGTGTGGTCTAGAAACATAACATTATCACTTCAAAAAGAACCCTGTACTTTGAAGAACAACATATTGTATTCACGTATTATGGAGGCTAATCTTCCAACATACCATCAGCTGTTCATCAGTCAGTCACCTTCTGCAGAGAGAGAAGGCGGGGCACGCGCCAGCTCCAGAGTGCGAACATACACGTTGGCCTCACCCGGGGTTGAGAAGCGCCGGTATTTTCCATCATCAGTGTTCACCCTCAAGATGTCTGGGTATAACAGCGCGTATTCCACTTCCAACTCCCGGAGTCGAGCTTTCACAACGTCGTAAGCTTTACTCTTACGGACGACCTCCGCTGAATAATCGTTGAAGAAGAGGATCCTCTGTTGACGCGGGGTCCCGTTCTGGTGGAGTTTGCGTGCGGCTTCCATCACTCGGGCTTTATCGGAGTAGTAGTGTAATTTGACAATGAAGGGACGTGGCCTCTGTCCGCTTGATGGCATCGGACCCAGTGTGCGATGGGCTCGGTCCAGGACAATCCTATCGTCTGCGGTGTCAAGATGAAGGTACTCGGGGATCCACCTCTCAAGGTATTTCACCGCGTTTGTCCCCTCTACACGTTCTTCTATTCCCAGTATTCTGAGGTTAGATCTCCGGAAGTGATTCTCCAGCTGGTCAGTGCGCTCTTTTAGTTGTTTGATTTGTTTTTCCAATGTTACGATTTTGGTTTCGGATGCAGTTGCAGTCTGGTCTATGGCTTCCATTTGCTTGTCTGCGATATCCATTCTCGCGGCTAGGGCCTGTATCTCAGATCCTCGGGCGGCGATGGCTTCCAGCACAGAGGCCAGCTTTGTTTCAATCATTTGTGTGACATCAGCTATTTTTTATCCATCGTGTGTGTCACGGACGTCTCCATTTTCTCAATCTGTTCAGTGACACCGGATAGTTTGCTGTCTATGACCGCTGTGAGAGCATGTATGATGGCGTTAGCATCAGATGTTACTGCCGTAGGGCCAGAGCTAGTGTTAGCATCTCCGCGGCTAGCTTCTTGGATAGCGTGCAGGATTTCATCGCCTCCTTCAGTCTTCCTTCCCCTCTGTGGTTTTGGCATGTTGACAGCAGTTTTCTTGAAATAGTCATCGATGCTCATAACAGGAACTCTTTAGTCTTTTTGGACCACACGAAAGGTTAAATAAGTTGAAAAGGTCTCAGAGCTCTCGACCGTGCTGCCTATGCGGTCGCCATCTTGCCGGACTCACAATAATGCTCTTTTATAATCAAATCCTTTATGTGCATAACTTAAATCCTACTTTTAGAGTTACAAAAAGGTCTAGGTGTAATTTATCCCAGCGTTGAATCATCAAGCCGTGAAATAATAATAGAGAATCTTCTTTTGGACCACTGCTTTTAACCTGTCTGACCTCCCTGCGGTGTCTTCTTTCACAAATGTTTGGACTGGTCAAGAGTCAGTGATTTTTGTGATGTTTTGGTTTCGTGCTGTTGCTTTAAGAAAACAACTTTTAACCAAGTGACAATAAGCAACAGAACAGAGATTACGTTTTAAAAGAGCAATATACACTTAGTGATCTAATACAGTCATTGAAAACAAACTGTTAACCAAAACATTTGTTCCCAGAATCTTACTGTGTAAATATTAGCCTGTCCGTCCAGAGGAGCGGATCCCTTTCTCAACTGGGTCTCCCCAAGGTTTCTCACTTTTTCCCACTGGGTTTTTAATTAATTTTTCCTTGCCGATGCAGGAGGGTCTTGTTGGACAGTTAGTGTCCAACAAAAGGATGTGGTGATGATCAGGACATTTTAACATTCTACAACATGTATGGACATTTTTTTGTGTGTGCTTTATATTTTTCATGTGTTTTAACTGTTGATTCTCTGATCTGTGTTGGTGATTTCAATGGTGTTGTTAAGTCCTCTGAGTTGACTTCTGTTGTGACTTAGGATAAATAAATTGTATTGTATTGTATTGTATTGTATTGTACATACAGATCCTAAGCACGGATGACTGATGCAAACCAGCTGCTGGGGTTTAGCTAGACATTACTGTATACTAACTTAGTATTATGTATGACTACTTATTTTTGTATCAGCTGTTATTTAAGTGGTTACATATAATTTATTTAATTTGGTTGCTGCTATTTTTGCTTGTGAAAAATCTCACCTACATTATTTCTCAGTGGCTTTGGTGCATTTCTCACATCACTCACATTTGCACAACCGTTAGTGCATTTCTCAGAACAATTAGTGCAAACTGCAAAACCGCGTGGATAACCGGCACTTCCTCAAAAGCGAGTCTTCGTGTCAATGAAACTTTATGTGTCTCAGAATAATAAGTCCTGACAGCAGTGTTTATGAACAATACAGTCAAATGGTTATCAGTCATGTTTTCATTGTGACACTTTACTCTCTGTGTGTTTTCAATGGAAAAAAAGTCAGATCTTAGTGTGACTTTGTGAGCACTACACCTTGGGCCGTATTCCTAAAGATTCTGAGAGTCCTCTCAGAGAGCTCTTATCTTAACCTAAAAACTCCTAGCTAGGAGTCTTAGCTTAAAAGTTATTCCAGAACACTCTTAGAGAACTCTGAGCAAGGAATTGACAACAACTTTTATCTTAGTGAGGAGGCGTGGCCGACCCCGTTGCTAGGTATGAGTCATCATTTCAGACGCTGTGATTGGTTGATCCTAAAAGTTAGAACAAACATATTTTTGATGATAATAGGCAAAATAAGGGCCCTAAAATGGACAAACTCAATCATGGAATCTAATCTTAGGAACACTGTGTTATTGTAAATAATAACCAAAAGCTATAAAGTCAGATATATCAATGGTACATAAACTGTGAATAGTAAAGTTAGACTTATACACCATCATCAGAGCTTGCTCAGCACCAATTTATCACACATAATACGTATATATCATGAGCACTTATAATTTTATATATATATATATATATATATATATATACATATAATTTAAATATTACTCTATATATAATATACATGATAAAGAAAATTATTATTATAAATATTATATGGATAAATGATGATAATGATAACGTTAGGATTAGTAAAGGCTGTGATATGTATAGACTTATAAGGAATTAAGGAAACAATATTAATATAAACATATTATACATACACTGTACAAATCAAGTACAAGGGAGCTTAAAAGTCTTATCCTCTCCCACTCCTTTTTGAGCTGGATTGTTGTTAATAAAACAAAACTGTATATTTGTACTTCTATTCTGTTGTTGTTTTGTTTGTTTTGTCCTTTTTTTTCTTGTTTGCCATGGCTCAAAATAAAGTATTCATTCATTCGTACTGAATGTGTGACAATTTAGGACCACTTTTTCCTCTCTTTCAACTTTTACCATTTCTACTTACTTTTGTGTAACAAAGGTAAAATGGATGAGGTGTTATTGCTGACCAGCCAATGAGAAGCTGGTCACATGATTGACTTTTAAATATACCACAAACATGATTCCTGCTTGAATCTGTAGCGTTTCACTGATTCACTGTCATCCGGTGTATAGAATATTTCTCCTGTCTCCACCGTCCACCATTTTGTGCTCTTAGGGAACTTTTAAGTCGCTAAAAGTCCTCCTCTCAACTCTTAAGGGATCTCCCCTTAAGAGCACTCTTAAGAGCTAGGATTTTTTAGGAATAGCTTTTATCTTAACTAGGAGCTACTCCTCACTTTTAGGGGAAATTCTAAGAGTTGGTCAAGATTCTAAGAAAATTCTTAGAATTTGGCCACTAGGAGCAACTTTTAGCACTAAGAATCTTTAGGAATACGGCCCCTGATCTGTACAGCTGAAAACTACAGTAAAGTTACACATGACTGTATTTAGTGATTTAACTGAGTAAAGACACATATGTATGTGTGTGTGTGCATGTTTGTTTGTATATATGTGTATGATTGTATGTATGTATGTTTGAATGTACAGTATGTGTATGTTTGTGTGTATGTTTGCATGTATGTTTCTTTGTATGTATGTATGTTTGTGTGTATATGTGTGTATGTATATTCACATATTTACTGCGTATTCTTTTTGCAATTCTACAGCATTGTGCATAAAAACCAAAAACTGTCACTTACAGTATTTAGAACAAACATAAGACATTATGGCAGAACTGTGCACACATGTAAACAATGTAACAGTAGATAAAACTGTAAACTAAACATACTGGACAGCCACACCTTCCTGTCTGTCTGGCCACAGATTTTCATCTACATCACAGCTTCTTCCTTTGATGGCAACACATTTTGAGATCTAGTTCAACAATTTTGTACTGTATGTGATGACTCAAGGAAAGACTTCATCAGTTATAAGTATGTTTAATTTTGACTGACATAACAGAAGGAAATGATAATGTTATAAAAACAGCAGATAATTGTATGAAAGTAACTGATACATGTCCAAAAGCATTTGACATTTGACGTTCAAAGGAATGACAAACTTCTACGATGATGTGCACAAATGACCCAATGTTGTTGAGGTAGAACTAATAGTTCAGAGAACTTTGATCTGATCTGAGAAATGCACCAAAGTGACAGAGAAAAACTGAAACAATCTCATTCATTCATTCAGCCACAAACATAAGTAATAAGAACCTCATGTCCATTGAGAAAACTCCACTTTAAACTGTTGTTAAGTACTTGTTGACCTATTATCTGTAAACATTTGTAGATGAATATTACATACTGTTCTTTTAAGATTAAGAGATCCTTTATTCGTCCTGCATTGGGGAACATTCTCGTGCCATGTGCTCCTCATTCCAACTGGTGACACAGTTAGTTACAGAGAAGTAGGAATGAGGAGCACACAGCACACGATATGTAAACTATAACTCTATACTCTAATACAAAACAATGTATAATCTAGTGCAATAGCTGTATGTATAAATCTGTACATGTTAGCAGCATGAGCACATGTTTTGAGTTATTGAGTAATTTCAGAACAAGTAAACCACAAATTCCACCGACATAATACAATACATTCGTACCAGCACGATTTGAAAAGGGGTTGCATGAAGCTGACGACCTACAAATAACAGACAAGGAAGAAATTAAAGCAAAATTATACATATTATTTTATCCTGAAAAGTGATGTTGTGACTGCTTACATTCACAGCCATTTTCTTCTTCTCTACTTTTCTCTAAGCTGTAAAGGCTGGCAGGGAGCTGAACGACATGTCAAAGATTGATAAAGCTGGGAATGCACCCCTGTACAGACATTCTGGAACACCGTAACCCACAAACTCACAGACATCCTGGGCTGCAGTGCCACCCAACCCCCCCACTCCCCACGCTCTGTATACTCAGTCTGACCACAACACTTCAAGTCCCACCAAAACACAAGAACAGCCTACTGACATCTCTGACTATCGCCAAGAAAACAATCCTACAAAACTGGCTATCTAAAAACTCCATAAATATCAACCACTATACTCTAGTGGTTGATATTTATGGACAATATTATTTCATGTTCACTCTCTACTGCTCATCATGATGGAGACATACAGACCCTCACGGAAACCTGGAAACCCTTCATAAACTACTTTGATATTACTAAAACATTTACAATAGCTTAATGACAACGATAAACCAACACAAGCCACTCTCTGTCTGCTGCTGCCCTCTACCACCAAATACATCCTGATTAACTCCAAACAACTGCAGCACACACACACACATACACACAAACATGAACTCACACAAACATGACCTCATACAAACATGAACTCACACAAACATGAACTCACACAAACATGAACTCACACAAACATGAACTCACACAAACATGACCTCACACAAACATGACCTCACACAAACATGAACTCACACAAACATAAACATGCACATACACGTAAAAACATAAACTTACACATAAACTAACAAAATGACTGAGATGTTGTATCACAGAATCATTTTACTGCCCATGCCCACAACAAAATTGCTTTTTCTATCTTCTTTTTATTTATTTTTATTTCGACATCTGGTCTGTTGACTGCCGATACTAGCACTACGAATATTTAATTGGGGTATACATATCACAATCCCAATAACATAATAACAATAACAAAAATAACAATAATAATAGTTGGGAGAAACAAAAAAACACACAAACATATATACATATACACACAAACTCCTCATGAACACAGATTAGGGTCACCAGCGGGGATGATTGCCAGAGGGAACTCTTTTGTGCCACCCCGCTTGATTTTTAATGCATCAGTCAGGACCATAGACTGTATATATTAACGGACGTAGTCACGCCCATCTCCGCTGTTCTAACTAATGGGCCAAAAATTGGGCTTTCATGGTCCAAAAAAATTCACCCCCCTCAGCATTGACACACATGTGGAACGGAGCTTTGGGCCAAGAGCCAACTTTTGGACCATCCTGTAAAGTTGTTTTCGAGAGGTACGAAGATGCTATATGTTAGCATTGGCTAATTCTTATTCCGGGTCCACCCCCATTGGCCGGGGTGGTATTGCAAGCATGTCAGCGCACGTCATTTTGGCCACTTTTGAGCCGGGACCCGCCCCCACTGGTCAGGACACTGCATCTTAGCACTTCAACACCACACCCTTCATAATATGTATATCACATCCCTCCCAGAACTGTTCAGAACCTTTTTGAGTGGTGGTATTGGTGGCAGGACCAGTCTATAAATGTACACTACATCTCTGCTTTACCTCATTTTATTTTTATTTAACCATATCTCTCTGTCTCACACACGCACACACGCACACAACACACACACACACACACACACATGCACCATTCTTGTGCAACTCTGAATCCCCTCCCCTCCTCCCCTCAATGCTACCATACAGTTTGTATAATCTATATTTCTTTGTATGTAATTACTGTACATGTACTCCCCTATCACTGGGTGTTAAAAACTCAATAAATAAAAGAAAAGAAAAGATTGATAAAGCCAGGACAGAAGACTGGGCCGTTCACTTTTTTTTCTTTTCCTTTAAATAGTCTCCTCTGTACCTTCTTGTTGTTTTTATGACATCCATAAATTTCCGCTTTGATCCTCCTCTGTGCCCCCTGCCGCGCTGCTTCACCATCAAAACCACTTTTTTAAAACACTATTCTGTCACAATAGTACTCTTTTATAATCAAATCCTTTATTACAAAACACTGTATAATCTAGTGCAATAGCTGTATGTATAAATCTGTACATGTTAGCAGCATGAGCACATGTTTTGAGTTATGTCTTATAGCAGCTGTCCAGAGACATCAATCAATCTTTTAATTTCAGAAGATACCACAAATTCCACCGACATAATACAATACATTCATAAAAGCATGATTTGAAAAGGGGTTGCATGAAGCTGACGACCTACAAATAACAGACAATGAAGAAATTAAAGCAAAAATATACATACAATTTTTTCCTGAAAAGTAGATTTAATGCATTAATAGTCTTCTACGGCCTGAGTGGTGTCTCACTTTTTTACCTATGGGTTTTTAGAGTTGTTCCTGGCCGATGCAAGGGGTTATAAGGACAGTGGTGATGGTGGCTGAGTGGATAGCACTCTCGCTTCTCAGCAACAAGGTCCTGAGTTTGAATCCTGGTCAGAACAGAGTTTTTCTGAGTGGAGTTTGCATGCGTGCCTGTATAGATTTCCTCCAGATGCTCCGGTTTCCCCTACCACTAAAAACATGCACCTAGGTTAAATCCTCCAGCTCCGGTAGTCCTGACCAAGCCGAGCAGAAACATCTGGACATAGGTTATCGGGCGCTGCACTACGGCGACCACTGCTCCTCACGTAAGCCTTAGCGGCATCAGGATGGGTCAAATGCAGAGGATTGAATTGCGGGCATTCATAAAGTGCACCTTTAACTTTTACTCCACATTCAACATTTATAGACATTGGTCATCTGCCCCATATGGACCAATGGCTCTATATGTTTTTTCGCACTGCATTTCTTGTGTTTGAACTGTTTGATTCTCTGATCTGTCTTGGCGAATCGACAGCTTTGTAAAGTCCTTTGAATGTTATGAAATTGAGTGCGTTACAATGGGCCATATTTATGAAAGCTTCGTACAGCAAAATATGTGCATGAACTGCGAAAGTGAAGCCTCATTTGCAATTTATCAATTCCACGGCAGGTCTGCAGATGTCGTACTCTGATATCAAACACTTTTAATACTTTTAATCACATAAAACTTGTTGGCCCGTATCTGGTCCTGACACACGTTTACAAATAGCACATTTTATTCGATTAGATATTGTGTTTTTATCAAGATAGATATTGATTATTTCATTTGGCATTACACCACTGTTATCTCTATGTTCTTAAATGTTATCTGTTTTTTGATACCAGGATTTTGAAGCTCAATTTAGGCATTTTTTAAAATGTTTTCTTTGTTAAGTTTTCATTTGCAACAGCAGTCGCACAGAATGTTTTTATTCACCTGGCTTGACACACAGAGACTGGTCTTGTCATGGGACTAAAACCTGATACCCCAGATATGATCTAAAAAAAAATTCTTTACAATGATCTACAATTTTTATAAATCATTAAAAAACGCTGTATTTTTTATGGGACCTCCAAGTTTTATTACAATTATGAAATGAATAGAAATACTGCTCAGAGAATCTCACTTTTGGTTTTGTTTTTTCTCTGTGATTTGTTTCAGTACTGATATGAAATGTGTATCTAGTTTTGATACTAGTTGATTAATGTCTGATGATTGATACTTTTGATAAGCCTAGACTTGATATGACCTACAGACTTGATTTCAAAAGTATCGCAGGCCATTGGATAATTGAGATTGCATAACTCCAGACAGATACTGGCTCCTCTCTGGATGGCCACAGTTTTAACAATGCTGCTACTGTCAAGCAAAACATATAAACCCTGCTTGTTTTGAATTTTTTTTATAATTTTTAATCTAATTTAGATTAAAACATATATACAGGGTCAATTTAAGATTGACCCTGTGTCAATCTGCGTTAATCAAAAACAGTGAAATACTTCTACACAATCTTTGTCATTAGGATAACTATGGTCTCATTATTTCATAATAGTATTGTATCAATAATCAGACTAATTTCATAACAATACTGAAAGAAATCACAGAAAAAAAAAAAAATGAGATTCTAGGAGCAGTATTTCTATTCATTTCAGAACTGTAGTAAACCTTGGAGGGAGCATAAATAGACTGTATTTTCCTTCAGGGCAAATCTTAATCTTAATAGAATCGAGAATATTGCACAATGTTGGTCGGAAGAAAAGACTTCCAGAATCCAGACATAATAATTTGTTTGTGAATCTAGTCAAGATCAAACAATGATTAAGAAAAACCTTTTGGACTTTTTCTTTTTCAGCCTTTTGTCTTTCCAAATTGGCTCCTTTCCCACAGACTTCTATTGACACCTGCCCTCCTGAAGAATTCTACAAGCTGAAATATTGTCCCTGTTTACTCACTAACGACAACAGCTGAAGGACGAGTTCTGAACATCCCGTGTGTTCTTTCTTTCTTCTTTTATAGCGACACCTCGACGACACACGGACCTCCTCATCCTCTCCAAGTGCCATGTTATGGATATTTAACCAGAATCCTCCCAGAGACATCAGTATGAAGGCGCTGGTCCTGCTCCTCATCAGCTCCGCGCTCATCTCTGGGAGTCTGGGGAAGCCGGTGTTTCCAGGTAAGAAAACGCACTCACTTTTTAAAGGTTTAAATCTGTTCATCCATTCAATTTATTTTTGCTTTGCCCCCAAAATTACATTAGCATTCGTTTCTGAGAACTTTGTAATGTTTTAGAGTCCTCACCAATGGGAATCAGAGAATCAAACAGGTCTAAGGTTATATCTCGGTAACACTAAAAGTATCAAGTATCGGTATGAATAATCAGAACAAAAATGCCGTGAGGATTTTCTGATATATTTGAACTTTTTAGAATAACTTGTTGCAACACAAAAGGTATTTAAATTTTGAGATTTAATTTACGGTTAAGGTTAGCTGTGCCTACATCTGAATGACTTTCTCTTTTTCATGCACTGTGGCTATTTATGATTTTATACCATGAGTGATTTTAACAATTTAAGGGTTTTTAATTACTTTATTTTTTAGGTTTTTAATTTTTCTTTTGATCTTGTTATGTTTTTAATGCCCTGTGGGATTTTTTATTGTATCTTTTTAGGTTTATGTAGATTTTAATGTTTATGAATAATGCCTGGGTTGTGAGGCACTTTGTGATGCCTTGTGTAGAAAGGGCAATCCACAAATTAAATTTGATTGATTGATTGATTACAAATTATTCTACAAAAAGAGCACTATCTATAATCGCTGTATCAGTATCGAGCATTAAGTATGTTTTCTAGGTCAAAAATGCATGTGAAGACTAGTGATAGAAAAAACTATTTTGAAAGTGAGAAGCTGGAGTGGATATTAGATAGATTTCATTAAGATTAAGAGATGAAGAAGAGAAGCACACAGAACAAGATAAATTAACAAGAACACTAAAATAAAAACAAAAAAAAATCTCTAACTTATGCAGTATAAAGAAACAAGTAAAACATCTCTAGCTTTGGAATAATAAGGAAGCTAATCTATAATTGCCAACTTTAGCAGAATGAAGAATTGAGGATAAAACACGTACTATTTTGTGGCATGAACTTCAGGTACCCCAGCTTTAAGCACAACATATGAACGGACCACAAAACGTCTCAAAGTTGCCCCCTGTCTTGTCATAACCAACTTGTTGCAAATCTTTTAATTCTCTATTAGTTTTTCATGATTAAGAGCCTGAAAGTCAATCAGCTTTTTCTAACCAAGAGGATTTACCTCATGGTCCACTTAGTGCGGCTGCTGAGCACAGGGTAAAACAGCAAACTATATAAGCCTTCACTGGCAGCAATAACAGGCTTGGCCCACAACACTGCAGATACCATATGTTTCAGTACATTCAACACCCATTATAGAGCTATTACAAGCTACTGTTAAAACCAGCCTGGCATGCTCGTTTGGAAAGATAGCCTTCACACCCAGTCCATTTAACCACATGGTATGCAGCGCAACATCACGCCAAACTACACACAACATTCAATAGAGAGACTGTTCAAACATATATGCTTTGGTTCCCATGGATTCATTTAAGTATAGCAGTAGGTTGATGCCTAATTGTGATTTTGTGTGTGTTATTCTGATGTGCAGAGCGAGAAAAGGATCCAAAGTTTTGGAATGCGTGGGCTCAAAAGACTTTGAAGAACGCTCTGACACTGCAAGACCTGAACAAAAATCAAGCAAAGAATTTGATCTTGTTCCTCGGAGATGGTGAGCTCGCTGCCTTTTTGAACCGGCCAAGATGCATTCTGAATGGTTAAGTGCAAAGCTGCTTTCCAGTATTGTTAGAAAGTAAAAGCATTTAGAAAACTTTTGTCGAATGAAGTTGCTGCTTCTTTCAACAAAAGTGATGACATTTAGGAGATTAAACTTCAATTTAAGATTAATCATTTCTTAAAAGTAAATCTTTGTTTACTTTTTAATATTTACGTTTTTACGTAATTATTTGTCTCCTAGTTGGGGAAATGTCCATGTCATCGTTGCGCACACATTACAGGACAGTAGAAGTAAGAGCACACAAACAAGAGATCTATATCTATTATTCAAAGGGACGACATGTAATATTTTCATTTAAAATAATATCTACATCTTTTATATGTCCCCAGGTTAACATCTGCAAATCCTTTTTGACCTTGGTTTCTGAACAGTTCAAAGTGGAGTAATTCTTGTATAAAATTACAATAGACATAATGTCCACAAATCAGTTTATGATTTTCAAGTAGATTATTGAATCATAGAGCAGAATGAGGCTTTCAGTTTTTAGTTTTTATTTCAATTTTACAAATTTCATAAACATTTATAAAGCTTTGCACATTTTTAAAACTAAACCGGGTATACAAATTAGTTTTCTTATGTGATACAGAGAGTTTGTATTGTTTCATGCTAAACTCCAGCAGGTGGATTCCTTCAGTAATCAGTGCACAGGAGCTGTATGTAGGAGGCAGGAAGATTCTGGCAACAATAGCGTGATTGTAAAGACGAGACCACAAGTTGTGCATATTACATACATCGCCTTTAAACGTAACTTTAGTTTTGCATTTGATTTGTTTTCACAGATTTAATTGTTTGGAGAAGCATGTAAACCTGTGTGTGCCGTTTGAGTTATATGTAGTAGCCGTTATTTCTTCATTTAGATTTTCAGTAGAAAGTGTGTAGTCCCTTTTAAGACTGGGCTTAAACCTAAAATAGCATTCATTTGATCTGGTTTTGACATGATGCCACACAGGAGGAGAAATATATTCTTGGTGGTGCTTGATGTATGCCATGTCCAAACGTAGCCGGGTATTTTTAAAACCGAATATTTCCCCCCCTCCGTTTATGAAATAATTTGCATCCACACATAAGCGAACATCTGCGTTTTCAATCACATTCTTAACATTCCAAACATGTGCGTTCTGACGTCCTCTCCTGCGTTGGGGAAAAACCCAGAAGTGGGCGGAGCTTTGATGCTGACGCCAGTATCCTTCTGCAACGGAACTTTTACAGTCATAGAAGAAACTCAGGTTAAAGACATATGTTTACAAGCACAGACCCCCGTCCTCGGCCCTGGTTTAATCCTGGTTTAGCTCCTGTTTTGGTTGTTTTCGAGCGTCCCCGTTATCACTTTGCTGCTCTCTGATGTGGAGCGAGGATGTTTGCTGCTGCGAGCGGTTCACAGCAGCAGACAGTTTGAGTAAGATCCATGCTTCCTCAGTGATCAGAGGTCGCACGTTTTGTTTGTTGTTGTTTTGGGGGCATACTGTGACGTGAGAAAACGCAAAACTCCAGTTATCTCTGTCTACACGCAAATGCATAAAAGGAGTTTTCGAAAATCTCCCCTTTGGCTGGAGTTTTATATAGTTTTATATATTCGTTTAGGATGCGTTGTCATGTGGCTGACAGGTGCAAACGAAGAAAAAGATATGCGGTTTAGCAGATACCCGGCTACGTGTGGATGGGGCCGTAAAAAGTACCTCTCCATTGTCTCACTAACATGTGTAAAATTTCTGGAGATTGGTTAAAAAGATAAATGTTTGAATATGTGCACATCCAACTGCCCAACACAAACATGAACTTGGCACTCATGTTTGTGTTGGGCAGTTCACTGGTCACATAATAACTCTGCTCCTCCATTGCACCTCTGCTCTGTTTAGATTAGACACCAGAGAACTACCATACTGTAGTCAGGCTTCTCCAAAGTTCATATGGCCTGAAAGTAACTGGAAACATTCGAACAGTTTCTGAACAAAATATAAGGATAAGCTTTTATCTTTACAGTGTGGGAAAGGGCTTAATACACAGTGCAAAAAAAACATTAGAAGTATAGCCTTGCATTTTGACTACAACACTATACCTGAGGCTCAATGGTTAAAAGACTTTTTCTGTTTTTCAAATGCTGTGCAGCTATGTGTATGATAAAAAGTTGCTCACAAAACCCATCATCAGTACAACTGATGATGGGTTCGGAAAACTTCGGAAAACCTGCTAAGAAGTACAGAGGATGGATGAGCAACCTTTCTTTGTTTTGAATAATCCTTGTACAACTAAGATCTTGCACAAACTTATTTCTAAGATAGAGAAGCAAGAGTGCAGGGTTAAGGCTAGGATAACACATAAAAAAAGTTTCTCCTTTTGAATGGTTGTTATGAAGCTTGTAAGTAAAACATGTATTTACAGAAAAGTAGGGTCATGAGTTATTTATAAAAGTGTTGCTGTAAGTATAGGTACATGCATTCGATTGTTATATTGTTATTGTGGTTTTCTGGTGCAATCATAACAGATGACCTGTTTTTGGTGGCCAGGCATGGGTGTTCCAACTGTGACAGCGGCTCGGATTCTGAAAGGACAGCTCAGTGGACAAAGCGGAGAGGAGACTCTGCTGGAAATGGACAAATTCCCCTTTTTATCCTTGGCTAAGGTTTGCCCTGGTTATATATTCACATTGTGACAGTGCATGGGAAAGGTTGTACCTGCATTCTTCATTGACCCTGTTTTATCTTTCACATACTCATTTATAAAGTAGCATTCTGCATTCATGAGTTAAGCAATGCAAAAAGACCTTGGTCTTTTTGCACAGACCTCGCCACGGCTCGGTCTGTACAAAAAGGCCGCAATCTGATATTTCTGTACAGACCGAGCAAGCGAGGTTTAATAAGCCGTTAGTATTCATCAAAAACAAGGCAGAGGTTTCATTCCTAATGAAGCGTTTGTATTTGCTGCTCCTTCTACATGGAACGTTTTGCAAAAAGACTGGAAATGATCTGACTGTATTTCACTGAATGCTTTCAGATCCAGATTGAGAGCACTTGAGACATCTTCAGTGAAATGTAACTGTTTTCATAATCCGTAATTTTATGAAATTGCATGTGACTGTTTTATAATCTGTATGTAACTATTTTCTCTATCTATTTTCTATCTGTAATTGTATGTTAATTTTGTACAGGACTCCCTTGAAAAAGAGGTTCTCCTTGACTGCCAGCCATTTTTGATGACTTCACTGATTTTTATGACTCACAGAATATTGTGTGCTATGACTATGAAAAATATGAAACCAGAGTCTGAAAGACAGGACTGTCTACTTTCAGCAGCAAAAAGAAGTTTGTTTTTAGCTTGTTTCGTTCTCCTGTGAGCTCTAGTCGAAAAGAGGGGAGTGTGACAAAAAGCAACAGTCTTAGACAAAAAGCTGAGAAAATGAGGTGTTTGTGAAAACAGACAAACCTGCAGAAAAGGGACTGAAACACTATTTAGTTTAACTTTAGCATCTCCTCAAACATGTCCAGGATCTTACATGTTAGAAAACAGCAACAACAAGTTATGAGAAAGTGTTTTTGATGCAAAATAATAGTATTGCTCGAATATTTCAAAATGTAGGTCAAAATTTACATTTACATACAAACTATGCCAGAGAGTATGGCCAGTATTTATCCATTAGGTGGCGCTATATTTGTGCCAATAAGAGTAAATCAGAGATAAGCAAAATTGCAATGATAAACACTATAAATGACAATAAATCAAAGTGAACAGACAGTATACTTATACTATAAGTGCAATAGAATACTGTTGTGTGTCTTTGTGTGTTTGGGCGCCTATGTGTGTTCCACATGGTCTGCTGCTCTGACCCTCCACATGGTCTGTGTCAGCTCTGGAGCCACACTTACTGCTCAAACTGCCTCCAGATGTAGCCTGACCCTGATTATATTACTCCATGCCTGCTTCACCTCTGTCTCTCCTGCTCAGAGTGCTCAGGCAGTGATCTTTGACCAAGACACCCATCAAGCTCTGCTGCCACCTGCTGGCTTAATAGAATACTGTCTACAGCCAACCCCCAGACATAAACACAGACACAGACGGACAGGAAAAGATTGAAAAACAATGTTGAAGTCAATTGATGTCAATGACAATGAGTTAATCTCAGTGGTACTTTCCTGGTTACATTTAAAAAATAAAAATAAAAAAAACAATATTTTTTTTTGGATTCTTTGGCGTACCCCCACTTTGAGAACCACTGGTTTAGAGCAAATGTGTCTGTATTTTCAGGACCAATCCAAAGGAATTCTCTTAAAGGTGTCTAGAAAACAAATCAAAAACATAATGCATTAGGTTGGCCAGTTTAGACTAGGCATGGGAATAAAACACCTGAAATACACGAATAATGATCTGCAAAAACATTTAGACATTTATCTTTCAAGTGTTTATTTGCCATTGAGTGGTATTGGTTGCTGTACTCAAACTAAAATAGAATTACTCAGGACTGACGTAATATTGTTAATGTTAATAATTACATTTCCAATTCAATTACAATGTTTCGTGCAGACCCAATGCAGTACGTGCAAAAATGCTGCAGAGACGACTCACTTGTGGTTGCGTGCGTAGCTTAAAGCAATTACATCACCGCAAGCTTCCTGTGGTTCATGTCGTCCTCTGACTGATCATGACAAATCTTTAGTCATGAATTGTATGTATTTGCTGATAAAATATAATAACATAAAATACATAGGACAAAAATTGTTAGTAGTAAACACATGGTTCTCCTATAATTATACCTTCCAAACAGTTGGACTCCCAGAATTCATAAACCTCTAGAAGTCTTTGAGCAGACGACTCTCCCAGAGTATATACTATTTATTATATATATTTTTTATCTTTAATACTTCTAAAACTGGTTAGTACGAACTGAGGAACCGATGTGCAACAATACTTAATGCTAACGGATAAACAGTGTGTTGCTATGGTAACTAGCTGACATTGTTATGGACCAGTCTGGGACCAGTCTAGAGTCGAGATCATTTCATAAACATAATGACATGGGAAAAAACCTAAATATAGATACAGAAAAAGTCACAAAGTTATGAAGACCAAAAAAGTGCAAATGTAATACTCTTCCATAATGAAAAGCCGTCAAATTGACTGCTCTGGGAGTTTGAGTGTTACCCGAGCCTCTGCATTCATTGTATACGTTTTCTTAATTCAGAACTTTCTTGGGGTTTATAACATTGTTTCCTCACAAAAAAACTGGACCTGGAGGTGTTTTTAGATCCTTCCACGCAATAATTAGGAACTTCTGGGACAAACATGTAACCCCGCCCCTTCTGTCGTCTGTCTCCTGTCTCAAACCTGTAATGATATGATGTATTTTCCTCCTCTTACATAATGTTTTTTCAGGTGATATTATGTTCTGTTCAAATTACATGCTTGTTTGCAAATAAGAAAGAAGAAAACAACTCTTGCACACTGTACTTGGGAACACCAGTTCACCAGTTTTTTTTATGTACGTTTTGGGTGGGCCCCTGTCAAGAAAAAAATATATATATAATATACTCCTCCCTCTGTTGGTAGCATATAGGAAGTTACATGCTCATAGTCATTTTTATCCTTGATGCATCTCTCGCCATACACTGTATATTTTAAATGGTCAGACATGATTCTTCTTTAAGGTGTATGAGGTTAAATGCATTTAATAAACAATAATTTAAAGAGATCCTTTATTTGCATCAGTGGTGTTGCATCACGAGTCGCAGAACAGTAGGAAGGAGGAGCACACAGCAAAAGATAATTGATAAGTGAAAAATACATGAATACAATTAAATCTCAAACTTTAACATAATAAAGAAGTTAGAAATATGTGTTGGTTTGTATGTTTCCAGAGAAATGACCTTATGGATATGTTTTGCAGACGTACAACACCAATTCGCAGGTGCCTGACAGCGCGGGGACGGCCACAGCGTATCTGTGCGGAGTCAAAGCGAACGAGGGGACTGTCGGAGTGAGTGCAGCTGCCGTCCGCTCTGACTGTAATACAACTGAAGGCAACCAGGTCACATCCATCCTAAAATGGGCCAAGGATGCAGGTACAAACATCATGATACATGTATCACTGAAAACATGTACATTATGTAAAAATCCTCCAGCTCTGGTCAGCCTGAACAAACCAAGCGTCCAAATCCTAAGATGGCTTCTTGGGATCTGTACTACGGTGACCTGGGCCCAAGTGCAGGGTCGACATTGGGATATCCTCCTACTGTGAAATTTCACATGGTCTTTTTCATTTTGAATGCATGTATAATATGCTGTGCTACCATGACATGATATTATCAGAATCAGAATCAGAATCATTTTTATTGCCACGTAAGTAACAGGAGGTCACAGACTAGGAAATTGCTTTGGCTCAGTGCAACAGTCAAAAAGAGATAATAAAAATAAGAATAAAAAACACTTCTAAAGAATAAATTTACATTTAAAATAGAGTTACAGTTACTATTTACAATATACAAGTGCACATGGTGCACACAATGTAAGGTGAACAGCAGTACAGTGAAGTAAAGTGACGTATGATGGGCAGTAAAGTGACTTTATAAAGGGCGGGGGGACAGGTTAAGAAGTGTTCAAGAGTCCAACAGCAGAGGGGAAGAAACTGTTCTTGTGGCGGGAGGTTCTAGTCCTGATGGACCGCAGCCTCCTGCCTGAGGGGAGTGGTTGGAATAGTCCATGTGCAGGGTGAGAGGGGTCGGCTGTGATACGACCAGCCCGGCCTCGAGCTCGGGCGACGTACAGGTCCTGCAGCGATGGAAGGCTGCGGCCGATCACTTCCTCTGCAGAGCGCACAATGCGCTGTAGTCTCTGTTTGTCCCTGACTGTGGCTCCAGCGAACCACACGGTGACGGAGGAGGTGAGGATGGACTCGATGATGGCCGTGTAGAACTGCACCAACATCTGTGCAGGCAGCTTGGCTTTCCTGAGCTGCCGCAGGAAGTACATCCTCTGCTGGGCCTTCTTGATGAGGGAGCTGATGGTTGGCTCCCACTTGAGGTCCTGGGTGATGGTGGTGCCCAGGAAACGGAAGGACTCCACAGAGGTGATGGGGGAGTCCATCACGGAGGGTGGGGGTGGGGGGACAGTGCTCTTCCTGAAGTCCACAATCATCTCCACTGTCTTCTGGGCGTTCAGCTCCAGGTTGTTACCACTGCACCAGGACACCAGCCGGTCCACCTCCCTCCTGTAGGCGGACTCATCGTTGTTGGAGATGAGTCCAATGAGGGTGGTGTCGTCCGCGAACTTGATCAGCTTCACGGAGTCGTGGCTGGAGGTGCAGTGGTTGGTGTACAGGGAGAAGAGCAGGGGAGAAAGAACACAGCCCTGTGGGGCTCCTGTATTTATAATCCGAGAGTCCGAGGCATTCTTCCCCAGACGCACTCGCTGCTTCCTGTCCGTCAGGAAGTCAGTGATCCACCTGCAGGTGGAATCGGGCACGTTGAGCTGGGAGAGCTTGTCCTGGAGCAGGGATGGCAGGATTGTGTTGAAGGCAGAGCTGAAGTCCACGAACAGGACCCTGGCGTAGGTCCCCGGGGAGTCCAGGTGCTGTAGGATGTGGTGGAGGGCCAGGTTAATGGCGTCGTCTACAGATCTGTTGGCTCTGTAGGCGAACTGCAGGGGGTCCAGGAGGGGGGAGGTGAGGGGAGGTGAGGGACTTGAGATGGGAGAGAACCAGGCGTTCAAATGACTTCATGACGACAGACGTAAGTGCTACAGGTCTGTAGTCATTGAGTCCTGTGATCCTGGGCTTCTTCGGGACGGGGACAATGATGGAGGATTTGAAGCAGGCCGGGACATGGCAGGACTGCAGAGAGGAGTTGAAAATGTCCGTGAACACAGGAGTAAGCTCACTGGCGCAGTGTCTCAGAGTGGCCGGAGACACGTGGTCCGGGCCAGGAGCTTTGCGGGGGGGCAGCCTGATTCATTTTAATAAATAACAGAGAGTCTCTCCAACTTTGCACTGTCAGTGTGAAATCGGAGAGACGTTTCTCCTCCAAATCTTCAAGGAGAGGCACTGTTTTAATTATATTTGATATGAAACATAGTTAATTTAGATGATACTACAGTATCATTTGGTCAAAATTATGTATTATTGAAGTTTGAAGGTGCTGACATTATCTTTAAGGTATACTTTATTGTCTCTGCTTGGTTCAGTTCAATCATGCAAGCCATTTTGTACAGGAAAGTGAAGTAAAAAAACCAAATACCTTCATAATAAATACCCTCATGAAAAGAAAGTTATAAAGCAACTTTCACTTTGAAAATTATGGAAACCTTGAGTTTGACCCCAGGGGTATTTGGACATACAGTGCCTTGCAAAAGTATTCGGCCCCCTTGAACCTTTCAACATTTCGCCATATTTCAGTCTTCAAACATAAAGATATAACATTTTTTTTGTGTGTCATGAATCAACAACAAGTGGGACACAATCGTGAAGTGGAACGAAATTTGTTGGATAATTTAAACTTTTTTAACAAATAAAAAACTGAAAAGTGGGGCATGCAATATTATTCGGCCCCTTTACTTTCAGTGCAGAAAACTCAGTCCAGAAGTTCAGTGAGGATCTTTGAATGATCCAATGTTGTCCTAAATGACTGATGATGATAAATAGAATGCACCTGTGTGTAATCAAGTCTCCGTATAAATGCACCTGCTCTTTGATAGTCTCAGGGTTCTGTTTAAAGCGCAGAGAGAACCATGAAGACAAAGGAACACACCAGGCAGGTCCGAGATACTGCTGTGGAGAAGTTTAAAGCCGGATTTGGATACAAAAAGATTTCCCAAGCTTTAAACATCTCAAGGAGCACTGTGCAAGCAATTATATTGAAATGGAAGGAGTATCAGACCACTGCAAATCTACCAAGACCCGGCCGTCCCTCCAAACTTTCATCTCAAACAAGGAGAAGACTGATCAGAGATGCAGCCAAGAGGCCCATGATCACTCTGGATGAACTGCAGATAACTACAGCTGAGGTGGGGATAGTGTGTTCAGGGTGATGAGCTGTGTTGCTTTTACGCCAAACATATCGTTTGTGGCAAACTTTAAGAGACTTTTATTGGATATCTTTGAGAAATGGCCACTCTTCCATAAAGGCCAGATTTGTGCAGTGCACGACTGATTGTTGTCCTATGGACAGACTCTCCCACCTCAGCTGTAGTTATCTGCAGTTCATCCAGAGCGATCATGGGCCTCTTGGCTGCATCTCTGATCAGTCTTCTCCTTGTTTGAGATGAAAGTTTGGAGGGACGGCCGGGTCTTGGTAGATTTGCAGTGGTCTGATACTCCTTCCATTTCAATATAATTGCTTGCACAGTGCTCCTTGAGATGTTTAAAGCTTGGGAAATCATTTTGTATCCAAATCCGGCTTTAAACTTCTCCACAGCAGTATCTCGGACCTGCCTGGTGTGTTCCTTTGTCTTCATGGTTCTCTCTGCGCTTTAAACAGAACCCTGAGACTATCAAAGAGCAGGTGCATTTATACGGAGACTTGATTACACACAGGTGCATTCTATTTATTAGTGATGTGCTGAGCGGGCCGAGTCTTCGAAGCGTGGGCCGAGTAATCTGGGGGCGTTTCTTTTGAAGTGTGGGTCGAGGCGTGTATTGGTCACGTGTGTGATGACAGCCGTACCACGTGACTGATTCAGGAAATGATTTGTTGGTTTGGAGCGCGATTCGAAATAAAAGGGACGAGTGAACGCAATGGATTCCCCTTCATCACTTTGTGTGTTTTTGGGTTATTGCGCTTCTCATTTGGCATCCTATTTGGCATCCTATTTGAGCTTCTTTTTTGCGATGGAACCGGCAAGAAAGAGAAGATTTTCTCCAGTTTGGGAGCACTTTGAGCAGATCTCACCTAATAAGGTAAGGCAAATCAATAATTCTGTAATAATAGATTACACAAATATGACAACACATAATTTCTCTTGCTCACTTTTCTCTGTTATAAATACGTTTGAATAATAGTTTTTTCAATTGCAGGTGAAGTGTCTGTTATGCTCCAAACAACTGGGTTATAATAATAACACCTCAGCTATGCTAAGGCACTATCGTGCCTTGCATAGCAATGTGGATTCCAACCCAGGTGAACCTGTCTCGGGTAGGCCATTTTATATCATGATAATAATTGATGATTGTCCTACAATTACACTAAATATATTATATTTGAATGTATTTGTTCATTAGATAAATTTCTAACCCTAATGTGCATTTTCTTTCAGCTGAGACGGTTGACTTGACTGAGGCGTTCGTGGATATGGTGATTGAGGATTCCCAGCCCTTTTCCATTGTGGAGGGAACTGGCTTCCGAAAGCTTGTGAAAGCTTTGGCACCATCTTATGTTCTTCCCACGCGGCAGGTATTTATGTGAACTATTAACAATTTATTATCCTCAGATCCACTATTTCAAGACTTTACTTTTTTCAGACTTTGAAAGCCACGGTGGAGAAGAGATACAGGGAAGCCAAAGACAAGGCCAAAGTGGTGGTGTCTTCTGCATCTGCTGTTAGTTTAACAGCAGACATGTGGACCTCCATCAACACTGATGCCTATCTTGCAGTGACTGGTCATTTTATTGACGAGAGCACTTCTCTGCAGACTGTTGTCCTTGGGGTGCAGCATTTCCCTGAGGCACATACAGCAGCAAATCTAGCGAGAGTGATGACCTCTCTTATGTCAGAGTGGGGTTTAGCAGAAAAGGTGACATGTCTGGTGACTGATGTTGCTGCGAATATGGGAGCTTGTGCTCGAGAGCTACATATGCGTCACACAATTTGTGTGGCACACACGCTAAACTTAATGATCAAAAAAGCTCTCGACCAAAGTCCTGAGTTGTGTGACATCAGGACAAACTGTCGTAAGATAGTAGGATACTTTAAGAGCAGCACTACTGCAAAGTTAAGGTCCTTACTTGTAATATGTCAATTATTATTTCTGCTCCTGCACTGTTTTAATTTGTTGACTGTTTTATAGGAGAGACTTACACAGATTCAATCACAAATGGGTCTCTCCGTGCTTAAACTTATTCAAGAGGTGGATACAAGATGGAACAGCACGTACTTAATGCTTCAGCGTCTGTTCAACCTGAGAGAGCCTGTTGGAGCAGCTTTGGCTGGGCTCCGTACAGACATTACACAAATCTCAGCAGAACAATATAACATCATTGCAGACTGTCTGAAGGTGCTCGCTCCATTCTACTATGCCACAATTGAGGTGTCCGAGGAGAAAAGAGTCTCTGTGTCAAAAGTAGTTCCACTTTTGACCACTCTCCATAATGCTCTGGAAGAAGAGGAGATCGGCCATATCCAAACACCTGAGAGCAGAGACATGGCTGAGTATTTGCAAAGACAACTGAGGGACAAGCTCAGCCACCTCCAATCAATGAGCATCATGTCCCTCTCTACCTTGCTTGATCCCAGATTCAAAAAGATTGGATTCTTCAACCCCAATAAGGCAGCAGAAGCTGAAAAAAGATTGATTGGCGAATGTGCTCAAGTTTTGAGACTTTCATTGTCCGCTTCTGCTTCATCATCATCATTATCACCATCATCATCATCACCATCATCATCATCTGTAGCTGAAGGTAATATGTATACTCTATTTGTGCTAATAAGTCACTTATAACCTGTTTATTCTGTTTTAGGGAGCAAACTGTGGCAACGTTTTGACACGACATGCCAGCAGACCAAAATCCCAAACATAACTGCCAACGCTACAGTGGAGGTCCAAACATATCAGGGGGAGCCAAATATTCCTCGACTCGAAAGTCCCCTTCAATATTGGGACAAACATAAGTTTACATTTCCAAATTTATATAAACTTGCCATTACATATTTATGTTCACCTGCATCCTCTGTGCCCTGTGAACGGGTTTTTTCAAAGGCAGGTGAAATACTGTGCAAAAAAAGAAATCGCCTGAGTCCAAATACTCTTGAAAAATTATTATTTTTGAATAATAATGAATAACTGTATTGTTTGTTTTTCAACTCCTGTCAATAGTTGCATAAGCACTTACATAAACAAAGTAACACAAGCACATTTTACATAACAACTGTCTCCACTTCATTGGCTGTATTCTTTCAGCCCATGTTCAGACCCTACCATTTGTTATAGGCCCTTGGCATGTATTACATTTCTTTGTCCACATGATGGCGTAGTGGAGCATGATTCACCTCGAGCCTTCGACTCATGGGCCGAGTAATAGGCTGCGATCCCTCAAGGCTTCATGGGGCTTCAAATTGCCATCACTACTATTTATCATCATCAGTCATTTAGGACAACATTGGATCATTCAAAGATTCTCACTGAACTTCTGGACTGAGTTTGCTGCACTGAAAGTAAAGGGGCCGAATAATATTGCACGCCCCACTTTTCAGTTTTTTATTTGTTAAAAAAGTTTAAATTATCCAATAAATTTTGTTCCACTTCACGATTGTGTCCCACTTGTTGTTGATTCATGACAAAAAATATTTTTTTTATATCTTTATGTTTGAAGACTGAAATGTGGCAAAATGTTGAAAGGTTCAAGGGGGCCGAATACTTTCGAAAGGCACTGTATGTGAAAGATTATTCGTGCCCACACCATGCTGGCGAGGGAGTACACAAGGGAAAAACGTTTCGAACCACTGTATTATCTGACAGAGCAGTTGATTATAGTTTACCAGTGGTTTATATGATATTTTTGTTGCATGAGTGAGAAAACAGTTATGTGAAAAAAGCGTCTGTCGTTCCCGAGGGGACTCAGTGTACTCTTGTGTGACTTTGCTTCCAGCAGTGACATTCATATGCTCTTGAACTATTTCTGCCGTGATTCGCAATAACACAAGCAGAGCCCTTGTCATGTAAATGCTGACTAAAATGTATTTTATCTCTCAGTTTTAATTTTAGTTCAACCCTTAAAAGCCGGTCTGAAGAAGTCCTAATAGGATGGAGGAACAAGGATCAGGGGTGGCGTTTGTGTGCGTGCGAGTGGGAGAGTGGGTTCAGGGGATCATAGAGAATAGGAAATCCAATCATTCTTCAGGGAACAGAATGACCTGATGCACCAGTGAAATGAAAATGTTATTTTGATATAGCTGCCCCGTCTGTTATCGAGTAAACATTTTAAAATAACAGAAACATCCCATTTTCTCAAGCAAGAGGAGTTCACTGTAATGATAGCTTGAATCAAGTAGTTTTTTTTAATCTTTTGAGTTAATTTCGACTGTCCAAATTATTAATTTTCCAAATTAGAGCAATTGTTAACTTACTGTATTTTGCCTCACTTTTTTCAGTGTAGTTCGATCGATTCCTGTTCTTGTGTGCTTTTAGCCTACAATCCATTACACAATGAGGACAGCTAAAGGCTTTCTTGGTGTTAATGTACATGTTAAAATGTCAATATTTATTGATTTCTGTTACTTAATTATCTCTACTTTCTGGGATGATCGATAAAATGATTGTGTCCATTATAGGAAAGTCGGTGGGGATTGTGACGACCACTCGCGTCAACCATGCCACTCCCAGTGCTGCGTATGCTCATTCTGTGGACCGAGACTGGTACTCCGACAACGAGATGCCAGCCGAAGCCCTGCAGGCCGGCTGCAAGGACATTGCCAGACAGCTATTCGAAAACATCCCCAACATTGATGTAAGTGAGGAGTGACAAGCTGTTGAGTCAAGTCATTTCTGCTGAACCATGTGCCAGCTGACATATATGCAAAATGTGATGAAAAATATGTTCATGTATCTCAATTTTAGCACATTTTGACTGCAAGATTTGCCAATGGGACAAGCAAAATGATCATGTTTTGAAATGATGCAAGAAATGTCTCTCTTGGAATGAGAAAATAAAGCAACAGTTCTTGTCCCATTGGCAAATCTTGTTTTAAGAATGTGTCAGAATGTCCTCGAAAAAACACTTGATTCAAGCAATTCTGACCTCATATTTTACCATGTTTTGCAGTGTTATACATATTTCCCACAGGGCACTCCACCAGCATTGAAAACTACTACATCTCATATATTGGGAATACTTGATCTAATGTCCCTAAAATGGAAATAAAGTCAAATTATAATTCAGAATTCTTAGATACTAACATCTGATAATCTACAGCCCTGTTTCCACCACCTCTACTTGGCCCTACTCTACTCGACTCTATCGCAAATGTATAGGCTTTTAGTAGTCGTTGTAGTAGTGGTGTTGACCGAGTGTTTGAGGTTCATATAAAAAGTGAATAATGGTTAAGACAGATGCCGCTATTTTCAAAAGAAATAAGTGTGAATGTGAAAGTATGTTGACTCACAGTTCAGTTTATATTGGAGGTGAGTGGGCAGGGAGCTACGCCTCTGTGTTACTCAAATGTAGAGAAAGGAAAGTTTTATTGCAGTTTCCCCTTAGCAGTATCCAGAAAAAACACACTTTTGGCCTTAAACGAGGATGCATTTCAAGCCACGTCAAATAAAGTGTACCCCCCAAGTGTACACAAACACGCATTCCTTGCATTATAGATAGATTGGTATGTATACTGCGAGTGTATATATTATTGAGCAAAAAGACATATGAGGTGAAATTTATGCATTTGTAGAAATAAAACAAACATTTCAGTAGAATTACTTGATTATTACATTTCCACGCCATTTAAATTATGTTTCTGTGATTTTGCTTGAATGTGATGTTTTCTTATCTGAACGTCAGATAAAGTGTCTCTATTATTTTAACCTTAAGCACGGCAAAAAGTGATAAAATATAAGGTAATAATTGCTTGAATCTTATTATTATTTTTCATTTGAGTCCATTATGACTGTCTTAAAACAAGATTTGTCAATGGAACAAAGGCATGTAATCTATTTTCATACACTGTAGCTTTATTTTCTCATTCCAAGGGAGACATTTCTATCTTTTTAATGCAAGATAATTCTGCTTGTCCCATTGGCATATCTTATTTAAAGGCATTCAAAACGGACAGAAATGTTAATACATTCTGCCAAATTTGAGAATTTTTTTACTTCATCACTTTTTGCAGTGAGTGTGCTGTTTTCTGTCTGTACTGAAGTTCTTGTCAGACCAGAGCAACTTACACACATTGTCCCGTTCAAAACAACAAAATGATAAATGAATGAAAAAAATAGGTATAACACTACATAACAACAAAAAATAGAAAATGTTCAACTCTTTGACGATCTTTAAACAATATTTGACAATGGAACAAGAAATACATTTGCTATATCCGTGCTTGAAATAAGACTAATGCTGGTGGCTATGTTGTTCTCTGCCACTTTTGTCCCGAAAAAGTATCTCTCCAAGTAAACGTTTGAAGATCCCTGGTTTACAATATGCCTTTTTTGTTGCTGCCATAAACATGTTTTCATTTATTGGTTGCATGAAATGTGACTCTTCCACTTCAGGTCGTCATGGGAGGAGGCCGCAAATACATGTTCCCCAAAAACGAGTCAGACGTTGAATACCCCAATGTCGCAAAGCACAGCGGCACACGGAAAGATGGCAGAAACCTGGTGCAGGAATGGATTACAAAGATGCAGAATAAGGTTTCTCTTTCTGTGAATGTCTTGACAAATAGATTCACATTTTTGGTGAGTTCAAAGAGCAGAAAATGTATACATGGTTTTTTTTCCCCCTTCTATTTCTTCAGAACAGTCATTATGTATGGAACAAGAGTCAGCTCCTATCACTAAACCCTGCCAATGTGGAGTACCTGCTTGGTGGGTATGCGCGTCACTCACAAGTATCATTGAAGTGTAATGAGGAACAGTGTGTGTATGTTTTTAGATTGGCCTCAGCCCTTTCTTTTTCTCGCTTGTTCGTTATATTGCGTCTTTTCACCCAGGTCTGTTTGAACCTGGGGATTTGCCGTACGAGTTGGAGAGGAACACAGACACTGATCCTTCACTCACAGAAATGGTGGACGTGGCAATCAAAATCCTAAAGAAAAACCCAAATGGATTTTACCTGCTTGTGGAAGGTTTGTACAACTGCAACATTTCACTTTGAGGCTATTATGACTTCTATATATTTCTGACTGTTTATTTACACTAGAACTCCCAGAGCAGTTAATTTGAGGGCTTTTCATTTTGGAATTCTAATTACTCCTCTTATGTACGTTTTTAGTATTTCATATCTTTGTGAATATTTTTGCTGTTTCTGTATGAAGATCATTTCTGTGTATTTATGTTTATGATATTAACTCAATCCACGACTGGTCCTAGACTGTTTCAGAACAATGTCAGCTTAGAGCAAGTACTGGTTACCATAGCAACAGTGTTTATCTACTCTAGTTACCATTTAGCTTTACTGTATTTCAGTTATATTCACCAGTTTGAGCATGTACAAAAGATTAACACCATTTGAATTACAGTACTTAAAGATGCCGTCAGTGATTTTTTTCCAGATGCATTTTTTTTTTTTATATTGTGGGAAATTGTCTCTAAACTCTAAAAGTAGTCAAGTAATCATGTGTTTTCAAATAGTATTGGATTTGAACAGATGCCTATAAAAAACATTTTGGAGCGGACCGATAAAATAAACCAATGGGATTCGTTTACCCCCTTCACCTTCTTCCTGTTTCTCGCGAGTGTGCGCACCTGAGTTATCGGATTATTTTCTAAAACATTCAATGGCTGAACAGAACCACCCACTCTCCCTGTTGTGAGAAAGAAAAGAAAATGCTGGATGTTTGGTTTGGTGGCGAGGGGAGGGGGGAGTGGTTTCGAGTTGGTGCTACGGCTAACCTAACAACATCACTAACTGCATCTTTAATTGCGTAACAAAACAAGATAGAATCAATACAAGAACAAATACAAATTCCCTCAGTTATATGCACAGCTAAACAGAAGTGTTTTTAACCTGGATTTGAACATTGTCAGAGACGAAGCCTGCAGGTAGACCTCCCCATGTTTAGCCCCGACTCTGGGCACCAGCAGTAGTCAGAGTGGTTCATATGGAACTAACATGTCTCGGATGTAGTAGTAATCGTAGTAATCTTTAGTAATCTTTATTTATATACCGCCTTTTCACTGCAGATCTGAGTCTCAAAGCGGTTTACAATTGTTTATATTGGGTTTATTTTGTCTCTCACTCCACACAGAGATGGGAGCAGGCCAGACCTATTGTACATATTTTTAGTGGTAGGGGAAACCGGAGCAAACCTACGCAGACACAGGGAGAACATGCAAACTCCACTCAGAAAGGCCCTGGTCCGACCGGGATTCGAACCCAGGACCTTCTTGCTGAGAGGCGAGAGTGCTATCCACTCAGCCACCGTGCCGCCCACTTTGTTGCGAGGCCATGGAGAGACTTGTTTAAACGCCTTTTACATATAAATATTAAAATCTTCTTTGCAGGAGGCCGTATTGACCATGGACATCACGAGGGCAAGGCCAAGCAAGCTCTGCATGAGGCAGTGGAAATGGACCGTGCTATTGGCAGAGCTGATCTTTTGACCAGCACCCACGACACGATGACGGTGGTCACTGCAGACCACTCTCACGTCTTTAACTTCGGGGGCTACACTGTACGAGGAAACACAATCTTTGGTGTGTAATTACTCTGGTGTAGGAGCTAGGGCCGTGTGGCTTGGTAATAAGAAACTGCAGTGATAATTCTTCTTTATTTCAGGTCTGGCACCCATGCTCAGCGATGTGGACCAGAAGCCCTTCACTGCCATCCTGTACGGGAATGGGCCCGGCTACAAGATCGTGAATAGTGCAAGAGAAAATGTCTCCACCATTGATTACCGTAAGTCACTCAGCCTTGCTATATTATTCATAATTCGTATTTCATTCATTTTGTCTTTTGGAATCAGAAATAAATCATTTTTAATGTCAATACATAATTAGTTATACATTCATAATGGGTACGTATGGGTAAGAAAAAAGAGAGACAATTATACAATTATACTCTCTTAAGAGAATATTTGCTGATGAGAAAAAGCCATTTAGTCTTGTTTCAAGAACTTTTGCTTTATTTTCTCTTAAAAAGAATTAACTATTCCTTGTCACGTTGGAAAATCTTGTTTTAAGGCAGTCATATAGATACATTATGATAAATGTGAGTAATTTGTTTTATATTTACTTTCTGATTTCAGGCACATTAAACATATGTACATAAAACATGTTTCCTTAATCCTCAGTAAGTTTTTCTTCTGCTTGTTTCTTTTGTGTTTCTTTTGCTCCAATCATCCCAATGGTTGTAAATATTAATCCTAATCTCACAAAAATTGCAAAACTATTAACTCCTTATTTTAGGCCTGGAAGTTCATATATTATTGAAATGGTTATTGAGTTGTTTTTTAGAATCAGAATTATTTGAATTGGCTTTGTGAGTAACAAGAAGTCAAAAACTGTGAAATTGCTTTCTCAGTGCAAACAAATAAAATATGTATTATAAAATAAAGCATAAAAATTGCATTAATCACATTTAATAAAATTGCTACTATATACAAATGCACTAAGTACTCACAATAGACATATAGTAGTGCAGTAAAGTGTCAGTAGTGCAGTAAAGTCAAGCCCCGGCGATCCAAGATGGCGCCCTATTCAAATGAATGGTTGTGCTCAGTGGCGCTTTGTGACGGCATGGGGGCTGAAAGATTAGCGGAAGTCGCCTGGAACTCTCAAAGATCTATGGGAAACTCGCCTGTATTTGGGCATCGTCTGGTCCTCCCGGTTCTGCGCAGTGGATGATCTCCCATAATGCGTTGCGCCAAACACGCGTGTGAGGGTCTCACACCGGGTCTCACGCACGTGCACAGAGGGGCTCGGCCACGCTCTGACCAATCAGAGCAGTTCATCAGAGCGGGAGTTAGAGCGAGAGCCAGACGAGCAGAGTTTGTGGCACTAAAGTGTGGATTTAAACAAAACCGAAGGATTTAAGAAGAAAAAAAGTTCAGGATGACAAGGGACACTAAAATCCCCACAAAATCCGGCCTTTATGAAAGCTGTAGGTTCTCTGTCAGCTGAGGTTGAGCTGTTTTGATATGCATTGAGTTCTATGGGGAAAATTTCGGGGTAGCCCACGTGAATTTAGTCTGGTCTAGTCTGCAGTACCGCAAGAATCCCCCTAGCACATGGGTTATTCAGCTACATGCTAGTAATACCCTGTCCAGTTATTATAATAGATCCATGGTAAAGTGACAGTAATGCAGTAAAGTAACAGTTAGTGCAGTAAAGTGACAGTAGTGCAGTAAAGTCATAAGGGCAGGAGACAGTGAATAGTCATGAAGTGTCCATAAAGAGTGTTTTTCACCATTAACAGATTTAAACATGCATCAGTAAGGTCTTGCGACTCAAACAGGGCTGTTATCATTGCAAAACAAAAATGGAATTTTTTTTTAATCAAACAAAGCTTTATGTTTCAACTTGTCTCTATGAAGATGCTCTTTCATTGTTCTTAGTTTGTTACCATTTCAGTTGAAGGGCAGGTGCTAATACAACTCTATGGGAAATAAACAAATGAAACGTGAGAGAATGGAAATAGAATTTCCCAGTCTTTTCCCAAATCATTATATTATCATTATTATCCTTATATACAACTGGCCAAAATATTGCATGTGTTTTTGAAAAATGTCACCACTTATAGACACCATTATGAGAAAATGATTAGAGCATAGTTGATATGTACTAACAAAGAAGAAGAGGTTTTGGTTTCATGTTTGACCCAGGGAAAACACAGCTTTGAATATGAATTTTGACAGTTACCATAGTTACCAGGACAGGCGTAACCTTAATAGGTCCCAAATGTCTGTAAGACTCTCTCACTGATCATATAATCACACTTGTCTATGTTAGTGTAGCCCCTTAGCAACACTGTAAGGAATCTTGGATTCAATTATTGACCAAGACCAAGGTCGCCCCAGAACTTGTGGGCTGGACTCTTTTTACTGCCTGGAAGCCTCTTCGGTACTGGATTACAGCTTGAGTCCTTGATCTGCCATCTGGGTCCTGGATCTACTACGACACGACTCAGTTCTGGATCTACTACCTCAGTCTTGGATCTACAGCCTCAGTCCTGGATCTACAGCCTCAGTCTTGGATCTACAGACTCAGTCTTGGATCTACAGCCTCAGTCTTGGATCTACAGCCTCAGTCTTGGATCTACAGCCTCAGTCCTGGATCTACAGCCTCAGTCTTGGATCTACAGCCTCAGTCCTGGATCTACAGCCTCAGTCTTGGATCTACAGCCTCAGTCCTGGATCTACAGCCTCAGTCCTGGATCTACCGCCTCAGTCTTGGATCTACAGCCTCAGTCTTGGATCTACAGCCTCAGTCCTGGATCTACAGCCTCAGTCCTGGATCTACAGCCTCAGTCTTGGATCTACAGCCTCAGTCCTGGATCTACAGCCTCAGTCCTGGATCTACAGCCTCAGTCTTGGATCTACAGCCTCAGTCTTGGATCTACAGCCTCAGTCCTGGATCTACCGCCTCAGATCAGGTTCTACAGCCTGAGTCCCGGATGTACTGCCTCAGTCTCGGATCTACAGCCCCATTCCTTGATCTACAGCCTCAGTCCTGGACCTACAGCCCAAATCCTTAATTTGCAGCCTACCCATATGTGGGATCAGAGATTTATCATAATTTTTCCCGCTAGATTTTTTGTTGGACTAGTGTGATCTAACTTCCTGGTTTGAGTGAAAATCCGTTATGTCTTCCAGAGGACAACAACTACCAGGCCCAGGCCGCAGTCCCCTTGAGCATGGAGACCCACGGTGGGGAGGACGTGGCCGTCTTCGCCAAAGGTCCTCTGGCTCACCTGCTCCACGGGGTCAACGAGCAGAACTACATCCCCCACGTGATGGCCTACGCCGCCTGCATCGGTCAGAACAGAGACCACTGCAGCACCAGGGGAAATGGCGAACATCTGCACCCCTCCTTAGCCGCTCTCGTATCTCTACTCACAATAACTCGTCTGATTTGCTGACCCTCATTCCTATTCCCATTTTTAATACCACTGTTAACAATGTATACTGCTCTTATTGTTTTTGTGTTATTCTTTTTAAACATTGGAATAATTTGCTAACCCTTTCAATTGTTAAATTTAAAGCACTTTGTTTTGTTTCTCCACAACAGCAACAATTGATAATTTTGTAACATACTGTAGATGTAAAAAAAAAACATTCTGCCAGTTAGTGTTATTGCTGATAGATGCTGATAAGGTTATGTTGCTATCAGAGCTCTTCTATTTACTTAAACTACCTCATTTGATCTAAGTCATTAGTATTAGAATTTCCTGCCAAAAACTGTACTAAACTGAACTGAGTCTAAAATATGTAATTGTACTTTTTATTTGTTCTGCAACTTTACATAAACCTGTGGAATTGTTTGACATTAGATTGATTAATTAGTGTATGTTTTCAAACTCTGGACTGAACCTTTATCTGTAGAGTTTGTATGTTTCTTTCCGGGTTTTATCCTCCAGTAAAAATGTCAAATTCTGAACTTGTCTCCCCCGAATGTGGTTTTTTGCTCAATAATGAATGGGTCAAATGCAGAATTGTCACGATAATAATGTACCCTAAGCCATCCTGGTTTAATAATGGGCTCTTCTAATGACAATAATGTACCCCAACCTATCCTGGTTTAATAATGGGTTATTTTCATGAAGATAAAGTAATTTAACCCTTCCTTGTTTAATATTAGGGAATAATTATGATTTGTACATGTGATATCTCCTTTTTATCTCAGTAATATGATAAATATATCCAAGTGTAATCCAACTTCTCTGATGTAAGATTTTCTTGCAGGTCAGTATAAATACTTGGTTATCTGAGATAGAGGTATTGTCATTGGATAGTTTGATGTGTATTATGTGAAACAAAAGTATGTAATTGTATCTACATCAGGTGTCTCCAACCTTTTACCCCTGGAGAGCGACTTTCTTGAAACAAAAAAGGCTACTCCCATCAGGGATTCTGTGAAAAATGAGTTGATTTATTAGTGAGAGAGAGTCTGAGATACAGTACTGTCACTATCAACAGTCATTATTTTCTTCACACATTTGTTACTACTGGAGAAAGTAAGTTTAATATTTGTGAGCAAGTGAATGATACATAAAATATAAGATATTCCTAAATTTCAGTGTCATCGTTGCACACATTACAGCAGAAAAGAAGGGAATAAGAGCACTCAGATTGCATGCAAGATGGTAAAATAGAATAAAATAAAATAAACTCTGGTGCTAGAATTGCACTTGGTTCAGAAGTATTTACAGATGTGTATATTGTACTTTAGCAGCGGAGAATATGAGCAGAGTAAACATCAGTGATAATATCAACAGGTAAAGTGACTGGTGAATGACAGAAGTATCAGATGGATGGATATGTAATAATGTAGTAATAATAACAGGTAAAGTGACTAAGTTACTAGTGAATTCTTATCAGTGGCACTTGTACAGACTCAGCAGTTATTGTTATACAGTCTCGTTGTACAGCCTGACAGCAGCAGGCTGAAATATTCTGCACACTATTGGATTTGTTAATTTCTAAATCTTTAGGGGAGGTACCTGAAAGTTGGTGGCGAGCTACAGGTTGGAGACCCCTGAAAAACAGTTGTCTTCTCATACCTTGGAAGATTGTTTGATTCTTGTACATTTTACAAGAAGATAATCCTTTATGTGTCTCACAGTGGAGAAATTTCAGTTAGATGAATACACATACACACATTAAACTGAAATATGCAGTACACATCAAGGCATGCAGCGTACAATTTCTTCTGCGCTCCTTATGAGTAAAGTGGGTAAACTATCTTGACCAAGGACACAACAACAGCAAACATCTGTGGGAGTTGATGGAGAAGGTCTTCATATTTCACAGAACATGAATGGTTGGAGTTTGAAAGAAGCCATTTATCATCAAGGATATTACCTCATGTAGCTATTCAATAACACCAAGTTACAGGATGCAAACTGGTGATCGAGGTCATTCGAAGTTTCTGAGGCTGTTACGATTTGAAAAGAATATGATTGAATAGTCGCTTCCAACCTCCACATTTTCTGAAAAAAAGGGATGAATGCATAAATTCTTCCACTCCATCTCAACGTAAAAGCATTACTTTAAACCAACAACTCTGGTATTTGGTTTTCCTGATTTGTTTTCCAGTGTAAATGAATTATGCAGGTAATTCGCAAAGAATGCCATCAGTCAATAAACGACAAACACATTTTTCCATCAAGTCAAGAAAAAAATTCGCCAATTTTAAAGATGATTCAAAAACGTACATTTTGTCGTCTTGAGTTTTGTGGTTTTATAAGAATAGGAAGATAGTACATATTAATGTCTTTGAAAGAAACCAAAAAGCCCATTGCACTTGAGTTGCACTGGAACATTTTGCTCTTCCCATTTGAAAGTCATGTTTTTCAGTCTACATATACTGGATTCAAACATTCACCTTATATTTTATTCAGTTGTGTTAGCACGTTATTCTCTTCATAACACAATCAGTTAATTAAAAGATAATACACATACATTATTCACTTTAAATCAGATTTCACAGAACACAAGATTTGTTCCACTGTCTGTTTTGTCAAAGCTGCACAGATGCACTTTTGGTACATTTAAAAATAATGTCATGAGAAAAATCCCACTCCACTTCCTGGTAAGACACCGCTCTTATCTGTGTTGTGAACTTCTGATCGCGCGCTTTGTTTCTGGAATGTGAACAGATAAAAGCCAATCATTTCTTGGCACCAAACAGTTCCTGCAAAAACAGTGGATGAAGCCAGAACAACTGAGTCTTCAAACTACTGTAATCTGCAGCTCAAGGCCTGTATAGTTTAATCACATAATACTTTCTCCTTATGCAGCATATTTCTGCTTGATGTATTTATTCCACATTATACTTGAGATAGTGATGTTATCTATAAAAACCGGGTTAGAGGTAGCTGAACATGTTTCAAAACTTCAGTCCATTTCAACATAGAAGGAATTTCCCATCTTCTGCTTTTGTGATGAAAATGTGTTGAAACAGCACATACGCTCTGTTGATATCACGATTGTGTGATGTGCTCAATACTAAAGTTTAGGGAAGTTTCCATCAAAATGAATTTCTCTGTTTGCCATTTATCGGTGGAGCTGTTCTGGAAATCCTGCAGTGGCCTCTTCAAACAGGAAATGCCATATCGTTTTTTCGACCACATAAACACAAAACAGAGATTACAATTGACAAAACACCATACAATTTAAAACAGGACAAAACGTACAACATCTGGTAAGTTGTGTCCCCGTGAGATGACACATACAGATACAGGGCACTTTCATTGTGATACAGATTTTTACAAGCAATTTTATGTATAAAGTCCCACTGAGGTTTCGGAATCTCCCTATGCACATTAGTCTCTCCCCCCCATGGATTAATACTTATGTGTTCTGTTCTTTTTTGTGTTTGATTCTTTGATCTGTGTTGGCAATTTCACCGGTTTTGTTAAGTCCTTTGAGATAACTACTGTGATTTAGGGCTATACAAGAATACATTGATGTGAAATATCAAAGCAGCCCTGGCCCCAGAGAAAGGGCGGCAATTTTACAGGACATATTTTAGTGATTGGAGAAACCATGCATGCAGACACAGGGAGAACATTCAAACTCCACTCAAAATGGTATCTTTTTTACATTTTTATGGACAATGCAAACCTCCGGGGGAAACCTACGCAGTAACAAGGATAACATGCAAACTCTACTCAGAAAGAACCCAGGATTAGAACCCAGGATTTTATTGCTGAGAATTAAGAGTGCTAACCATTTTGCTGCCTCAGATGGGGAAGAAGCAGGTTGTTGAAGCCGCTAAAATAGTTAGTGTTGGATTGTGAGGCACTGTTTAAAATCAGGTGGTGAATCAGATTCTGATTAGCAGAGGCACAGGTGGTTATAAAGGTGGAATTGTGACCACAAAGGTACTCCTGTCTTCTGTCTGAACCCACTCCATTATACATTTTATCACAAACTGCAATTTCTAAATAAAGCATTACTATACTCCACTCCATTTGAGTTACGATCATTTGTTTCTCCATTATGGTTTTCAATACTACTTTCCACATTTCTGAGATATTTTGAAGAAAAAGAGACTGAGGAATTCTTAAAAGGTCAAACTGAGTAAGCTGGCTACACGAACAGCAGAGGGGCGGTGAAGAAAAGAAGCGCTGGAGCTACAAATTCTTTCCTTTTGAAAAGAACAGATCCTGCTCTGGGTCAGTGACTCTGTGCGGAGGAAAGCACATCAGTCCTAATCTTTACCCGGTGCAGTACAGTCGGTGTTGTCAGCAAGTGACGAGACAGGCCATCACTTTGTATCATAATTATTCATATAAAACAATGTTCAGAATTAAATGACAAGCCAGATAAATGATACCTGTATTGTTGTTGGAGTATAGGCCCTAAAGCTGGCATGTCCAAACTCAGGCCTGCGGGCCAATCGCAGCCCTATGTGTCATTTAATGTGGCCCTCTGCTGCCAACACAAAGTCGCCATTGAGGCACTTTGACAGTGTCATCCAACTAACTTCAGCTCTACCAGCATGATTTACACCTTATTGTAAATCTCAGACCCTGTGGAATCCAGTTGTTCATGGATTGTTGTCCAATCCGTTTATTATATACTGTCATTTGTTTTATGATTGTGTCAAAATATTGCAGCAGTGGTGTGAATCCATAAGGAGGTTACATAACCCATTTTGAATTCCAAAATCCAGTCAATCCAGCTTGAATCTAGTTTTCAAAGTCCAGGTTGTCGGCCCCAGGTCAAGTCTGATTAACTAAAGTGGCCCTCTAACTAAACATTTTTGGACACCCCTGCCCTAAAGAAGGTCAGCATACAGTTTCTAAAAGTATTTAGTCATTGGGCAAGTCCTCTGATACTATAACATGTTTTCTGATTTTTTAATCCCCTAGACCAGACGTGTCAATTTTTAGTGGCCTCTGGAATGACTTTC